CTAACCCAGGAAGGCCTCCGCCCAGCTCCTGGTCCGGCAGGGTCGGCAACGCCAGGTGCCCTGGTCCCTGTCCTGTCCTGTGAGTCACTCTTTTAGCTTGAGCTCCCTTGTTTGCGACCCTCGGATGGGCCCAAGCCTGCTTCTCGGCCCCCGCGACCCTCGGCCGCGGGGCGGGGGTGGGGTGGGGTGCGGGAGGCGGCGGTGGCCGGGCTTCCACGCACCGGGCGGTAGAACGGGCAGCCGCGCCCTCTGCTGGACGTGGAGAAAACACCAGGCGAGCGGCTGGGCGGGTGCCGGACCCGCGGGGACCAGAGGCCGCGCTAGGCGGATTGCACAGGCCAAAAGGAGGTCTCCCAGGAGCGGTGGTCCGCAGACCGGTCCCCCGCCGGTCGGAGTCAAGGAAGACAGAGCCCCTTCCCACGTGGGCTGGGAATGCAATGGCCCCTCCAGCATCGTTGGGCATCGCGGTGACCAGCTCTGGCCGGCCAGGACTACCTACCTCGGGGTAGGCACGTGTCCCCAGGAAGCAGCAGGGTCCGGAAATTGATCGCTGTGTGGCTTCTAGGATCAATTCTTTGTACGATCTGAGCTGTTTCCAGATTTTCACTATTATGAATAATTCTACTAAAGGCTTTCTGTGGGCAAATTGTTTTTACTTTTCTTGAGTAAAACCCTAGGAGTGGAATTCTAGGCCATGAGGTAGGCGGATGTTTAACTTCTTAAGAAATTGCCAAGCGGTTTTCCAAAACAGTTCTACCATTTTATACACTCCCCAAAACAGCGTGAGTGCCAGTCATCCCACACTCCAGCCAACACCCGGTTTTGTCTGTATTTTTAGTCTTACTTACAAGGTGTGAAGCAGCACCACCGTGTGGTTTTTAAGTCACAGTACCCTGGTAACTAACGATGGCACATGTCCACCCACCAGCTGGTTTGCCAGAGTCCCTTTTGCAAAATGCATATTCAAGTCTTTGCCCATACTTTCATTTTTTTGCCTGTCATTATTGATATGTAGGAGTTCCTTATACATTAGGTATAAAACAAGTTCTTTGTCGCATCCATAGCCTTCTATCCCCTCTTTTTTGTATTAATTCAGTTTGTTGTGTAATTGTGTGCTTCAGCCATCACAATATACATGTTCAACTAACTGCAATCTATTTTTGACTGGAGTATAATTGCTTTACACTGTTATTTTCTGCTGTACCAGGAAGTCGATCAGCTGTGGTATACATATATCCCTTCCCTCTTAGACCTCCCACCCCCATCCCACTGAACTTGGTCATCACAGAGCATCAAGCTAAGCTCCATGTGCTATATGGCAGCTTCCCACTAGGTATCTTTTTTGTGCATGGTGGTGTATATATATATCAATCCTAATCTCCCAACTCATCTTACACTCCTCTGCCCCACCCCGTATCCACACTGCAATCTAATTTTTATTTTTTAATTAACCATGTGTGTGTCAGTCGCTCAGTCGTGTCTGACTCTTTGCGATCCCATGGACTGTAGCCCTCCAGGCTCCTCTGTCCATGGAACTCTCCAGGCAAGAATAGTGAAGTGGGTTGCCATTTCCATCTCCAGGGGGGTTTTCCCAACCCAGGGATTGAACTCAGGTCTCCTGTATTGCAGGCAGATGCTTTACTGTCTGAGCTGCTAGGGAAGGCCTTGTGTTAATATGTTCAATTCAAGTTTTTAAAATGTTTAAAATTTATATTGGAGTATAGTTGACTAACAATGTTGTGTTAGTTTCAGGTGTACAATCTATCTTTGAATTAATATTATACTTTACATATAATGTGATAACCTTACAACTACATGATCTCATTTATCCTTACCTGTCCATTGGGCTATGGGGAGCATGTATAAACTCACATGTCTACTTAGGGTATGAGCTCCACAGCTTGTCCTCTTGTTTGCTGTAAACAGTGAGTTGTCTTGACACCCGGCTCACTGTTCCCAGCGCCCTCTGTGTGCTTCTTGCAGACACTGTTCTCCTTGTAGTTTCACCCTCTGTAGCTTCCTTCAGGACTGCTTGTAAAGAAGGTCTGCTGGCAGTTCATTCCACCACTTTTATCTGAAAGTAACTTTACAGTGAAGGATGTTTTCACTGGTTGTAGAATTCTGGGTTCATGGTTTTCTTTCATTTCCTTTAAAGATGTTTTTCCATTGACATTGAGCTTCAGCTATTTTCTGATGAGAAGTTGGGTACCTTTGGTACCACATTTCCCTATAGCAAATGTCTTTTTCCTCTGGCTGCTTCTGAAATCTTCTCTGTCTATCCTTAGATATTTAATATGATGTGTTGAGGTTATGGGGGGGGTTGTATTTATTCTGTTTGGGGTCTCTGATCTTGGATCTGTGGTTTGGTGGTTTTAATCATATTTGGGGAAATTTTAGCCAACATTTATTTAAATTTTTTTCTGCCTCATTTTCCTTTCCTTTCCTTCTGTGATCCAATTACATGCACATTGTTGTTGCTATTCAGTCACTAAGTCATGTCCAACTCTTTGTGACTCCATGAACGGCAGCACTCCAGGTTTCCCTGTTCATCACCATCTCCCGGAGTTTACTCAAACTCGTGTCCATTGAGTCAGTGATGTCATCCAACCATCTCATCCTCTGTTGCCCCCTTCCCCTCCTGCCTTCAATCTTTCCCAGAATCAAGGTCTTTTCCAATGAGTTGGCTCTTCTCATCAGGCAGCCAAAGTATTGCAACTTCAATTTCAGCATCAGTCCTTCCAATGAATATTCAGGGTTGATTTCCTTTAGGATTGACTGGTTTGATCTCCTTGCAGTCCAAGGGACTCTCAAGACTCTTCTCCAACACCACAGCTCAGAACCATCATTTCTTCAGTGCTCAGCCTTCATTATGGTCCAACTCTCTCATCCATACATGACTACTGGAAAAACCATAACTTTGATTATATAGACCTTTGTCAGCAAAGTAATGTCTCTGTTTTTTAATAAGCTGTCTAGGTTTGTCCTAGCTTCATGCACTAGACTGCATTATATTATCATTGAGGCTCTGTTTACTTTCATTGTGAACATTCCCCCCTTCTGTGCTTCAAATCAGATAATTTCTATTGGTGTATCTTCTAGTTCATAGATCCTTGCTTCTGGATTGTCTAGGTAGCTTTTGATCCCATGCAATAGATTTGTGAATACAGGCATTTTGCTTTTCAGGTACAGGATTTCTATTTGCCTCCTTTTAGAGTTTTCATAATTCTCCAAATCTCCCCATCTTGTTGTTGATTACATACATATTTGCCTATAGATTCTGATCACAGTTACTATATAGTTTGTGTCTGTTCACTCCAGTATTTTCGCTGTGTCAACCTATTTCTACTTGCTGTTTCTTCTCCTGATCATAGGTCACATTTACCTGATGGTTCCCCTGCTGTCTAACTCTCTGGCCAGTTCCTCCAGCTGCCCAGCTGTTGTTTGTCTCTGGGTCCCTGGGGTCCTGTCCCCTGTGTATGCACTTCAGGAGCTAAAATGGCCTTGAGAGAAGTTAATAAGGAGATACTGGGGCCTCCCCCTACTGAGAGTCCCTCCTTCCTAGGCTAGTCTCCTTTGGTTTCTAGACACTCTGCAAGCCCCAAATGCTAACCTTGGATCTGGACTCGTCTGGTCCTCCCCTTCCCCAGGCACTCCCGCCCCAGCATCCCAGAGATGCTGGTCATAAACCTCCTGGTGGGCCCACGTGTAAATCAGATCATGCAGTTCAAGGTCTGTGTCCAGCCAGGCTGCTGCCTCCACTTGAGTGCCAAGCCCATATGCCACAGGACCAGGAATGTCCTCAGAGGGAGAGTCAGACAAACATGCGTTCAAGGGCCATCATCTCCCCTCCCCTTTCTGCCTACCCTTGGCCCTTCTCCAGAAACTTCAAGCCATTGTGTACATTTTTAAGTATTGTATCCAGTGCTTAGTCACTTCAGTCATATCTGACTCTTTGTGACCCCATAGGACTATATAGCCCACCAGTCTCCTCTGTCCGTGGAATTCTCTCTGCAAGAATACTGGAGTAGGTTGCCATTTCCTTCTCTGATTGTATCCAGAGTTTATGATTATTACCAACAGGTGGGTTGGTCTCTCCACCAGTATCACGAGTGAAAAGTCAAGAGGCAAAACATTTAAAGACAATTTCAATGCAAAATGTCCATCAGAGTTGCCGCAGCCCTCACCTGCTTGTGGGAACAGACAGAGTCAGCCCCGTTGTGCTGACACAGGAACTCAGACCCCAGCAGCCTCGTCAAGCTGTGGTTTGGAGTCCTCAGGAGTTTTTGCACAGTTCCACCAGCCACAGGCCCCTCTTACGGGGAGCTGCCATGTTATCCCCCCCCCCCACCCACTGAAGCTGCCATCTGGTGTGGTCACTCCTTTGTTTCTCAAAACAGGGATGGACCTGGACTCGTTTGGTCCTCCCCTTCCCCATGCACTCCCAGCCCAGCATCCCAGAGATGCTGGTCATAAACCTCCTGGTGGGCCCACGTGTAAATCAGCTCATGCAGTTTGAGGTCTGCAGCCAAGGCTTGGCAGCCAGCCATTCGTGTAAGTCCAGCCCCATGGGCCCATGCACACTTCACCCTCCAGGTGGATGAGTGATTTTGGAGGAGTAGCCTACACAAGATGGGGCTGTCCAGAGAGCCAGAGGACAGCCTCAGACCAGGGAGAGTGTGTAGTAAGTAACTCAGGAGGTACCTAGATGTTGCTTCTGAGTTCATAACTGGAGGGAGCAGAGAGGGCTCCCTGGAAGAGGTGTTAGAGCAGTTGGGCCTCTTCCAGGGCACACTGGGGCCTGGGGAAGGGGCAGCACAGGTGGTAAGAAGCTCTCTAGGCAGATGGGCCTTTGACTGGCCTTGGAGGAGGCTGGGAAAGGACAGCGCCCGCAGGAGGGGCGCCTGCTTGACGCCCGGAGTGCAGGGGCTGGAGCCGCGTGGGTGGCCATCCTAAGGGTCTCTGCCCACAGCGTGCTCTCGGCTTCCCTCTCACGGTCCCAGACATTTGGCGCCGCAGACTGGGAGGTTTTCCACATTGGGGAGAGGGTCTTCCTCGCCGTGGCGAACAGTCATCGCTACGACGTCGAGATGCGAGTGCAGAACGACTCCTACGTCATCAACTCAGTCATATACGAGCTGAACGTCACCGCACAGACGTTCGTCCGCTTCCAGGAGATCCGCACTTGCAGGTACGTGGGGGGCGGGCGGCCGGCGGCCGGGGTGGGGATCCAGGGGCCCCGGTCCTACGACCTCCAAAGCCGCCCAGACCGCAGCTCGCGCACCTGAGCATCTATGGGTCTGCGGTGCCCAGCGCCCAGCCCACAGGTGGGAAGCAGCCTCGCTGTCCACGCCCGCAGACCTTCCACGCGGCCAGCTGAGTGACCCGGCTCCTGCTGTAGCCTTGACTCTGCTTTTAAAAGCTGTGGCTTGTGTGCTTGTTTTTAGAATTCAGTGTTTTGTTTTGTTTTTTAATGAAATTTGCATATGTGTACAACCATTTCCGCAGTGACTTTAGAACATTTTCATTACCTTGAAAAGAAACCCCACCCCTCAGCTGTTATTGCCCCGACCCCTGCAGCCCCTGGGACCCACCAGCCTGCTTTCTGTCCCTTTGGGTTTCCCCATCTGGACATTGCATTCAAATGTGTCTGGCTTCTTTTACTTGTCATGTTTTCAAGGTTCATCCATGTTGTACCTTAGTGCTTCATTCTTTTAATGACTGAGTAATATTTCACTGTGTTTATCACACTTTGTTTACCTTTCATCAGCTGATTGATATTTGTCTATTTCCACTATTTGACCAGACGGTGTGGTTCTGAAGGATTAAAAATATGCTTCACATTACTGTCAGCAGACTTGCTGCCCTGATACTTTGGAAGTCTTGCCAGACCTTGATTTCCTACTGGGTTAAGCCCCAGCAGCTTCTGATGCGAGCCGTGGGGGCAGACGGTGCAGTCAACATTTTGCTGCAAAAGCAAGGCCATGGGTCTTGGTTCCAGAACCAGTTATCATTGGCAGAATACTGCACGTGGGACCAGATGGCTATGCTAACACCCCCACCCATGCCACACTGCATGAAACCCCTCAGTGAGTGTGGCCACAGTCACCACTTTTTCTTAATGATGAATCACAACTGGCCCTGGCTGGAAGTGGCTGAGACAGGATTCCAGATAACAGAAGAAGGAAGAGTCAGGAGCCCCAGGGCCCCCACTTGCCTTGCCCGCCTGCATGTCCCCAGGTACCTCTGTGGCCGTCTCATGCCCAGGGTTCTGTTGGACCTCTAGGCCAGTGCCCTCAATGCCCCACTGAGATGGATCCCAGGTGAGTATCAACCAAGAGAGTGTGACTGTGTGCTGTCTGTACAGGCCATAACCCTGAGACCTCTGGATGCAGAAGCACTGGCCTGGCCTTGGGCATCTGAGTGACTCCTGCAAGGCTGCAGCCTCAGTTTCCTCACCTGTAAAGTGGGCCTGCAGTAATTATAGTGGTGACTGGGGACCACGGCTGATGCCCAGGTTGGCCTCCTGGGATAGACAGGGCTCCAGGATGTCCTTCTGAGAAGCCCTCTGTCAGATCCCTGAGAACTAAGATGTCTCTGAGCACAGACTCACCCTTAGCAAGTTCAGGGGTGTTTGTTGCAAACAGGATGCAGGGGCCTGTTTGCAGTAAGAACCACAACTTTCAAATTTAGAGGGACATCTCTACGTCAGCAGACCCTGCTGGCACCTGAACTTAACTGGAGTCAGGGAGCCAGCACCTCACAGCCAGTGTCCTCAAGTTCTCGCCTCCAGGGGACGCTGCAGATTTTTAGGGAGTGGCCATGAGTTTAGGACTGTTCCTCTATTTCAACCTCTTCCAAGTGAACAACTTTTGCATCCATGTTCAGAGCTTCACTGTTCACCCTTGTAGCCCGAGTGTCCATAAACAGATGAACGTGGTCCATTCTTACAGTAGAATATTGTTCAGCCTCAAAAAAGGACATCCTGACACCTGACACCACGGAGGAACCTTGAGGACAGTATACTCAGTGACATAAGCCAGACACAGAAGGACAAATATTTTGTGATTCACTTACCCGAAGTCCCTGGAGTTGTCAGATCCGTAGGGACAAGAAGTAGATGGTGGGGGCCAGGGGCTGGGGGAGGGGATGGGGAGTGAGTGTTTCCTGGGGACAGAGGTTCAGTTTAGAAGATGGAGAAATTCTGGAGATGGATGTGGTGATGGTAGCATGTCAGTGTGAAGGTACTCAATGCCACTAAGCTTAAATGTCCATTTAAAAATGAATAAAATAGAAAGTTTTGGGTTATATGTATTTTATTACAATTAAATTTTTTAAGCTTAAAAAGTGAACAACTAATTTGCATTTCCTTGGAATAGACCCACTGGTTGTATGACTGAGGAAACTGCTCCTCTTTCTGTGGATTTTGGAGGTGGGACCTAGCCCCCTGATCCTGAGATTAGGGGGAGAACCAGCCGGATACCAACCCTCAAGTCCCCACGCAGCATCTCCAGGTCCTAATTCTGCTCACTTGCTCCCGCAGTGCTCTGGACTGGGAGTTCTTCTCGGTGGGAGAAGACTATTTCCTGGTGGTTGCAAACTCCTTTGATGGAAATACCTTCTCGGTAAACAGTATTATTTACAGGTAAAGGCGATGCCCCTGCTAGACACCTCAGTTCACCTGGGTGGGCCCACCTTCCCCATGAATGACCACAGGCTCAGAGCGAGTCACAGGTCACGGAGCCCCGTGGGTCAGCTAGCACTGGGTGCACCTGAGTGCGGGCTGAGTCTGGGTCAGGCCCCGGGTCAGCTAGGTGACCGCTAGCCCTGCTGACACTCACAACTTTGGGTTCTGGCTGGAGATGCAGTGAGAGGATACACTAATGTGAGAGTTATTAGTGTGTTATCCTATTAAATGTTTCCATCTAAGGCTGTGGTAGATCTCTCTGTTTTTCACGTGTCCTTCAGTAAAATTTTACACTTCGTCTTAGTGGCACCATGGCGTTCTCACGACCTTCCCTTCCAGGAGTTTTCCAAGTATTGTAAGCACATGTCCATTTTCATCTGTGTATCACAATTAATTGTTGTGTCTGGTCACGCAACCACAGTATCTGATTAGGTTTAATAGTTTTCTAAAGAAATGTCTCATGGGAGTTCTAGAAGTATAACTATGTCTGCAAATAAAAGCACCTTTGCCTCTGTATTTCTAATGTTTTTACTGCTGATCTTTCTCAGTTATCTAGAAATTCCAGGATGATCTTGAATCATCTTGGACAAGGCAGGTTCCCCCTTCCGGGCCTCAGTTTCCCTCTCTACAGGCTAAGGCCCCTCCTGGCCCAGCTCCCCACGATTGGAACCTGGGGAGGTTTTGGGGCTGGGATGCATGGCCCCTCATGCTGTGAGGGGTGGGAGAGGCAGGTGGGACCCTGGTAAGGGTCAGGGAGGGGTGGGGTGGGAGCCCCGGGGAAAGGGAGCAGCCCAGACACTCACTTCTCTCCCTGGGGCCCGTGTCCCAGCCTGGAAGCTGATGGCATCTCTCCCCACAGGTGGCAGGGGTACGAAGGCTTCGTGGCCGTGCACAGCCTCCCAACCTTCGGCTGCAGGGACTGGGAGGCCTTCCGCACGGCAGCCGGCTCCTACCTGGTCTACTCCAGCGCCAAGGAACCGCTGTCCCGGGTGCTGAAGCTGAGGACGGGGTGATGGGCTCAGAGCCCCAGGAGCTAGACCTGCGTGGCCACACCCCAGAACCCCACCAGGAACCCCAAAAATCTCTGGGGAGTGGGATAAGTGGGAGAAGTTGTGGCTTCCAGAGCCACCAACTCGCTTTCTCTGGCCCTTGTCCAGCCATGACATTGTCACCTAGACAACCGTGGTGACCAGACAGGTGGCTCTGTGAGCATCCAAGCTGAAGACCAGAGCTGCTCCTGCAAGTCTGCTGTCCTTCAGGGATTTTGCTTTAAAGGAAAAGTTCATACAAAGTTTTACCTCAAAAACAGCAGGGCCTGGTCACCTTCCCACCGTGTCTACCACGTAACCAGACACTCAGCTCTGGCTGGGGAGCCCTGATGCAGGGACCGGCTTCGTGCTGCCTCACATATTTGTACCAGCTATTTATTGTGTTCTGTCTATGCTGAAATATATTTATGATGCTTCTTACAAAAAGTAGTGCTGTGTCTGTGTGTTTATGGTGGGAACTAGACCCCCAGCAAGCGCAGCCCAGGGCCACAGCACTCACTTGGCCACCTCGGCCTGACATACCCTTGCATCCCTGGTCACCAGCACGGCTCTCTCTGCAGGAGCATCTTCCTCCAGCCTCAGTTTTCCCACGAATGCGGTGGGGTAGGGTCAGGTCAGGAATCCAAAGCATGTGTGGTGTGGGTCCAGTCTCTCTCTCCCATGGGAGACACCTGGCAGATGGACCCTCATGCCTCTGCATCCAGGCAGGCCTCCCTGGGCTCCACACTGCCTTGTGGGCGTGCCAGGTGGACTTGGAATGCCTCCTTGAGGCCAGCACTTGCCCAGCTCCTCCCGTGTCCAACTCCTGACCTTCCACTGGGCGAGGGCTTCCAGCCTCCTGGAGATGGGTGCCAGGTGTGATGTGGCAACAGCCTGGGAACCTGGGGAGGAGGATGGGGGTGCCATCACCACCAGGAAGCCCCCTGGGTGGAAAGGAAATCCTGCATGCCAGGAGATTTTCTGGGAAGGCCCTTGGGGTCCAGACCACAGTGTGGTAGCCAAGCCTGTTCCATCACCCGAGCCCACCTGTTCTAGGATGGGTTGTGGGAGCCAAGACCTCAGCGGCAGGAAGGCTCTATGCTTGGTTTAACGCTCTGCTATTTCCATCTCAAATTCTCATTGGTTCTTGCACAGGATCACACAGCCAATGGGAGTCCTAGCTGCCTGTGGTCAGCTGCAGGTGAGAACTGTGCCAGCCTAACCACCCAAGAAGGAATCTGTGTGCATCTGCTCCCCCTCCATCCAGGCCAGATTTGGAGTCTCAGGATTGTAACTGGGACCCTTTTCATTTCCCAAAGCATGGATTTTTCTAGAGACTCCTCCAGGCCAGCAGATCAGCCACGTGCCTTGGGGAGGCTGAGGCTGACCTTGGTCGAGGATGTCCCCTGCCTGGGAGAATGCCAGAGTGGAGGGTGAGAAGGGGTGCAGGCCAGGGGCCCTGTGTGAGAGAGAAGTCCTGGGGCTAGGATGCCCCCAGGGTAATTCCCAGGGCAAAGAACCCCCACCCCTTATATACACTCAGTACTAGGAAAAAGGATGTGCCCGCACGCAAGTCAGGCTCTGCTCCTGCAGCCCCCGGCACCTGCTGGACCCACATCCCCTTGCTGTCATTGTCCCTAAGATCTGGCTTGGTCCCTGCCCTGGGCAGCTGTGGGCCTCATGGGCTGGGCAGAAGGGCTATGGGTCTGCTGGTGCAGGGAGGTTGGGCCATGGGTACCAGAGAAAAATGTAGGCTCCCCAGTTAAGCTTGAATTGCAGATAAACAATGAATGCTTTTTAAAAAACTGTGTATCCCTAATATTGCATAGAAAATATAGTAAAGGGGTATTTGGTGTTTATCTGAGGTTCAGATTCAAGCAGGCATCCTGTTTCGATTCTGACGCTCAATCGCCCACCCTCCCTGAGAGGGATGTGGGGTCTGGTGAGGGTTCTGATTTTAATTGGATCTGAGGCCAGGCCTGAGCAGCTGTGAGAGGGACAAGAGGAGGGTCCAGGGCTGGGAGGCATGCAGCCTCCGGCAGGGTCGGCTGGGGGCTGGGGTCCACGATGTGTCATGTCTCAGTGCTCCTTCTGCGGGTGGGCCCCGGAAGTGCCCCCAGAGCCAGGGCACCCTCACAGGAGAGGGGAGGCCATCTGGGCCAGGAGCACAGCGGGCCTCAGACCCATCTCCATGCCAGGGATGGTTGGTTTTTGTGTGTCTGGTGACATGAACATTAAATCCATGGGCTCTAGGTAAGGGCTCACCCTCCGTGGTGTGGGGGCCTCCTTGAGCATGGGGGCTCCCCAGGAGCCCACACTAGACCTGGCACTGCCTGTCGGCTACTTGGGCTTCCACCAGGCCCTCCTCCCTGCAGATCTGGGGCTCAGCAGCCTCCACAATCCCCTGAACCAACCCTGCCAGCATCTTCTCTCTACACACTGTTTCCCTGGAGAGCTCCCAATCTGCCCCCCAAGAACAAAATGCCCAAATGGGCCAAGGTGCCCAAGAGTCAGGACAGCTGTGTTTGCTCCCATTCCCGGGTTTGTCTATAGGGAGAGGGGCCCACTGGGGACTGTCCACACTCCCCAAGCACCCACCTAAGTGGCTTCTCTCCCCCCCTGGGGTGATCCAGATGCCCATCTGGTGCCCGGGGAGGAAGGAGGCAGATGACAGACACTGATGTCACCAGCACACCAGCAGAGGGAGCAATCGCCTCCTGTCCCCTCTCGGGGTTTTGCCCTGGCCAAGCAGTGCCACTGTGGCTCCGACAATATCCTATCTCTGCTCTGGTGGGTGGAAACAGAATGGATCAATCAAGATCTGTTTGAGTTATAAGTGCAAACCACAGGGGGAATGACCGCAGAGAGCATCCCAGTATTATATCTTTTCAAATCAGCTCTCGAGCGTCTGTCCCATTGATAAACATTCCCAAGGCGCGTGCGACTCCCAGAAGTTAGCACGCTCTGTGATGTGGTCACATCCTTGTCATTTTGACAACCATGTTGCATTCTTTGCGGGAACATCCAGGAATTTGCTGGCCTGATCATCTTTTGTTAATCCACAGAGATTCAACAGCCTTTACTGTGATAAACAACACTTCAAGAACATCTTTGCACAAATTGCTTTTCTTTGTGGTTCCTTCCTCAGGGTCATGATTTCCTGGAGAAATACCGTCTGTGGCAGTTTTTGCACCTTCTCCTTGCCTTCAGGGCTCCCCTCCCTGAAACCCGATCTAGCAGAAGGGTGACCAGATGTGTGAATCGCACCTCCTCCATCAGCCCCACCAGACTGGACTTCACCTACTTCTCAATCTGTCAGGGCAGAATTGCTGGCAAAGCTGTCTTGTTTTCACCGTGGTCAGCAGGCCTGCCTTGGGGTTGCTGGATGTTTCCTGTAGGCATTAATGTCGTTAATCTCACCACCACCAACATAGCCCCAGCCTCTGCCACACACACACACACATCCCCACACATGCACACATCCCCCACACATGCTGACGCACTCACAAGCTCCTACACAAGTGCACACACATGCACATCCCTTCTGGACAGGAGCCGTGTCCGGGCAGTTCAGGCTCAGAGCTGAAGCTTGGTGCTGCCCGAGGGTCTGGGCGGCTGTGGCATCTGCTCACACTCAAAGTGTTCACTGTGCACTAGCTGCCCGGGCTGGAGCCGCACACGTGACCACACAGTCCCGGCCACACTTAAACCCTCCAGTGGCTAGAGAACCGAGTCCCAGGTGACCTCCAGGCTCTGAACAACTGCCCGGCCGCCTCCCTGTCCCGCCCATCCCATTCCTTCCTCAGGCTGACCGGCCTGTCCTTAGCTTCGTCGCCCCTCAGAGAGACCTCCCGGGCCCGTGACCAGAGCCGGTCCACCTCACCCTACGCAGTGCGCGGAACACTCCCGTCACTCTCACCTGCATACCTCAATGAACAGCATCTGCAGAAATCCAGACGCTCACGCTTGCTAACTCACTCATGCCCACTCCTCCTCTGGAACTTCAGAGCAGGTGCTCCAGGGGCTCCCATCCCCACCCCACCCCCAGAGCAGGGCTCCAGGGGTCCACTGCTGCGAAGACCCTGTCCAGCAGGATGGTGAAGAGAATGGCTTTCCTGTCAGACTGAGAGGAGTGGCCACCCCAGTTCTCTCACTGTTTTAACTTAGCCAGTTACTGAATCCCCTCAATCTGGGTCCCTGGAGGACCCACCTCCCTCAGGCGACACCAGGGCGGTGTGACGTGGGTGCCCTGTGGCCCCAGCACAGCTCCTGGACCCACAAGTGAACAACAGCAGCCCCTCATCCTTGTCGTCTGCCCACCAGTTTTCCTGAACAAAGTTGGACTTAAAATCCCTTTGGAAAGGAAATGCTAAGCCAGTCGCATTTTTGATAGTAGATTTACAGATTTAAGCCACATGCTCCTGAATCAAAGTCATCAGTAACACATAATACTCAAAGACAGTTTCTCCTCTCACAGAAAGACGGTCAATATTAGAAGAGCCCTTGAAAGCATCCGCTATGCCAGCAACATGAGAGCAAACCCAGAGGAAGAAAAAGGGCATCTCAGAGAGTCTGTGGCTCTTTGCATGACTCGAATGTTATTTTTAATTTTGTTAAAGGCCCTTATCTTTGCTTAATTTTATTTTGATTTATTTTATTTGATTTGATTAAAAATATACCAACCTTAAGGGTTCCATTCAGTGAGTTTTGCTAATTGTACACATATGGGGAACCACCCTCAACAAAGCCAGGAGCATTTCACCCCCCGCCAGGAGTCTCCTGTGCCCCTTCCGGTCACCCCCTCACACACATACACAACCATGCGATCTGCTTTCTGTCCCTGGAAGTCCTGCCTGCCTCAGGCATCCCTCCCATGGTACCATGAAGGGCACAGTCTGTGTCCCTCTCTCTGTGTAGTGTTTCTGACACTCATCCAAGCTGTCGCACCTGCAGGCTCTCTGCTTTCATTGCTGTTTTTTGCCATTTGCTTGTGGCTTCAGTCCGTTGTATCAATAGTCCATCACCCTTCCTATTTATCTGCTCTGGGGTTGTTTCTGTTTGGGGCTGCTATAAATATCACTGGATAATTTGTGTGGACAGGTGTTTATTTCCCTTGGTAAACATCTGGGAGCAGGGGCCATTGGGTCCACGATGGCTTCACTTTGTAACAGACCTCCAAGCGGTTCTCCAGCTTGGGGACCCGCTTCCACGTCAATAATTCCCATAATAACAAAGAAGCTCTCAGGCCAGCTGCCAGCGGGGCATTTACCACGGGACCGTCAAGCCCTCAGATTATAACCATGGATGTGCCCAGCAGCCGGGGGGCACCACTGTTTGCGTATCAAAGTCCAGCCAGTCCTGGCCTCTGTGGTGAGAGCAAAGGGCAGAGACAGGATGTGAGAAAGACAAAGGGTGATGCCCCGTGGACAATCTCTCTGTTGATAGAACCTACTAGAATCAGCATGAGAACTTCGTGAGCTCATTTGACCATGAAGGGTGTGTAAGAATCTGAGCCCACCCTACCTGTCTTACTTCATTTCCATGGAGACAGGACACTGGACCAGCACCACTTGTGTGTTTACAAAACCACAGAAGCCCCCGCCTTAGACTTGTGTCTCTGGGCCAGAATTATCACGCATTTAGTGGCTTAAAACAACAGGGACTGCATTGCCTCACAGCCCTGGAGTCAGGGGTCCCACCCGGGTCTCAGTGGGCCAAAGACAAGGTGGGGCAGGGATGGTTCCTTCTGGGGCTCCAGGAGTGAATGTTCCCTCCTTTTCCAGATTCGAGAAGCGCCCACATCCTGGGGTCTCGGTACTTCCTCCACCTCCAAGACCACGGTGGGCAGTGGCATCTTCTTCACCCGCCCTCTCTCTGAATTGCTGTCTGTGCCTTCCCTTCCACCAAACGGTGCAAAAGAGACTTAAATTGGTGTCACACCCACAGCACCTCTGGCCAACATCACAACCACAGGCGCTCCAGGGCTGGCTGTGGTGACCAGGACCTGCCTAGGTCCTTCTCCTTCTCCTGGGGCTGCTAAACAGTTAAAATCTGAGCGAAGCAGTTCTGTTTACAAGTTACTGGTGTGGAAAACCTCAGTCTTGATGTCCTGATCACTGTGACGCCCAGACTGACTGGCTCTGATTCCAAGGCAACTTCTCAGCCTGGGGCAAGGACGGGAAGTTGGGAGAACGCTACACCCGGGGAGCCTGGCAGGGAACTGGACCCGTCTGACCACATGTAGGGCTGCCCTCTGGCAGCACCGCTCTCCACAGCTGATGACCATCTTGCAGGGACAGCAGGACACAGGCCTTCCAGGCAAGCAAAGTCCACCCTGGCTGGTGCCAGGGGTGGGTGCAGGGGGATGCCAGCTGGGCAGAGACAGCAGGGTGCTAAGTGCTCTGGGGAGCAGAACGGTGGGTGCCCACCCAAGGGGACCCCCTCCAGTTCACCCACGTGGGTGGAAGGGCTGCCCTGGTGGGGCCTGGCAGGGGCAGCAGCTCGGAGCTGTGCCGAGGGGCCTGAGTGCCCACCCTGCACACCATCTCAGAAGACAGGCCCCTGAGAGAATTCCAGCACGGAGGTAACCCTGCCCAGAGAAGTCTCCGGGCCTCATCGCCGACCTGCCGAGGGTCTGAGTGAGTCGGGGGTGGGACAGCGTGAGTCGGGGAGGGTACAAAGACAGCGTGAGCATTCTCATGGGGTCCCTGCCCCAGGCTGACAGGGCGCTGGGAGCCGGTGCGACTTGATGAGAAAAGGGATGTTCAACAGGTGACAGACAGCTCAGCGTCCTCTGTTTTGAGAGCGACACACGTGCCACAACCCTAAGTCTGGCGACTGTGGTCACCGAGTCTTGACATAAATGCATTCTTCCTTCAGGGTTTTCTCAGCGTCTTAACTGCTCCCATGTCACTGCCCAGCTGTGGAGGCTTCATAGGCGTCTCCTGGATGTCTCTCCGCCGTCCACTGCTGCCCGGCAGCCTGGTCACAGCCCCGCTAGGCGTTCAGCAGCTCGACAGCCTTGGGAAAGCCTTATCAGTGCTTCGGGCCTTGGCTGCCCCATCCGCTAGTGAGGGTCGGCTGCTAACGTGGGCTCCCGAGTCGGCCTCCCAGCCCAGCAGCCCCTCTCTCTGTATCTCTCTCTCCTGCTTCTTCCTTCCTTCCTTCTTCCAGCCCTTCCTCCGAAGGCCCCTCTCCTCTGAGAGCTGCTGGGCTCACAGGGAAGGTCAGCCATGGGCTTGTCTCTCTGGGGAACTGTCTCCCCGTCCCCCTTTGCACAGAACCCCAGACGGGCACAGGGCTGCTTCTGACAGCCGAGCCAACCCCTCAACACCCTCTGTGGCCAGTGTTGTCACCATGGGTAGAGATGTAGACCCTGGCAGGCCTGGGTCCCAGCAGGGGCATCCCCTCTCCTGGCCAGCGCAGCTGCCGGCAGGGAGGGGACCCGCGAGGCCGCTGACGCTGGCCCTTCTCCAAACCAGGGCGAAACCCAGGACTCACTTCTTTGTTTTGACAACACTCCAGGGCCCAAGTGAGAACTTCCAGGCCTGGGTGTCAGAAGGCCTGGATTCCAGCTCCACTCTGCCCACAAGCCAACTCCTGTGTCTGTCATTTCTTCCCCTGGACCTTGGAGTCTTGGGTTTCTTGTCTGAAAATAGAAATATTACCGACCGTGCCAGGGCCTGGTGGGAATTCCCTGAGGCGCCCTGCCTGGCAGTACCCGCCGCCCACATGCCTTCGCAGCCGCCACCCCCTCCCAGCAGGCAGCCTGCCCAGGGTGCCTTCTGGGGCCTGAGTGCTGATTTCCGCACATGGTTCCTACAAGGCATGTGGCTTGGCCACTGCTGAGACCGGACCTCACCCTGTCAGTCAGCACGTCCTCGGTAGTGGCCCCCCCATATACAGCCCCCTCAAGCCTGGCCTACTTTCATGCACTCTGGACTGGGCGCCCACCCAGAGGCCCTTCCTCCAAGCTGGGTCCAAGCTGCTGCCCCCTGAAGAGCCTTCCCTCCTGACACGGGGCCTCCTCCTCCTGACCCCACCCCTACCCCAGCCTGCACTTGGGAAGCCCCCACATCTGCCCCCAGGGGCCCAGCTTAGGGGCTGACAAGTCCTCCCCTCCCTCCCCAGCGTGTGTTCAGGAGTGTGTGTGCATGCTTGCACAGTGTGGGTGAGCGGTGTGCACGTGTGTGGTGTGGGGGCAGGGGGCATGGAGGCTGGCAGACTCTGACTTCCTGTCCCGCTGCAGCCCCTGCACTTCAGCCCTTCGTCGGGAGGGTGTCTTCTGGCCGACGTGTGAGGTGAGTTCCCGAGGTCACTCCTGGTCACTTGGCTGAGGCAGGGAGCATGCACTGACCCCAAGGACCAGGGCTCAGTGAGGATGAGCAGGGTGGCCACAGGGAAAGGCTGGCCATCTGCTCTGGGCACGCTGGCCACTCTCAAACTAGGGAGACTGTTTCAGCCCCCTGAAGCTGCTGTAACAAAGGACCCACATTCAGCAGCCTAAACAGCACGAATTTATTTTCTCAAAATTATGGAGGTCAGAGACTGACCTGGGTCTTCCTGGGCTAAACCAAGGTATGTGGGGCCGCTTCCTCCCAGAGGCTCCAGAGAACACCCCATCCCGGCCTCTCCCAGCTTCCTGGGCACCTGCACCCTCCGCAGTCCTCACTGCTGCCAATCCCTGATTTTCGCAGGCTCCCAGGACCAAGGCCTGGATGTCTTTAGGGGCCACTGTTTCCTCAGAACCAGCCTGAAGCAGGGATGATATGAAAGTAGAACCCACCTGCTGGGGGCCCATGGTGCTCCCGAGGGAGCCCAGAAGCAGTGCTAACAGCCTCCCTGGGCAGGAGGGAGGATCCTGATTATAGCTGCTGTCAAGGGCCTTGAAATAGACTCTCCTGTAGGCAACCTCAAGCCTCCATAATGACGTCAGCTGGCTCACAAAATTCCTAAAGCCTGACAACTGGCCATCACAAGCCGGTCCAGCCATCCAGGCAGGCCCAGCATCCACCACACCCCCTCCCGACCTGGTTCTTCCAGTCCTTGGCTCGTGGGGCCGGCGGCTCCAGGACTTGGCGAGGTCAGCGTGAGGGTGGGTCAGACCTGGTGGGGTCACCAAGCCACAACAACAGAGTCCACTCCAGCAGACATGAGCTCAGAGGTTTATTGAAGGTTCAAAGACAATGGGGAGGACAGTAGGATTGGGTTTGGGGCCAAGCTTCCAGGTAACCACCGCAGGCTCCTGCCAAGAGTCCAGACCATTCCACCTCCTCCATGGTCCGCTGGGCCTGCTCTCCAGAACTCAGGCCAGGATCCTGGAGAACCCGCTGCAAGGGAGCCCAGGGAGTGCTGGGCAGGCAGGTGGCCAGCAGGGCAGGTACACAGTGCTGCCCCAGGACGGTGCCCTGGGGGTGCCTGGCCCGTGCCCACCATTGCTGCTGTGCCCGCCGGAGGTCCCGGGAAGGTGGCTCCATGCCAGGGACAGCCTGTGTCCCAGTGGCTCTGCTGTGGCTCACTGTACACCTGCTCATCCCCCACTGCTGGGCCACCCGAGAGAGCCTGGGGTCCCAAAGCCCAAAGAGGACTGTCAGGGCTTGTCAGGAGGCTGCAAGTGTGGGGATCCCTGCCTAGGGTCAGGGTCAAGGTCAAGGGTGGGGTTCTGGTTTCCAAGGGGACCGTCCATGCTGAGGCCAGGGACCAAGCCAACATGAAGTCCCGCCCCAGCCCAGAGTGGTGGGCAAGGGGGCCGGGCTCCTGGGGGGCTGCCCCTCCCCTTCCCTCTGCCCTTAGGCCTCCCAGAATCGAGACCCCAACTCCTGTGAGAAGGAAGACAGGCCCAACTGAGGTGGCTGTCGGGCCAGTCTGCTCATGCCACCCCTTGGCCCCATAAACTCCCCCAAAATCATCCCCCCCTTGACCCCCAGAACCTGTGAAGAGCCACCTGCCAAGGCAGGAGGGGCTCGGTGGACAGGGCTGAGCAGGGTTGTATGCAGATGGCTTTTTCTGGACTGACTTGTGACGAGAGCTGGGGTCCACCCACACCCCAAAGGCTGCTGCCTCCCTGCCACCCGACTGAAGCATCCCCATTGCCACGTCCCCACCACTGTCAACACCGGTCCCCTCGACTGGGCTGGCTGGACCCTGGCCTCTGCAGAACTAGGAGACAGGCAGATGCTCGCTCAGGGCGCTGAGGTGGGGCTGGGAGGTCAGTCCAAGGGCCCATGAAGGTGGTGGGGTGTCCAGGCTCACACATGGCAGCAAGAGACTCTGGGTGTCATCTTCAGGAGTCCCTTAAGGAGGAGGGGGAAGGACAGAGAAACGAGGGGGCAAGGGGCGAAGGGAGGGCTGGGTTGCCAGGAGAGCCCAGGGCTGACGGGGGCTCCAGTGAGCAGGAAGGAGTTTCTGCTCCTGGGAGTGGGATCCTCGTGGTCTTGGGAGGGAGGTACCCTCTGCCAGGAGACTGCACGAGGGCTGAGGAGCCCAGAAGGGCCAGGAGGGCCTGGTAGCCCCCTGCCGCTGGGCTCAGGACAAGAGGGAGAGGACCCTCTGGGGTGCTCTGGGGTCCTGGGCCCACTTCTTCTTCCCAGCTGTGTGGACAAGAGCCAGCAGGCCCACACCTGGGGAAAAGCTGGCAGGGCATTGGGCGCTGGGCAGCAGCAAAGGATGAGGGGAAAGCCCTGCATGTGCCCTGCGTGTCCCCAGAAGAGCACCGGGGGGCAGGCGGCTCTGAGCTGATTCCAGGTGCAGGCAGCAAGGAAAGGCCCTGGAGGTGCCCAGGCTGACTGGCCCCTGCAGAACCTGAGCCAAGGCAGCAGGACCCTGGCGTCTGTCCCCACCACCATCCAGGCCTCAATTCCCTCTCTTCCCCTGGCCCAGGGACCCAGGGTCATGTCCCCAAACCTGTGGGGTGACGAGCTCCTAGTGTGGCAGGACCCCTCCCCGCTGTGTGCATCCTGGGGTGGATGCGGGAGGGGGCCCGATTCACCCACGGAGCCTATGTCCCCCGGTCAGTCGGCCCACACTCACCTACTCCCACGGAGTCTGTCCCACAAGTGGACTGGCACCCAGGCTGGCTGCTGGGCTTTAGCGGTCACTGGAAGGGTGGGCAGGCCATCAATTTCCTGAGGACTGGGATCACTCGGAGCATCGTCTCAGCCCTGCCCTCCATCCCCGCACCCTAGTGGGCAGCGGGCAGAGAGGCGCCCACCCCACACTCAGCACAGAGCCCCCTGTTCACACGGTGCTCGCTGTGCCCCCAGCAAGGGCAGGTGGGGCGCTGGGGTGTGGACAAGGGTTGGCATCTGCTGGTCATTTTCTCTTTAACGCACCACAACTGAAAAGTCATGACCTTGCTCACACGTGCTTTTCAGGTTTCTGCTGCCGCTTCTGGTCTCTCGGCTGCGGGCACCGCGTCTCTGCATCCACGCGCAAATGTGCTTCTTGTGTCTGGCCACGTGGCGCTTTCCCAGTACAGACCTTCATACACCTTTGCCCTTCCTGTCCTTTATACCTCAGATCCACGAGCAGTGTACCCCGAGTTTGCTCCCCCTCAAAATATCTGAAGTAGTTTAAAATATAAACATACAAAAAGGCCGTTAAAAAATAAAACTGCAAAGACAAGAGTTGCGGTATGTAGGTGGAGGTAAGGTCTACCCTGAACATGAATTAGATAGGAAAACCGAGCAGTAAAGTTGCTCTGAGATTCCTGGCAGCAAAGCTGAGAAGGAGAGAGAGAGTTCTTGTTCCTGGAAAGAGGAAGCAGCCTGCCTTGAAGCATCAGATATTGGTCCTCCTTTTGGCTCTCAACCACTGGAAAGGAGCTGCTTCGGTGAGTAGAAAAGCAAGGCACGTAGCGACCCCAGATGATGGGCTCCCTTGCGGGACACAGCCCGCGGGGTGGGAGTCGGGCAGGGCTACCCTTATCTGGCTGCTGACACGGCTTCCCACGAGCCACGCTGGACCTGTCTCAGGTTCTCTCTGTGGTTTAATTATTTTTTTGGTTTTTGATTTGTTTTGTTTCCTTCTCGCTGGACTGAAACTTGGTACGTGCTACTCTTAACAAACACTCTGAAAATAAACAAGAGCTGTTCAAAGGTTACACGTTCCACTTACCTCTCTAGAAAAACCTGGTCTCTACCACTTGGCTCTGCAGGGAGCCTGTGGTCAGATGTGTTTGGGACATACTGGGGAAGAAGAGGTGAAGCAGCTCCACAGTGTAGACGACCCGTACCTCCAACTGATGAGCTGCGCCCCACCTCCTTGGGGAGCCTCACTCACAGGCAGGTACTCTTCCATCCCTGAATGCTTGTCCACCCTATGGGCGCCCCATGGGACAGGCTCCCAGAGTGGAAGGAACACATCGGGATGGACGGCCTGGCTTTACGTCCTGAATGGACTGCTTCCTGCCCGAGACCTCCCGTTTTTCTGAGCCCGTTTCCCCATCCATCAGTGGGTCAGATGGATAAACTGCTGGACCTGAAGGAAAATGCTCTGTGGGAGTGGAGCACGGGGCGGAAGCGGCCACATCACCACCTCCCTGAGGGACACCAGTGGCAGAGCCAGTCCCATCTGCCACGGCAGTGGTGGGAGGCGGGTGAGCACTAGGGCGCAGGGCTGGTGGGGTCCTTGGACACGGGGGTGCTGGGCAGGGACTTGAGGTACTCCAGGTGCCTCCTGGCATCCTCCTGGTTCTGTCGCACGTAGTACACAACGTAGGTGATCACCATGGCGAACCAGCCGAACATGGTGACCAGCATGGCCACATCGGTGGTCTTGTGGTGGACGCTACAGAAGCTGACGCCAGAGTCGAGGGCCTGGATCAGCGGCTTGCCCACATACTCCTCCTGCACCGAGGTGTGGCAGGCGATCTCGTCCACGGAGTCGGGGTCCAGCTTCAGCTCCCACAGGGCCTCTTGCAGGGCGCACTCGCAGTGCAGCGGGTTGTGCGCCAGGCGGATCTTGGCACTGAGCTTGCCCAGCGCGTCCTTGGGGATCCTCCGGAGGCGGTTGTGAGATAGGTCCAGCAGCCGCAGGCCCCCGGCCAGGCCCGAGAAGGCGGCAGGGCCGATGGTCTCGATGGCGTTCTGCGACAGGTCCAGCTCTCTCAGCTGGTACAGGTGCTGGAAGGCCCCATTGGGGATGCGGGCAATCTTGTTGGCATCGAGCTTCAGGAGCACAGTGTCCGTGGGGATGTCCTTGGGGACCTCCTGCAGGCCCCTCGCGCTGCAGTGGACAGCCAACGCCCCCGCGTGGTCAGGGCACTGGCAGTTTTGTGGGCAGGAGGCACCCAGCCTCAGGCAGAAGAGCAGGAGCAGGCAGGGCCCTCCTGCAGGGACTGGCAGGGAGGAGGGGCTTTGTCTGCCTGTTGGGCCCATGCTGACCATCTGGGGACAGACAGGATGCTGATGTCGCTCAGGGCTGCGGGCTCCACGCTGCCCCACGACCTGGTCGTCGCTGTGCAAGGACCATCGCGCAGATGTAAACTCTCCTCCCTCACATGCCAGGTGTCCTCTTTTGGTTCTAAAAGAGAGGAGCGATCAGCATTGCTGGCCATGATCCTGCTGGGGACCTGCGGGCACACTCTGACTTCCAGACACTCTTGAACAGCGGGGGTCTCTGTGATTTACTGCCTCCACCCTGCCCTGGACACACCCACCACACACCCTAGGGGGTCAATGGCTTGGACAGCACCGGGTAATGGGAGTCCAAACCTTTCTAGCAGCTCAAAGCTGGAAAGCAGGAAGACTGGGGCTGCAGGGTTTTCTTAAGAAACTGGAATGTAGGGGTGATGGCTGGCCGCGCTAGAGAACCAGGCGGGCAGTCTCATCGCCCTGGGGCTAGGCTGCTGTCAGAAGCTCAGCTCTTTGCTAATCCTTACAATCTCTTTGACAATTATTAATATTAAAGCTCTTCTCTGTCGGTCCTATTGGGAACAACCACCCGCACGGGCGCCTTTTATTTCAATTATGTTTGAAAAAGAGAAAATGAGAAAAGAAAAGCCAAGCCCTGGGCGCGCGGCCCGCGTTGGGCGTGGAGTGGCGGGGCCGCGCGGGGCCTGGGCAAACGGGACTCCGGCCCCGGGGACCCCGGATATCGGACCTATAGACCCCCAGGCCCCAGACCCTAGGGACCCCCGGGACTCCAGGGAGGGGGATGGACGGGGGCAGGGTGTCCACGCTCTGGGGTAGGGCGGGGGATTTACCTGCGCGGCCGCGAAAGGAGACTGCTGTGCTTGAGGATCCCTGCCGCTCGGAGCCCGACCCGGCGCCACGCCCGAGCGCGGCGGCTACCCCGAGGCCTGAGCCCACGTCCGCGGCCGCTCGGGAGACACGCGGCTCGGCCTGAGCTCGTGGGGCGGTGCCTGCGGGCGAGAGGCGGGGCGGGGCGGTCCTGGGAGGGGTTTGGGGGCGGAGCTGTGGTACGGGGCGGGGCTTGGACGACGCAGGGCCTGACTTAGGGGCGGGGCATGGGCGGAGCCTGTGTGCCGGACGCGGCCTGGACAAGGCGAGTCGTAAAGACGAGGGGCGGAGCCTTGGGAGGGTCCGTAGAGGCTGCACGGGGCGGGGCCTGGGGGCGTAGCCTGTGGGAAGGCGTGGAGCGGACCTGGGAGCAGGATTTTAGACGGGAGTGTGTCTCTTGGGATGTGGGCGGGGCCGTGGGAGCGCGAGAGCCCCGCCCCTGCCCAAGTCCAACCCTGCCCCTGGTCCCCAGGATGGGGGCCATGAAGGCGATGGAAGGAATAAGGTGATGGGGGTGGAGGAGCTAGCAGTAGGTTGGAGACCCTTGGGTCAGTGCGAAGACCCTGCTGAGCCTCCCTCGCAGGTCTGGTGCCAACGGCAGCCAAAGCGTTAATGGAGCGAGGTCTCCGTCCCCCTGGGTCTCTTCCTGCCCACCCCCCATATCCCCACTTTCACCTCTCCACCCAGTATCTTAGGGCCCTTACATGGGCATTCCGAGGAGCGTAGGGAATGTGGGGATCGAGGCTCGACCTGAGCCATTCTTAGGGTTTTTTTTTTTTAATGACAGCTTGATTGTAGTGTAATTGATATGCAATCAACCACATATTCAAATTTGTTACGTTTTGACGTTTGTATACACCCGTGAAACCAATACCACAAAATACTCCAAGGTTTCACCTTTTCAATCCATCCCCTCTGATGCCCATCACCAGGCAAGCACAGATCCACTCTGTTGCTAGATCAGTTTGCATTTCCTATAATTTATATAAGTGGAATCATAGATATATACATTTTGTCTAGCTTCTTTCACTCAGAGTGATTAATTTGGGTTCACCAGGTGCTGGTGCGTTTATCAATGGTTATTCCTTTTAGTGCTGAGTAATGAGTCATTGCATGAATGTTCCACAGTTTGTATATCCACTCACCTCCTTGTGAAGATCTGGGTTGTTTCCAGTTGTCTGCTGTTACAACCAGAGCTGATATGAACATTGTGTACAATCTTTGTTTGGACAAATACTCTTGATTTCTCAGATAAATATCTAGGGGTGGATTGGCTGGCTTTTATGGTGGCTTATGTTTAACGTCTAAGAAACTGCCAAAGTGATTGTACAATTTTACATTGCTGTTCTGTGTATGCTCCAAAGCAGCACCAGCACTTGGTATGGTCACTGTTTTTAATTTTAGAGATTCTAATAAGTGTGTAGGAGTACATTTCATTGTGGTTTTAATTTGTATTTCACTTAATTAATTAATTTCACTTAATTTGTATTTCAGAACTTGAGTGTCTTTATCTGCTTGTTTGCTGTCTGTCTTCTTTAAGGAAGTGTTTTGTTCAAATCTTTTACCCTCTTTTAATTGAGTTGTTTTCTTATTGTTGAGTTTTGAGAATTCCTTATATATTCTGGATACAATTCCTTTACCAGACATGTGATTTGTATATATTCCTCTGATTCTGTGGATTATCTTTTCATTTTGTTAAAAGTTTTTCAAAGAGAAATTTTTAATTCTGATGAAGTCCATTGTATCAATGTTTTCATTTTTATGGCTCATCCTTCTGGTGTCATAAGTAACAAACCTTATATAGTGCACTTACATTTTGCATTTGGTGTATGGTGTGAGATACCATTTGAAGTTTATTTTTTGTGCAAATGGATGTTTAGTTTTCCAGGACTGTTTTTTTTTTTAATGATCCTTTTTCTACTGAATTATCTCTGCATCTCTGTTGAAAATCAGAGGTCTGTATTTGTATGAATCTATTGTGTACTTTCTATGTTCAGTTGGTTTATTTGTCTATTTTTATGCAAATGTTCCAAACTGTCTTCATTACTGAAGCTTTACAGTAATTCTTGAAGTCAAGTAAGATAAATCTTCTAACTTTGTTCTTTCATAAAGTTGTTTTGGTCATCCAGGACCCTTTGCTTTGCCTCATGAATTTTAGAATCAGCTTGATAAATTCTACCAAAAGAATCTAGTGGGATTTTGTTTGGGATTGCATTGAATCTACAGATAAGTTTAAGAGAATTAACATCTTGAAAATATTGAGTATGTCATTCTATGAACATGGTATATCTTCTCATTTAGAGCTTCTTTTATTTCTTTCATATGTGTTTTATAGTTTTTGGTTTCATACATATTTTGTCAGATTTATCTAATATTTCAATGTTACTGTAAATGGTATTTTAAGTTCAGTGTATTTTTGTTAAAAGCTAATATATGGAAATAAAATTGGCATTTGCATCCTGATCTGGATTTTGCTAAACTCACTTATTAGTTACTAGAACTAATTAGTAGACACCTTTTGAGTAGACACCTTAAGATTTTCTACATACATAACACAAATGTGTTATGTATAAGTAAAAAGAGTATTATACTTTTCTTCCCAGTCTGAATGTCTTTTACTTCATTTTCATGCCTAATTGTACTGGCTAGAGCCCTAGTTCAATAATGCAAAGGAGGAGTGAGAACAGATATCTTTTTCCTCTGGACCCTAGGGGGGAACATTCAATCTTTCACCATTAGGAATAATGTTGACTGTAGGGTTTTGTAGCTGTCCTTATCAGTATAAGGAAGCTTCCTTCCATTACTAGTGATTACTTATTTTCTATCCCCTTGCTACTTAATAATTGAGAGAGGTGGACTGAGGCTCCTGAGATGTCTGTTACTGCTTGAAGTCCTATCACGTTTTTGTTTCATGCATTTTGAAGCTTTATATTCAGATTAGTATGTCCTCTTGATTCATTGACCACTTTATCATTATGAAAAGAGCCTCCTTATCCCCAGATTCTTTGCCCTGAATTCTACTTTTCTGACATTAGTAGCCACTCCAACTCTCTTTTTTGATGGATGAACATCAAAAGATGAGCTACCTTCCTCCACTCTTTTTGTTTTTAACTTCCTGTGTCTTTTTAAAAAATTTTTATTGGTGTATAGTTGATTTACAATGCTGTGTTGGTTTCAAGTATACAGCGAAGTGAATCAGTTATACATATACTTATGTCTCTTTTTTTTTTAAAGAATTCTTTTCCCATATAGGCCATTGCAAAGAATTGAGTCGAGTTCTCTGTGCTGATTAAATTGGGAGATTAGGATAGAATAGGTAACTAAATGTGCTGAGGGGACGACAGAGGTTAACTTTGGATTGCATCATTGACTCAATGGATCCGGAGCAAGCCCCAGGAGATGGTAAAGGACAGGGAAGCCTGGCATGCTGCAGTCTATGGGGTAACAAAGAGTTGGACGTGACTGAGTGACTGAACAACAACCTGTGTTGTACAGCAGGTTCTTATTAGTTATCTATTTTATATATTATAGTGTCTATCTGAATAGTTAACTATTTTATCCTAATCTCCCAATTTATCCTTCCTCCCTCCTATGTCTTTATATTTAGTTTCCTTAAGGTTTCCATAGAATCAAAGTATCATCCTCAATATATTTATGAACTGTGAAGGGAGAAATAGTAGATTTACAGTGAAGAAACACAGCAGAAACTACCTTATGTATGTGACTAAGGTTGATATCCAGAGAAGGCAGTGGCACCCCACTCCAGTGCTCTTGCCTGGAAAATCCCATGGACAGAGGAGGCTGGTGGGCTGCAGTCCATGGGGTCGCTAAGAGTCGGACACAAGTGAGCTACTTCACTTTCACTTTTCACTTTCATGCATTGGAGAAGGAAATGGCAACCCACTCCAGTGTTCTTGCCTGGAGAATCCCACGGACAGGGGAGCCTGGTGGGCTGCCATCTATGGGGTCGCACAGAGTCGGACACGACTGAAGTGACTTAGCAGCAACAGCAAGGTTAATATCATCAGTAATAAGACAGGCTGGCATCATGTAGCTCCTGATACATGGACTGAGAAAGACACAGCATCATTTCTGTGGTTTTCTTGCCAAAAAGGCACAGTCTCTTTCCAATCATAAGAAGGCATCAGTCAGTTCAGTCAGTCAGTTCAGTCGCTCAGTCGTGTCCGACTCTTTGCGACCCCATGAATCGCAGCACGCCAGGCCTCCTTGTCCATCACAAACTCCCGGAGTTTACTCAAACTCATGCCCATCGAGTCAGTGATGCCATCCAGCCATCTCATCCTCTGTCATCCCCTTCTCCTCCTGCCCCCAATCCCTCCCAGCATCAGGGTCTTTTCCAACGAGTCAGCTCTTTGCATGAGGTGGCCAAAGTATTGGAGTTTCAGCTTCAGCATCAGTCCTTCCAATGAACACCCAGGACTTATCTCCTTTAGGATGGACTGGTTGGATCTCTTTGCAGTCCAAGGGACTCTCAATAGTCTTCTCCAACACCACAGTTCAAAAGCATCAATTTTTTGGCACTCAGCTTTCTTCACAGTCCAACTCTCACATCCATACATGACCACTGGAAAAACCATAGCCTTGACCAGATGGACCTTTGTTGGCAAAGTAATGTCTCTGCTTTTTAATATGCTATTTAGGTTGGTCATAACAACGCATCAGACACACCCAAATTGAAAGGCATTTTACAAAGTGACTGATCAGTACACTTCCAAAATGGAAAGATGATAAAAGATGAGAAAAGACTGAGCCACTGTTACAAACTGGAAAAGACTAAGGAAAACTAGCAACTGAATGGGATGTGGAGTCCTGGAATAGACCTAGGCACAGTGGGAAATGGGGTCACAGTAAGTCTGGTGGTGTAGGTGACATCCTGGCTCTGGCCACCCACATCCCCGGGGTGATGAGCTCCTGTCTGTCCCATTTCAGCCCCATTTGTCCCTCGGTTCTGTTCCTTTTTCCTCTTTTCCTACCTTCTTTTGGACTGAGTAATTTTTGAGCCCATTTTCTCTGTGTAGTTAACTCTTAGCTGGGACTCTGCTGTGTTGCTGGTCGCTTTAGGGTGTGGTATCAACTATCATTTCTCATCCCAGTCCCCAGGGGTCATGTCAGTTCACCCTACCTCCTGAGTAGGGTGGGAGCCCCGAGGGCATGCTCTCCCCTGGACGTGTAGTGGCCATGCAGTGGACGTCTACATGTGTAGGAACCCCTCAAATCTTACTCTCAAGTGTCTTTTAGGAGATTAAAGATGAGCCATGAAACTCCTGCAATATTTTTATTATATAGTAGATTGAAGAGGGGAGCCCCCAAATTATGGAATATTTTAATATTTAAGCTAAATCAATGTGATTACCACCTAAAACTAAAGTGTGGGTGTGGATACATATTGACATTATTATGTCAGGGGAGGGGACAAACACTCAAGAGTTCCCTCTGTGACTTCTGTTTATGGAAAGTTCCAGAATAGGTAACACGCCTAGGTGGCAGAGGTGGGGAGGGGAAGGGGCTCGAGGGGACTTCTGGGCCTGGGTGTTCTGTGTCATGATCTGGATGCTGGTTATCAGCATTAGTGAAAAACCCTCCAAGCTGCTAGGCTTCAGATGTGTGCAGGTAACTGAGGGCATGTAATTCCTCAGTAAAAGAAAGCAGGGATGTGCTGGCTACGTGTGTGTTCACAGGTGATCACATGTGTGGGTGGTGAATACAGCAATGGATCGATGGGTGTGTGGACCCATTTAGGGCATGATGCTGTCCTCCTGGTCCTCATGGGCTGTGGCCTCACTGGTTGATGACATCGGAGTCCCTGCAGGAGGTGATGGCAGCTGGCCAGACCCAGGCCACAGGGCCCTGTGAAAGCCTGGCTCACTGACCACTCTAGACCTCAAGTCTGCTCTCAGAAACACCAGGAGACTTCCAATGCCATCCTGGCCACGTGGTCCGCCCACTCACTGTAGCCTCCCTCATAACTGTAATTGGGCTCCAGGTCGATTATCTCACCCATTTATCCACCCAGAATCCAGGCCTCCTGACCCAAGGGATAAAACAGGAGGCTCCCACTGGTTAATTGCTTCCCCCTCAGGCAGGTTGTTTTGCTAGCAAGGGCTGAGTGTGTCTCCCTGGGGATGAACTAGGAGGGGCTGCAGCCACAGTGGTGGGATGAACAAGCATCCCAAGGTCCAGACGCCTCTTCCCCAGGTAGGGGCCCCAGAGCAGCCTGGGACGGGCCCTTCTGGGGTGTGGCCGGCTGGCCTCGTGTGTGCTGCCGCCTTGCTCTCCCACCTCCCAATCTGCTATGCCCAGCTCCACCCTCAGCAACCCCAGCCTCCACACTGCCCCCGGCCTCCACACTGATCCCTGCCGGTCCCAGTTCCTGCCCTCGCCCAGCTGGGGGAACCCTCAGCCAGAACCCTTGGCTTGCAGGGCACTGCTGACTGCAGCCTGCTCATGGGCAGGGGCTGGAACCCCTCAAAGAGAGAAGACCCAGGACCCCCGGCAGAACCCGCTGCCCAGAACCACACAGGCAGGGCCTGAGCTCGCAAAGAGCCTCCATGGATGGACTGCCAATGGTAAAACTATCCTCAGCAGCTTGGGCCATTCTCAGCTCCTCCTAAGCCCCCCAGATTCCTGGATCTCCCAAAATTCCTGGATTTCTGGGCCTGAGCAGCAACCCCACCAACAGCCTATCCATAGACCTGGGAATTCCACAGCAGTCTCTCCTGCCCTGCACCAGTACACACACCCTCTCCCCTGGTCTCTCACTCATCCTCTTGTCCAAGTTTTGTTGATTTTCTTGCTCTTCTTCAAGAATTGAGTTTTTAATAAATTCACCACGCCAATTCTTAATTTTTCCCTCTTTGGTTACATCTGATTTAGTCCCTGTCTGAGCCCCTGTCTGAGCCTCTGAGCCTCTGTTGATTCTGTAGCTATTTATTGAGCTTTTTGAGTCATAAACTCAGATAATTTACTTTCACTCTTGATTTTCAAATAAGTGCATTTAAGGTCTTAACTGTTCCTTTCTGAGACTTCCAGCCACATCCCTGAGGCCATGACTTGGACTCTCTCATTGTCTTGTTCTAGCTGCCCCAGTGCAGGTCTCGGGCAGAGGTAGAGGGCATGGAAGCATGCACAGCCCCCCCACCCTGGGCATTCCCTAGGTGGCACCCAGCCCGCAGGTCTCTCTTGCTCTGAATCCTAGGCAGTGGGGTGGCCCTGGACCTAGTGCTAACTGGAAACCTGGGGCCAGCAACTGCTCTGCCCCTGGAGACACAGTTGCTCCCCATTGGTCCTCTTGCCCAGGAAACTAGAGGATCCAGAGTGAGGACAGAAACCCCTCATCCAGGGAGGGCTGAAGGCGGGGGCGGGGACAAATGTCCTGCCCTGGATCACTTGGGCTCCCTCCCAGCTGGTCAGGGGATCAGTCACTCACGTCCCAGGCAAACATCTGGACCCACTGAGGTATTTCCTATCCTCTTCCGGTGCATGGCTGCTCTGGTGCTGTGGGTGGAATGTGGCCACAGTGACCAAGATGCCTTGGGAAGCTGCTGAGACCCCCTTGGTGGTGTGACGTATGCTCACTGCTGTGAATAGCCGGTGTCTGAGAACCACGTGTCACCTCTGGACCTTGTTATTGGGGTGGGTACACAATTACACACATACCATAGAGCATACGTACATAGATGTGCATGTTATACATCCTTTATTATACAAATATGTATTATACATATTGTACCCAAATAAATATATTGCACACAATTTAAATATAAACAAATATATGTGGAAATGAGACAATGTACATGTATAACATATAACATGTATTTATGTATAAATACGCACATGTAGGTAAGGTAGATAATAGGTAGGTAACGGGCTTTCCTGGTGGCTCAGACAGTAAAGAATCTGCCTGCAATGCAGGACACCTGGGTTCACTCTGTAGGTCAGGAAGATCCCCTGGAGAAGGGAAAGGCTATCCACTCCAGTATCCTTGCCTGGAGAATTCCATGGACAGAGGAGCCTGGCAAGCTACAGTCCACGTGGCCGCAAAGAGTCAGACATGACTGAGCAACTAACACTTTCACAATATTTAGGTAAACATGCTCACAAACACTGCACAGAATGACCTCAATCCTGTTGATTGTGTTATTCAAATTTTGCCCTATTTTTTGTTTGCTTCTTGATTCCTTGATTTCTAAAAGAAAAATCTTAAACATTACTGTGAGTTTGCCCATTTCTCCTGGAATTTCTATCAATTTTGCATTTCATATTTTAAAAGATATGATGCTAGATGGAAGTTTGTGTTCAGTTGAGTCTTGACTCTTGTGACCCCATGGACTGTAGCCTGCCAGGCTCCTCTGTCCATGGGATTTCCCAGGTAAGAATCCTGGAGTGAGTTGCCATTTCCTTCTCCGGGGGATCTTCCTGACCTAGGGATTGAACCCATGTCTCCTACATTGGCAGGTGGGGTGTTTACCACTAAGTCACCGGGAAGATGGATAGCAGTTCACAAAACTGCTACCTTCTTAACGGATTTGTACCTTTTCCCACTCAAATTCCCCTTTTTTCTTAAAAGGACAAACTCAAACCTTAAGTTCTGTCTTCTGCTGGACCTGCATCCACACCTTTTCTTTGGGGAGTATTTGGTAGGCTGACTCCCTACTGTTGTCAGCTAAAACATGTCTCTTTGGGGTGATAGAGGAAAATATACAGAAAAGAAGAGAAATTTGTTGTTATCTTTTATCCCAATAAGAGACTCACACTTTGTGTGTGCTAATACGTTTTGACTATTTCCTGCCACCTTACTCCATGCAAACCATCTTCTACTGCTATTTTCTCTTTCTTTGACTAGGTTTCTGCTTGGTCCCTCTGGTGCTTTGATGTTATTCCTCTCTCTCCACCCTCTGGAGGTTACCTGGGCTGTGATATACATTTGCAGGTCTCACTGCCTGCATTCTTCCCCCAGCACTGTGACGGTCAGCATCTATTTCTTCCTTGTGACAAGAGGAGACCTTATCTCTACTTGTATTGGCTGCGTTCATTCCTCTGTCAGCTCCCAGGGACACAAGCTGGGATTTCTATAAGAACGATCATTAAATTTTCCTTTTACATTACGCCTCAACAGTGGTAAAACTTAGCCCTACATTTAGTAGTTTCTTTGCTTCCGCAGAGCTCAGTCTGTGTGTGAAACAGGTCCTTCCCTCTCATGTTCTCTGCCTGCCTTTTGTCTGTAGAAAAACTTTAGCCAAGAACAAATTTAATCAGAGAAGTGAAAAAATACAAAGGCAGAGGAAAACAGTCAAATGGGACAAAACAGTAACAGTCAGGAAGCTGAGTCAAAGACCTTTAGTTCTTCCTCCAGTGCTATAGGGAATATTCTGAGCCATCTCCTGTGAGATGTCCTGTAGGTACTGAAGCCCTTACCAGGTGCAGAAGTTAACTGTTGATGCATAATGACCAGAGTGTAGCTATGACATAAGCTGCCACAATTCCAAGAACTGGCCTCTAGGATGTGGGAACAAGCTGACCCTGGAACTGAAGATTAACGTACTTGAGACAATCAGGGTGATGCTGCTCAGACCACTGAGGACCAATCACCAGATGACAGTCAGAGCTGACTGTGCTGTTTCTGTGTGGAGTCCCTCCCTCTGTTCGTGAACATTCTTGCCCACTGATTGTCAGTAAAGTGGGGGAAGTCAACTTTTGGACAGGTGTCCACCCTTCCCCTACCCCTGTTGCTGGCATCCAAAATAAACCAAACTTTCCTTTCCACCAACCTGGCCTCTTTATTGTCTTTTGAGCAGTGAGAAACTGGACCCCACTTTTGGTTACGTGTGTGTGTGTGATGGACCAAATGTTCTGTGTTGTTGTTTAGTTACTAAACTCACGTTCGACTCTTTTGTGACCCCATGGACTACAGCCCACCAGGCTCCTCAGCCCATGGGATTTGCCAGGCAAGAATACTGGAGTGAGTTGGCATTTCCTTCTCCAGGGGATCTTCCTGACCCAGGAATCGAACCCACGTCTCTTGCATTGCAGGCAGATTCTTTACCACTGAGACCAGGGAAGCCAGATGTTTGTGTCCTGTTTGTGCTTGACACCTGTTTGTGTCCCTTCCCCAAATCCCTATGTTGAAGCCCCGATCCCATGTGGCTATATTTGGAGCAAGGACCTCTAAGGAAGTAAGGTTAAGTGAGGTCATACCGTAGGGCTCAGACATGGCGGAATCAGTGCCCCTGTAAGAGGAGAGCTAGAGACCCCTCCTTCCCTGCACACGCCGAGGAAAGACCACATGAGGACGTGGAATGAGGCGTCCAGGAACAAGAGAGGCAGAAGCTTCAGCAGGAACCACCCTACCCACACCTGACCGCCACTCCCAGCCTCTAGGACTGCGGGAAACTGAGTGGTCCGGCTGTGGTCCTTTGTCACACAGCCCAAGCTAACTAAGACAGTGTGTTTCGCTTTTCTGTAATTCTTCTCTGAGAAGTTCTTTCAGAAAGGATGCATGAGAAGCACGTTTCAGACAGTAAAGAATCTACCTGCAATGCAAGAGACTCAGGTTTGGTCCCTGGGAGTGGGCAGACCCCTGGAGAAGGGCATGGCCACCCATTCTTGTATTCTTGCCTGGAGAATTCCATGGATAGACAAAGAGTGAGTTACAGTCCATGGGGTCACAGAGAGTCGGACACGACTGAGCGAGTAACTTTCTTTATGCGTTTTAAATGTCTTTATTTGGTGCTGCCACTTAAGCGCTAGGTTGGCTGGATCTATAATTCTAGATGAAAAAAAAAAAAAACAAAAACCAAGGACCCCACAGTGCCTGAGCACCTGCAGGGTGGGGGCAGGGGAAGGCATGAGCAGCTGAGCCCTGGGTTGGAGGCTGGAGCTGGGGTCTAGGAAAATGAGGAAGAGGGAAGGTGTGTGTGTGTGTGTGTGTGTATGTTGGGAAGGTTGCTGATTGGAGGAGCAGTCATGAGTTTGGACTAGCGGGCTGCAGGGTGTCCACAGGAGACCCCCTTTGGCCCCAGGAAGCTTGGCTGTGGCTGGAAGAAGTCTTGTGACTCAGACACAACCCCCACCACTGCTCATGTCTGCAACTCCATCTGAGGGACAAACAAGAGACCAGTGACGCTGGTGGGGAGGGCAGGTTTGGTGCGGGGTTTGCACAACATCCCAAGGCTGCTGACAGTCTGTGAGTTGCTGATACTAAACTGGGTGGCCCCTCAGTCCACACCCACCACCCACTCTTCCCTGGAGGAGGGGGGAGGGAGCACCATGTGCAGGAGAGGTCCTACCCCGGGTGCTTCTGTGTCCTCCCGGCCTGAACCCGGGACAGCACACAGGCAGAGACCTCTGCAACACAGGAGGTGGGAGCTTGCCCTCCTGCCCCACCATGGGACTCAGCCCTGACGGTCATGGGAACTGGGGTCCCAGGCTGCCCCAGGCCAGGTGAGGGTCTGAGTTAGGGCACAGTGGAGGCCCTCTCGGGGCCGTGGGCCTGAGGAGGAGGCCACAGGGAGCGCTGACTCTCCGGGGAGCCTTGGCCTGGGGCAGATGCACTGCTGGGGTGGACGTGCTGCTCAGAGGATGTGGCCAGGAGGGCGTCCACAGGCCACCAGCAGGCTCAGGAGAGGCAGTGTTGGCTGGCGGAGTCCCAGTGGCCACCTTGACCCTGAGGCCCTGCTCATGGCCAGAGCCTGCCTGTGCCCTGCTTGGCCCTCCTCCCAGAGCACCCCAATGCCTCCAGTTCATGAGCTGGCCATGAGGGGCAGACACTCCCAGTGGGCCGTAGATGGACCAACCCCGCCGGCCCCCACAGAGCCAGCCAGGCTGGGTCTCTGGTCAGTAGTAGGCCTCGAACCAGGCAGCCACTTTCTGGAGGATGGCCTTGTGGTTGTCATACAGAGGAATGCGCTCGTCTACCACCTGCCAGCGGATGGCCAGTCCCTCGTCACAGGAGTACAGATGCTGCGGAAACAGAGGGGAGTCCTGAGTCCCTCCCGAGTGGCCCTGCCCTCACCCCTACACCCCAAGCCCATAGGTGGCAGAAGAATGGTGGAGACCCCAAGACCTGGCTCCCAGCCCTGCTACAGACTGGCTAGCGACCGCTCCCTTTGTACTTCTACTGAACGGTGCTAAGATCATCCCCTTCAGGCACAAATCAGAAAATGCCTGTGAAGCCCCAGAAACCTTGAAAGGGTGGGGGGCGGGTACAGCCTTATTCTGGGGTTTTCTGTCCTGCAGACAAGGCCTGGGTTTTGTTCCCTGGGACTTCCTGGCCCAGTTCTGGATTCGGGGTCTGTAGGGGGATCAAAGTACACAGGACGATATCCCCACAAGTGTGCATGAACCAGGTTCACCTGGGCATGAGCCTGAGGCCCCAGGGTCTTCCTCTGCCCCACCCACCTGCTGCTGCCCTCTGGCCTCTCCCGGCTGCCCCCACGGACTCTCTGGTACAACTCAAACTCCACAGCCCCCTTCTCTGGTCCTGGCCAGCTCTGGCCCCAGGCTGGGGAACCCCCTCAGACACCTCCCTGCAGGCCCCAGGGTCCCTCTGGAGCACCGATGTCCCCAGCCTGAAACCCAGGCCACATACAGAGTTCAGCCTCTTGAGCTCCATATTGCTCTGGTCTTGGAAGTGGATGCTCACAGCCACCGTCTCGATCCAGGCATTGTCCGTGTTCCTGGGGTCATCCACGTATCCTTTGTATACCTGGGAGGCAGCACAGGTGTGATGGACCCCTGATCCCCTGGCTTTCTCCCAAAGGGAGGGCCCCAAGCCTTCTCTGGGCCTGGGCCACTGTTAGCACGGCTGTCCACCATGCCTGAGCCCCACCTGGCCTCTCCCCGCCACCTCCTCCTGCCCCCATCACGGCCTTCAACTCGACTGACCCATCACAGGGGCTCACAGCCTCACTCGTCACCCTCTTGCTCTTTGGCCTGGCATCCTTGGCATTCAGACCTACCTCGACTGCCCTTGGAAGGATTAAAAAGGATGGGTGGACCTCCAGACTAAGTAAAAGAAGCCAGATACCAAAGGCCTCACACTAAATGATTCCACCGACAATAAATGTCCAGAACAGGCAAATCCACGGAGACAGAAGGCAGCCTCGCGGGTGCCAGGGGCTGGGGCGGGGGGGGGGCGTGAAGGGGGTGACTGCTCAAGGGTACAGGCTCCCTTTTGGGGGTGACAGCACATTCTTGAACTAGACAGAGGCGGGGACCACACCAGGCTGTCCATGCACCAAAAGCCACTGAACTGCTCACTTCAGAATGGCTCATTATACGTTGCTTAGATTTAGCCTCAACAAACAAAGTTTAATTATTTTTTACTAAGTAAAGAAAAGAGAGACGGTGATGCTCCCTCAGGGGATGCAGCAGACAAACCACGCGGAGCTGCTGGGTTTGCAGGGCAAGCCGTAAATATCAGCAATTGCCTACTTCATCCTAAGGTGCAACAGAGGCAGAACCAGCGACTCAGACACCCACTTGGAGGACTGCTTAAATAAATCATGGCACAGAATGCTACACGGTTGTGAAAAAGAACAAGGTGGATTTGGAAATATAGACCTAAAACTATGGCCTTTGGAAATTCACTGAAAAAGCAAGTTCTGTCTTTGTGCCCAGCTGTGCTCAGGGCAAGAGTGAATGTGAGCTGGACACCAGGCCTGCCCTGACCCAAAGGCAACAGAGGCTGTAGGCCGTCCTTGACCTCGGGAGGAGAAAGCCCAGATAGGGAAGGAAGGCAAGGGGCCCAGAGCCAGGTCACATGGTCCCAGTTCTCCCTCCAGGAGCTGTGGGCAGTGGGGCAGGCTCCCCACCCGGCTCCTGCAGCCTGCCCAGCAGCCGGCACGAACACACACCCCAGGGCCCAGATGCACAGATGGGAGCAAAGCGAAGAGCCACCTCACCTCCGTGCCCTGAGTCAGCAAGCTCTCAAAGGAAGACCAGAACTCTCTTCGCAGGACCTGCTTTAGCTTCCGGGGCAGCACCTCTCCTGGCTCCCGGGAGCCCTGAGCAGAGAGGGAGGCGGGGACAGGTGGGCAGGGTCATTTGGGACCTGTGTCCTCTGGCCACCCACTCGGCATGGGCAGCGGGCCAGTCCCCTGAAGCCTCAGGCAGATGAGCCTCTGGCAGCAGCTGCCTTGGGGCCAGAGTGACATTGCCCAGAGCCCACTGTCCATGTCAGCCCGGAGGCCAGGGTGTCACAGCCTTTGAGGGGTACCGGGCACTTTGGGGGAGCCAGTGCCCTGACCTCTGCCACCTGGCCACCAGCCAGAGGGCGGTGTCTCGTCTGTGTGTGTCCCCACCCCACCTCCAGCCTCTGTTACAGTGCGCTGGACTCCTGGCCACTCCTGATGCACCCTGCCCTGGACACGGGCATGCACCTGCACTCCCCTCTCCACCCATCTAGGGCACCTCTCAGCCCACATCACATCTACTGCTCTGGCCTGGGAGACGCCCTGCCCCTCACTGCCTGGGGTGGCGGGATCTTCAGCTGTGTCTCAGGGGACAGCTGCCCATTGACATTGCCCAGGAAGATGCCCATTGTCAAGAGAGACTGAAGTGCTGGAGAAGGAGGTTGAAGGGTGCTGGAGAATCCTCTGGAAGGGACGGCCCAGCCTGGGCTCAGATCCCCCTCCCTCACCTGGAGGGCACAGGGGTCATGGCTGCAGGAGCCGGACCACCTAGAGCCTGGAATCCTGGCTGGGGTCTGAAGACCCTGAGGGGGTCTGCCCCATGCACACGCATTAACTTGCTGCCCTCCCGGGTGGATGCCGGGAAAACCCAGTGAATTCCTGCTGAGCTGGGGTAGATTATGGACTCCAGGGGCAGGCTCGGGGAGGGGCCCCTCAGAGCTGTACTGGGACATTGGCCTGGGGCCTGCGGATGCACGGTCCTCCTGCCTGGACTTGTCTGTTCTGACCCTAGAGTAACAACAGGGTTTGGGAGAGCAGAAGGCAGATGGACGGGTCAGAATTCGAGTGGTTGGACCGCTTGGGCAGGACAGGCCCAGCAGAACACAACCCAGTTATGTCGCCATGAGCCCGTCAGTCCTGCAAATAGCTGCTGCCCCGAGCTGAGGACACATGTATGCCCCGCCCTGCCCTCAGCAACACCGTCCTGCCCTCGGGGCTCAGCTTAGGCGCCAGGGCCAGGGTAGGTGCGTGCCCAAGATGCCCCACCCCAACCCTGAGCTCTGCAGGAGCAGCCCCAGCCCTGAGCCTGGTGCCTGGACCCAGCAGGTGCTCAGTCGGTGCTTCCACTCCGAACAGCACCTGAACGCATCTTCACAACCACCAAATGAAGAGCTAGGAGAGAGCACTCCTTCTAAGGCAAGGCCCAGCCTTTGTCTTTCAGAATGGGGACAGCATCCAAGCTGTCCAGGGCAGCGACCGCTGGTGGCTGGTGACCTGTTGGTGGCAGAGATGGCAAAAGAGCACGGGGCCTGGGACAGCGGGGCCTCACCCCAGGCAACATCCAGTGCTCAGAGGGGCCACGCTTCACCACCAGCACCTCCAGCATCTTCTTGACGCTCTTCCTGCAGATGGCACCATCCAGGCTCCGCCTCCAGCTACAGGAGGATGCAGGGGGAAGGGTCAGCCTGCCCCTGCCCCCGCCTGGGAGGCCACCTGCTAGGCCACTAGCACCTGCTCCAGGGGAGAGGAGCCATCTGCTCCCATAACCTCCAGTCCAACCAGAATGGGTCAGCTTTGTTGGACAGTATTTTTCTACCAAAAGCCTTAAAGAAGCTCATGCCCTGGACCCAGCCCTTCCTCCTCTGTCACCCTGGAAGTGAAGGGTGAATTGGCATGGATCTTTGCATAGTGACAAAGTCCTCCCCAAGGGGCCTCTGAAGGAGAGGACCCACAGGGAAGTGAGTCAGCCTGCAGGGAAGAAGGTTTTGGGCTCTCCTGACGGCACCCACATTCATCCCCTGCCCCACCACTGGGTGGGGGGCTGGGCGACACTGTGCTTATCGGGGGCTACTCACCGGGTGATCACAGGCTGCAGCGTGTGATTGGGGCCGAAGCAGCTGAGGTCCCCGCGGCCACGCAGTCCCGTGCGGCCCATGGGGTTCCTGGGTAGACAGGGGTCAGCTCAGCCCACTGCCAGCGGCTGGAGACCCCAGCCAGGGCAGCAGGCAAGGGCTCTGCAGGGGCTGTGTGCCAGCTCCACCCACAGCTGCCCTGGCCCAGGGTTCCTAGAGCCCAGGCAGCTCCCCTGGACAGGACCAGGGAGGAGGCCCAGACCAGACCCCAGAGCCCAGGGGCCCCTTGACCAGGCTGGGTGACTCTGCGTCACGCACTGGGGCTGTCCACTGCAAACCCCACCCCTCAGGGACTCCAGGGTGGGCGGCTGCTACCTTGCGGTGGGCTGGAGAGGAAAGGGGCCTCTGGGAGCAGAAACCAGCCCCACCGCAGACGGTCCCCCGCCAAAGAGCGCCTGCCTGACCATGGCACCATGCCCGAAGGCCTCAGCCGGCCTATGAGCTGGCATCAACGGTACCCCCCTCTGCCTGTGACACTCGGCCCTGTTCTCTTCCTGCACACTGTGTCCCCCCCAATGCCCTCCCCCGTCCAGGGCTGGAGACACTCCTGGTCACCTCAGTTTCCCTGCCCCACTTGTCTCCACCACCCTGTCCCGCAGCTTCTATCCCAGTGATCACCCCTCCCTGTTCCAGAACATTCCCAGAGGCCCACCACCCACCTCCTCCCGCAGGCAGTTTCCCTCAACAACCCCTGCTCCATGGGATCTCCAAATCCCAGCTGACTGTGACCCTGTCCCCGGCCTCCGCCTGGTGGTGCAGCCTCCCCAGCGACCCTCGGACCCCAGGCCAGCACACAGTAGGCATCCACCAAGGGCCTGCTGGGCCTGACGCCTCGGGTCCCCTTTCGCCTCTACATCGATTCCACACCTGTGCAGTGGGGCATACCATCCCTACAGCAGAGACCTGGAAACGCCAGCCCAGCAGCCCTTTAACATTGCCCCTGCTTTATTCTCACAGTGGGGTCCGCGTTTTACCCTGTCTCTACACCTCAGGAACGGAGGTCCTAAAGGCTGTGTCAGAGAACCAGGGCACAGTGCCCAGGCCAGCAGGCCCAGCTCACTGTCCCCACCCCTCCACACGTGTCCAGGGAGATGGCCAAGTGTGGGCCTCTGGGGTTGGTAATAAAGTACTTTATGTTGATGTTTCTTTCTTCCATAGCTTGTTTGTTTTTATCAGAAAAATTTAAATCAACCCTGAATGTTCATTGGAAGGACTGATGCTGAAGCCGAAGCTCTAATACTTTGGCCACTTGATGCGAAGAGCTAACTCATTGGAAAAGACCCTGATGCTGGGAAAGGTCGAGGGAAGGAGGAGCAGGGAAGCAGAGGATGAGATGGTTGCATGGCATCATCGACTCAACAGAAATGAGCTTGGGCAAACTCCAGGAGATAATGAAGGACAGGGAAGCCTGGCATGCTGCAGTCCATGGGGTCCCAAAGAGTTGGACATGACTGAGTGACTGAACAACAAGTCAGAAAAACACCAACTTTGCTGGAGACGAAGCCTGACTCCAGAAGGAAAACTGCAGAGGTGGCTGAGGAGGGCTGGAGAAGGGGGAGGGGGTGGGTACACTCACAGAGGGAGCCCATCCCGCACTGCGTAGACTCCATGGAAGCTGCGCCGGTCCAGCGGCCCATCTACCGCGTTGTAGCTGATCTTGGACAGAGGTTCCAGGGCACTGGAAGGGAGAAGAGAGGTCGAATCCCCAACAGAGATGGCGGGAGGCAGAGTGGCCACAGTGACCCCTCGTCCACCAGGGGGGCTCCTCCCTGGCCACAGGCGCCCCCAGCCACATGCCTCCCAGCATGTCCCAGCCCCCAGGGAGGATGGGGAGCCCACCCAGGCAGGAAGCAGGGTACTCACTCCCCCACAGGGTCCACCAGGTCCTTGTCCTTCCTGTCGGCCGTGTAGAAGGGCGGGTTGTACATGAGGAACTCCGTCTGCGGGACACAGGGTCTCCTTGACTCAGATGGTCACCCCCCCAGGCTGGCCGGCACCCAGGACAGCTGATTGCAGAGCCCTGGGAGTGCCCAAAGGATGCAGAAGTCCACGCTGGACTGACCTGAGGACCCACGCACCTGGGCCAGCCATGGTCAAGGGGAGCCTCCCCAGGTAGGAGGACGGGGGGCTAGGCTGGACTCCAAAGGGAGGAGTCCCCTGGCAGAGACAGGAGGAGTGACAGCCCGGGATGTGCCAGGAAAACCAGAGAGACGGCCTGTGGGGGGCATACCCCCAGGCCTCCCCCTTTGCTCCCTCTCACTCTCCACCTCCAGCCTCCCCAGCACTCAGAAAGGGGATAGGGGCTGTTCTCCGGGGACGGGGGCTTGAGGACAAGCGGGGCAGTGGGCCCCGTGTGGATAGCAGCCCCAGTGTCCAGGTTCATGGCCCAGCTCCACCCCTTGGGTCTCGTGGACTGCGCTTCCCCCTTCATCTGTCCCTCATGGCCCTTCGAGGCTGCAGTGGGCTCAGCCAGCCTGGGGCCCAGGCCACTCCCCCCAGGACACTGGGCCCCTGCAGCCTGGTGGGTAAGGCCAACACAGGCACTCACCTCCCAGGGCACCTTCTCGTTGGGCACCGGGAACCTCAGGACAGAGGAACTCGGGTAGAGCAGGTGCCGGGCATTCACGTGGTAGGCATCGCCGGTGTCCTCCGCCTTCGATCTGCTGTCCAGCTCAGGGCCCCGCCCCACTGAGGCCTTCTCAGGTACTGGGAGTGGGGACAGGGACAGGGCCACCCTCTGAGGTCCTTTCCCCCAATCTTCCGGGCCAACTCCACCTCTCTGAGCCGCTTTGAACGCCAGCCCCAAAGAGAGCACCCTCCCCAGGGTTCCCATTACTGCAGCCCAGGAGGACCGAGGCCTGGGCTCAGGCCCCCATTGCCTGCGGCAGCTCCCAGCAGAGCGTTTGGTAATCAGCAGGATGCATAAGCCCTTTCAGAAGCCTGTCCAGCTGAAAGGGCAGATGGCTCCTTTGGGGCCAGTAACAGCCCAGGAGGGTTGCTCGTGACCGTTTCTTGACCAGCTGCAGATCTGGGAGCAAAGACATGCTTTCTGTCACCCAGTCAAAGTGAGCGGGTCTCGGGTCTGCTGGACCTGATGCTCACAGGGAGGTCAGGGGGCCTGGGCCAGGCTACCTCTGGAATACCCCAGCCTGGTCAAGCCGGGGGACTTGGCCACACTCAGCACATGTAGCCGTGGGGTGAGTCATGCACCCCAAGGGGCTGGGCCTGCTCCTCTCCACCCCACAGACACCTGGACACAAAAGAGCACAGGTGGGTAGAGACCAGCCGCTGGCACAGCCACCCACTCACCCAGAGTGGGGACACCTTCTCCCGAGCCAAAGCCACTGTCCCTCAGGGCCTTCACAATCCAGTGCACCGCTGTGGCTGTCTGGGCCGCCTGGAACACATGAGCAAAACAAGATTGGGCAGTAGCGGCCCGCACATGGGATGCCCAGCTCCCCAGCCCCCTCTTCCCCAGGCAGCCATGCGACACCCCGGTCTTGGCCAGGAGGGCCATCGGAACCGTCCCCAGAAGCAGAGGGTCCCAGCCCGGAGCCCACCTGCTCCTCCAGGGAGGCCAGTCTCTGCTCCACTGCTCCCGACTGCTTCAGAGGTGCCATTTCCAGCAGGTCCACTATGGCATCCACCCTGCAAGAGGACACAGCTGAGTCCTGCACCTGACCCGGGGTCTGGGCGTGGAGAGAGCCTGGTGCACTTTGCATGTGGGCAGCCTGCACATCCAGCAGCACAGGCTCCTTCGGCTCTAGTTTCAGGCTTCTTCCTCTTAATTTGAAAGGATTTACACTCAACGGTTCCATAGAGAATGAGCACCGCCTAGTGGCCCGGGGGGAAGACCTCGCAGCCAGTGATGCCCCAGGCTCACAGGGCCACCCGACAGCCGCAGGGGCGTGGCCGGGCCAGAGGTGCAGGTGTGCACACACCTGCTTCCTCACCTCCATATGCCTACAGGCTGTCGGTCACAAACCCAGGAGGGATAGAGCGGCCGCTGGGCAGAGGAGGGGACGCTGCCTCCGGGCACCAGTGGGGACTCTTGAAGGAGGAGGGGACACTGATATTTGGGAAATGTTTGCTGGCTTTGGTCTTAGTTTGCTGCTGCTGCTGCTGCTAAGTCGCTTCTGTCGTATCCGACTCTGTGCAACCCCATAGACAGCAGCCCACCAGGCTCTGCCATCCCTGGGATTCTCCAGGTAAGAACACTGGGAGTGGGCTGCCATTTCCTTCTCCAATGCATGAAAGTGAAAAGTGAAAGTGAAGTCGCTCAGTCGTGTCCGACTCTTAGCGACCCCATGGACTGCAGTCTACCAGGCTTCTCCATCCATAGGATTTTCCAGGCAAGAGTACTGGAGTGGGTTGCCATTGCCTTCTCCAAGTTTGCTACAATGTAGGAATTGCACCCGTGGGCCGATGTGTTCATAAGAAGAACACTTCCACAGCCAAGCATCCATCCAAACACCCTGGTCTTTTCCCCTGGAGTTTCTGAGCCACCTTCTCCCAGAGGCTCCTGCTCCACAACAAAGTGACAGACATTTCAGGGACCACAGGGCTGCAGCGTCAGCCCTGCTGAGATCCCCAGCCCCGTACTTGTCACTGATGTCCTGAATCTTCTGCTCTGGACTCTGCTTCCGCTGGAACTGCTGTTCCTGCAGGTAGTTCTCCTTCAGGTAGATCTCCCAGGACAGGAGGGCCGCCTCCTCGTTCTTCTCCAGCTTGTTCTCTGTCCAGGAAGGGGAGCCTCTGACCCACTGGGGGCCCCGCAGGGAGGGGCAGAGGAGCCCGTCCACGCCCAACCCCAGTGGGCTGGCGGGAGTCCAGGGGCCTGAGCGGACTGCATCTCCCTTCCCCCAGCCCAAGCTTCCGGGATGCTCAGAGGAGCTGCCCCCGGATCCCAGCTGCGCCCCAGACGTGGCTCTGGGGACCAGGGAGGGACAGCTTACTGAACTGCTTATGCCGCTTGGCAGGGATCTTCAGCACCACCCTCTTGATGAAGAGGTGCAGGTGGCTGAGGAGGATGAAGGGAGGTGGGGCGGGGGGCCTTCCCTGGTACTCCTCGATCAGGTCGTGGCGCTGGAACTTCCAGATCTGGTCTGTGCGCTCCTGCACCTGCTGGAAGGTGTAGCTACAGGGGGCGGGGAGCACGGGTTACCGGGAGCACGGGCCACGCAAGCTGGGTTATACACAACTGTGTCACTGCCTGAGTGTGTGCCGTGACGGCCCATAAAGGCACACCAGGGAGGGCAACCCAGACACAGGAAAGGCAGCTGAGCACCCTGGGGGCCCAGAGGAGAAGGAAGAAAGAAGACGTAGATTTTAGAGTCTACAAACCTCGCTAGAGGACAAAACAGAGCTGCGCGTGTTGGGAGATGGATGGTATCCTGCACTGAACCCTAAAAGGATCTGATTCCCCTGAATCTGACAAACAGAAGGGACAGTGTCTTCAACAGGCCGACATGCTCATTCTCCACATCCTGTGTCTCGTGCGGGTAGATGTCAGCTGGCCCAAACCTCTGACAGAGGTCCTCGGAGGAGAGGAGGAAGGCTGGGCAGGGCTGAGACGCAGCCACTTCCCGCTGGGTCTCCGGCCTCTGTCTACACAGCCCAGCACTGGGGCAGGGTCTCTCACTGTTCAGAGCACATGGTAAATCAGCAAGTGGTGACCTCATCACCCTAGCTGATGAAGAGAAGAGAAACCGTGCCCAAACTGGTCATGGGTCCCAAGGGCCCTTCTGCAGAGGCCAGGAGGGGCCTGAGGGGGTGGCGATGCCCTGAGCCACAGGGTCAGCCTCCTGGGCACCACGGTCAGGGCCAGCCCTGTATGCCTGCTTTACACAGAGGGCAAAGACAGGTCATCTTGCATCACAGGATTCTTAACAAGTGTGACACACACGCCTCCACCACCAGAGATGACCTCAGCCAAGTTGCTGTCCCTCATCCACCTCCCTCTGCCGGGGCGGGAGGAGTGAGACTTCAGCACCCCAGCCCATGGTCTCCGAGCACAGGGCCTGTGGGGTGCCCCCTAGCAATAGTGCCCGTGTTGGACGCCATGGTCACCAGGTCAGCCTGGGTTGAGCCGGGTCCTGGGTCCCAGGCTCTGCACCATCCATACCACCCTGGAGGGGGGCAGGCAGCGGGGTGTGCACCCCGCACGTGGCACTCACTTGAACATGGCGATCAGCAGGTTGAGCAGCAGGATATTGGTGAAGAGCAGGTAGAGGCAGAGCAGGAGGACGGTCAGCCACTCGGGGAACATGGGCTCCTGCCGCGCCTGGTCGATCTCGGGGCACTTGGGCTTGTAGGGGTCCGTGCCATTGGGGCTGCACTGGTCTGGTCTGAAGTTCACGCCTGGGTTGGGATGAGGGGGAAAGTGAGTCCAGAAAGCCAAGTGGAGTCACAGGGGCCCTCGGGCAATGACCTTACCAGCCTGGACCCCCGCACATCTGGGTGACCTCAGCTGTCAGCTCAAGCCCGAGGGAAGCCCAGAGAGGGCCGACTGTCTACACCAAGCATCCTCATGGGCAGGAAGTTCAGCTGCCAGGAAAGCCCAAGAGCGAGACCTGCACTCCAGGCTGGCACATGCCTCCCTGGGATCCAGGCACCCCACCAAGGCACTTCCTGGGGGTGTGTCATCAACAGGAAGGACTATGTCATCTAAGTCACAGGTCCTAACCCTGGGATCCAGGCACCCCACCAGGGCACTTCCTGGGGGTGTGTCATCCACAGGAGGGACTATGTCATCTAAGTCACAGGTCCTAACCCTGGGAGCAGAATGTGGCAGGAAAGACGTCAAAGAGAAAATGAACAACTGTCGTGAAGCAAAGGGAGACATCAGAAAGGAAAAATGCTGCAGAGGCAACATTTCTATATGGAGCAAGTGATTACAAACCAAAACACAGCTCCACATTTGCAGAAAAGTAAAGGATACATAGTATTACAAAACATAACTATATACTCTGTGCATTTAAAAATCTGTGATAAGGGCTTCCCTGGTGGTCCAGTGGTTAGGAATCTGCCTTGCAATGCAGGGGACATAGGTTCAATCCCTGGTCCAGAAACATTCCACATGCCTCAGGGCAACTAAGCCTGTGCACTAAAACTACTGAAGCCCCCACACCCGAGAGCCCATGCTCCACAACTAAGGAAGCCAACACAATGAGAAGCCCACACACTGCAACTGGAGAGTAGCCTCCACTCATTCTATCTAGAGAAAGCCTCATGCAGCAGTGAAGACCCAGCACAGCACTGAAGACCCAGCGTAGCCAAAATTAAATACTTTAAAAAAAGAAGAAAAAGACATCCAGATTGGAAAGGAACAAGTATTTGCAGATGACATGATAGTAGCAAGTCCCCCAAAAGGCACTTTAAAACCATTAGAACTGGTAAAGAAGTTCATCAAGGTTTCAGAATACAAGTTCAATGTACAACATATAGTGTTTTTCTACACAGTAAACAATCCAATTAATAAAACAATTCTACTTACAACAGCATGAAAAAGAATAAAAACATTTAGGAATAAATTTAACAAAAGAAGTACAAACTATATACTGAAAAGTAAAATATACTATGGAAAGAAATTAAAGATCTAACTATGTGGAAGAAATCCCATGTTTATAATCAAAATCCTCCTGGATGTCTTTTTTGGAGAAATTGACTAGATCAACCGAAAATTCATGTGGACCCAAGGGACCCAGAGGCCAAAACAATCATGAAAAACAGAATAAAGCTGACGGACTCACACTTCCTTTAAAGCTACACTGGCCAGGACCACGGTGCTGGCACCAGGATAGACACATAGATAATAGGAATAGAAGAGATAAACCCTTTTGTTAACAGTCAACTGATTTCTGGGTCGGGAAGATCCCCTGGAGGAATTAAATAAGGATACAGGTGACAATACAGATGATTCAAAAACATTACACTGAGTAAAAGAGGCAAGACACAAAAGACACACACACGTGAAGTGTCTGGAAAAGGCACATTCTACCCTGATGCTGGGAAAGAGTGAGGGCAGGAGAAGGGTGACAGAAGATGAGATGGTGGGATGGCATCATCGACTCGACAGACATGAATCTGAACAAGCTCTGGGAGACAGTGAAGGACAGAGAAGCCTGGTGTGCTGCAGTTCATGGGGTCACAAAGAGTCCGACACGACTTTGCTACTGAACAACACCATCATCAATGGAGACAGTAGACGACAGGTCACCTGCAGTTGGGGGGGTGGTGACTACTAAAGGGTATGGGGTGACTTGTGGGAGTGATGCAAACATTCTAAAATTAGATTCTGTAAATATACTAAAAACCATGGAAGTGGACACTTTTTACAGGTGAGTTTTATGGTATGTGAATTCATCTCAATGAAGCCATGATAGAGAACAAACTCTATGTTCTCTCCACTCAAAAAAGGAAGACTTACATCTGACTGCAGTAGGAGGAACAGAAGGAATCAGGTGGCATTTAATGGGGGATGAGGGGGTGTCAGCTGATGCCCCAGGCCACATCCCCGACCCACTTTGATCTCCCCGCAGCTGCGAGGTACAGCCCAACTGCGGCCAGCTGATGCCTGCCCCAAGTGGGTCCCAACAGATGGGACCCCAAGTGCACCCATCTCTTTCTTCAGGAGCCAAGGACCCTAGGCAGTGTTGAGCTAGTGGGATGTGCCCAGTCCTCCCTCCTCCCACTTCTGTGACCCTGGAGGAACCCCACAAGGTGGCACCTCCTTTTCCACAGCTGTCAGGGCCCCTCCTACCGTCAATGTAGGTTGGGAGCTGCCCGAAGATGGTGAGATATGAGTGGTAGACGGCCCCCCGGAAGATCCACTCCACCCGCCTCTCGTTGTGGATGAGGATGGCCTGCTTGGCCACCCCGAAGGACACGACCCACACGGCCAGCAGGAAGAGGAAGAAGAAGACGTCCTTCATCTGTGGGAGGGGGGCACCAGTTGCAGCCACACCACCCCACACTGTCCCTGCCCACAGGGGGGTCCCCAAATGCCCTGTGGTGGACGAGACTCCATCAACTCTCACAGCATGGCTGCATGGAGCCAGGAGCTCCAGGGGACAGCCTAGAGGGGCACTGGGCACCCCATGAGGAGTAGGAAGGGTCGTGACCATGACCCAAGAAGGGGAGTGACAGGAGCTATTACAGGGATCAGGGATGAGCTGTGGATATCAGGGAAGGCTGCCTAGAAGAGGCAACATACAGGCAAGACCTGAGACAGGCACGCTAGGGTGTGGAAGCAGAGTGGTGACTTGGGGTCCTGTGGGGTGTGCTGTGCCCCGGGGTGGCTCAGGCCCCCCTTACCATCGTTCCAGGGTGCTACAAAGTCCCGCTTATCATCCATCCTGGGGTACCTTGGGCCCCCACTTACCATCCGCTTCACGATGATAATCTTGGGCCCCAGCGTCTTGCTGATGGTGAAAATGTGCATGAGCCGCAGGCAGAACATGGTGAAGTCCAGGGAGAGGATGATGCGCCCGGTGTATAGCAGTGAGGGCATGAGTCTGCAAAGGAGCAGGGCCTCAGTTGGCCGCCCCGGGCCTGGCCCTAGCCCCCTGCCCAGCTGCCCCGGCCCCAGGTACAACAGTGAGGGCACAAGCCTGATGGGGAGCAGGGCCTCAGCTGACTGCTCCAGGGCTGGCCCCAGCCCCAGTGTGACCCCAGACCCCAAAGCACTAAAACTAGGTGTAAGTTCAGGAGCAGAGCGCCCAGGAGGGTCCGGAAGGCCAGCCTCAATGCAGAGAAGCTGGGCCTCGTGGGCATCCTGGGAAGCAGCAGGCTGGCCCAGCCCCTCCTGCTCATGAAGGGGTCACCCAGGGCAGACACGTGCCCTTGATGGACTGTGGAGAGGTCAGGGCCCCTGGCTGGGACGCGGGCACTCCCACCAGACAGCTCCCCATGGTGACAGAGCCCACATCTCTGCTCCGGCTCCTCCCTGTCCCCGCGTGGGCAGGGCACCCTCGGCACAGACATGTCCAGAGACGTGCTGAAACCTCGAGGGGGCCTCAGCTCCCAGCCTCACCCCAGCCCAGCCCTGTGCGGGCTGCTCCCTTGATGGGACGGGAGGGCCACCTGGAAGGGAGGTTACTCACCGGCAGGTCAGCCCCGCAATGAAGAGCAGGATAGCGCACACGTCCAGCTTGTTCCAGAAGTCACTGAAGTACACGATCACTGCCTTCCGCAGCCCGCTCCCGTCGGGGTCGTAGAAGAGCTGGAGAGGGGAGCAGGGACATGCAGGGCTGTGGGTCATCCTTCTCAGTTCCCCACCAGCAAACCGGCCTCACTTCCTGGGCAGCTGAGAATCGGGGAGGGGCTGCTAGCAGGAGAGGTGGCCCTGACTGAGCCCGGCTCCCCTCCCAAGAGGGGACCCCCACACTCTGCAGCATCCTTCACAGGGGAGCCAGGGACTCACGAAGCCCAGGACACCACCCAGTGATGTCACCCTTGGGGTGATAAGAGAGAGTTTCAAGCAAAAACCAATGCCTTGAGGGGGTCGGGTGGAGGAGGAGCAAGGGCAGGAAGCGGCTGGCGGACCACAGGCCACACTTTCCGAGGGTCCTCGCCCGGCTCTCGATGCCCACATGGGGCTCACTGTGGACGGCATGGGGCCAAGGGCTCCATGAGAAAGTGACCGAGCCCAGGGTGCGCCTGGGGGTAGGAGGGTCCGTGGGTGGAGTGGGAGCGGGCTCACCCACCTGCCGCAGCTCCTCACACACCAGGGAGAAGAGCCAGATGTAGATGAGGTACTCGCAGCCGGAGGGCTGGGGCTGGAAGTCCACCATGAGCACGTAGGCAAACAGGCAGAGGAAGGCGAAGTAGGACAGGATGTTCATGTGGAAGACGACCACGGGCGCGCTGAAGAAGGCGCGGACGCGGGCCAGGCCCCCCTCCACCTGCCGCCGCTGGTTCCTGTGGAAGACGTGGGCAGGGGAGGCCACGGCCAGCTCAGCCATAGGTCACACCACAGAAGGGAGGCCCAGGACTTGCGGCTGGCCAGCCACCCTGCACACATGGTTATGGTGGGGGCTCGGCCAGACAGCCCTGCAAAGAGGTCCCCGAAGGGCTCTCAGGTTCCTTTAGGGCTATCACAAAACCCACAGGCCATGGTAGGACTTGCCCCCCGGTAGATACTGGGCGATGGCAGTTCTCACCCCTCCCCAGCGTGAATCCCCTCCATCCTGGGACCGGTGGCAGCAGTGAAGACCCCCAGAGCGGGTATTTGGGAAGGGAGGTCCGGCCCCAAGCCCCATCGGCCCCACAGCTGGGCTGGCACCTGAAGGAGATGAGGCCAGTGTAGAGCAGCGGGAAGACCAACATGCACAGCATCACGCGCCAGAGCCCATTGTCCACGCCAAGCTGGCCCCACCACACCTTGGTCAGGAAGGCCTGCGGACAGAGGGCGGGTTTCAGGGCGATGGGCCCCCCACCTGCCCTGACCCTGTGCTCCCTGAGACTCCCGAGGAGGAGCGACTCTGTAGGCTCAAGCACAGCACCCTGCCAGGCCCACAGGTGACGTGATGGGGAGTGCAGTGGGCAGCTCCAGTCCGGCCCTGAGTCTGCCAGCCCAGGAAGAGGCTCTGGGGGCAGGACCAGGCTCTCCTGGACCAGGCTCTCCCAGGCCAGAAAGTGGGCCTCAAACCCGGAGCCGGGCTCTATCACCCTGCCCCACTCTCACCAGCTGGCCCCCTGAGCTCTCTCCGGGGGTGGGCAGTGTGGGCAGAACACCTCCCCACCAAGCCCCTGGGATCCAGCATGGCCAACTCAGGATGGTGCCGTGGATGTAGTGACGGAAGAGGCTGTGCTCCAAGGAAGCGCCAGGGCTCTGAGGTTCCCTCCGGTGCACTACACATGTCATGTCACCAAGGCAACACCAGAGCGTCCTGTGAGCTTCCATGTGTCCCTCCTGAGACCCCAGGTAGCAGGGGTCGGGGGAGCTGAGGCCTAGCCCTGAAGGCCTGCTGGGGGCTCCCATTCTGTGCAGAGGTGAGCTACCCCCTTCACAACTAACCACCCACTCTCACTCAGCATCAGCTCTCTCCTCGGCAAACAGGGAGGAGAGGGTGTGCCTGTCTGCAGCAGGTGACCAATGGCCAGCGCCATCCCTGGGTCCCCACAGGACCTGACATGGTGCACAGGAGGCTGCGTCCGCTCCTGCAGCCCAAGGCAGGTCTTTCTGGAAGGAGGCCCCCAGAACGTCACCTGGATGCCCCCATGAGACACGAACTTCATGTCCTTGGCCTCCAGGGCCAGCTGCAGGCAGGTGGTCCTGCCCCAGGCCTCCGACACGCGGACCAGCAGCTTCTGAGCCCTCTCCTCATCCTTCCGGTAGCACTCGGTGAAGACCCCTGGATGGGAGAAGATCTCGTCACAGCAGCCGGACCCTCACCAGGGGGAGCTGCAGAAAGTGGTGGAGCACCGCCCCTCCGGACAGCACAGCGGGCGCATGGATGGGGCGAGGACCCCAGGGTCACCCATGAGGAGCTGGGCCCAGGTCTGAGGCTGCAGCCCCAGAAGCTCACCAATGGCTCTCTGTTCATACTCGTCTGCGAGCACCAGCATCTCCTCCAAGCTGTCCGTGTCTTCCTCCTCTTTGGACAACTCCTTCAGGATCTTGCTGCAGGCCAAGGCTGCCGCGATGCAGTCCTGGCTCTGGGTACCCCGGGGGAGCCACCGTGAGGCTCTGGATGGTCCTGCCCCAGGACCCCCAACATGCCGCCGCCCAGGCTGATGAGAGCAAAGGCCCCGAGACAGCACAGGCTGCAGGGCGTGGACTCAGTGTGTGCTCCTTCCACATAAACTTCTGGGCTCACCCCAGGTCACATGCAAGCCCTGCTGGCAGTCAGTCTCCTGCAGGCCAGGCAGTCCCCTTGCTCCCCAAGAACACAGACTGGACACAGGCACTCAAATAGCCCTGCTGATACAAGGCCCAGAGATCTCCAGGCATCTGGTTAACCCCATGCAAGGAGCACCCCCCCCCCAAAGAGGAGAAGCTGGGACCTGGCCATCACATGGCCCTGTCCAAGGCCAGGGGCCTCACCCTCGGTGGCACCCCCAGTCCCAGGCACCAGAGGGGGGCCAAGAGAATCTCACAGGAGGCTCTCAATACTCAGCCCAGAGGCCCTGGGTCTGAGGGCAGCACTGGCCCGGGTGAGGGGTTGGTGTCAGAGCCTGGAAACCTGAGTTTGGTTTTTCTGGCCAATAAGCCCCACCGGGCATACTCGAGGCCACAGTCGGGCCGGCTCTGTCGCCCACCCCGTCCCCCAAGCACCTTGGGAGAGGGCACACCTCCCAGAACCTGGGTGAGGGGGCAGGTTGCCAGAGCCTCTGCGAGGACTCTGAGGGAGCCGGCTCTGAGAGCAGCCTGGAAATGTTGGCTCAGAAAAGCAAGGCCTCTCTGAGAAAAACTATGAAACTTTACTTCTCTGTTAAGAGGAGAGCCAGCTTGAAATACAGGAAAACCATGCGGGGAGCCCTGGTCTGCGGTGCTCTGTTTCTTAGGGAGCTGCCTAGCCAGTCCCCGCCATGGGTGATAAAGCCCCATGCAGGCCCAGTGACCAGCAGTCACCCAGCCAGTCCCCTTCGTTGGCGATGAAGTCCCATGCAGGCCCAGTGACCAGGAGCTGCCTGGCCAGTCTCCTTCATTGGCAGTGAAGCCACTCTCAGGCCCAGTGACCAGGAGCCGCCCGGCTGACTGGTGGGAGTTCCCAGACAGCCCAGCCACAGCCTGGGGCGACGGCATCTGGGAAGCACCCATCTTAGTAACAGATCATGCCTGAGTCCCCCAACCATCAATGGGAAGAGAAGCGGCCCCTCCAGGGATGGAACTAGCCTACAGAGTCCCCTGACCCGGGCAGCCATGGGGCTGGAGCCCTGTCACTGGTCCACTGATAGTTTCAGTCTGCTGACCTGAGCCCAGATGATTTCTGCCAGCTCCCGGCGGTTCTGCACGATGGCCCAAATGAGAAGATCACGGACCGGATCTATGGTGAAGGTAGCTTGGCCTGATGAACGCTTGTACAAGGGCCGGAGACTCTCTCCCTGCACCTGTGAGCAGCGGACAGTCAGCAACCCCACCTGGGGTGGGGACACCTGTTGAGGGTGCAGGATCTGAGCTCGGCCCCACTATCCTTGGAGGATGAGCCCTGAAAGCCACTTTTCCAACAACACTCAGATGGTTCTCATGCACACTCACGCACACTGGGGTTTCTTAAGCACCACACTGGAGACATGAAGAAACACCCAGGAAGTGCAGCACTCAGTTATCACCCACATCATTTGTAGACCCCTGCTACTCGCCAGGGATCCCAACATTCCTTGGTCTTATGTGATGGCATCAAAGTCTTTCTCTACGAAGTAAAATTCTAAGACAGTCTGTTAGTAGATTCATGCTGTGACCTCCTCAAGGGAACCTGCAGTGTCTCCTGCAGAGAAGACCAGCAAGAAAGACCAGACAGACAGAGCCACCGTGTGAGTGGGAGGGCTCTGGCCCCAGACACACAGTCTACAGTGACACAGTCTATAGTGATTCCAGGCTTCCTGGCCCCTCTGTAAATAAGCACATCCTCAGACGGTCTGGAAGCAATTCCCAGGGAACACATTTCCCACATCACACACAACACTACACTTTAAGTGATTTCAGAAATTGTCTGAAGGCTCATCTTTATGAAAAAAAGAAAGAAAAAGTTAATTCATCTTCTTAAATTACAGACATGGTTCAATATGAGCTTCCACTTGGTACTTTCATAAGCATTTTCCAACTAGGCATCTTAAATATACTGGAATCAAGAAAACTAGCACCATGAATGTACAAAACTGTCAGGAAGCATCTAACAAAAGGCTTCCTGTGTGCTGTTTTGGATCTGTCAGGAACTCTCTGGCCCTTACTGATTCCTGAATATTCAGGAATTAAGAGGAGAGGCATGCCTTTCCCGGGGCTGAGGAATCCAGGCATTTCTCATTACAGTGATAAGTACCCTCTTCTTATGAAAAGGTGATTGTTTGCAACTCTCTCTTTGATAGGGATCGTTTTATGTTTTGTAAGTCTGGAATTTTAATCTTTATCTTTGCTGAGAATAACCACCTTGTAAGACAGTATATATGCCCACGCCATGTTGATTAAAACACCTTTGCTCCATCAGAGCTTGGGTCCCCGTGTCTTTCTTTCTTTCTTTCTCTCTCTCTTTATCTCTCTATTTCTGGCTAATTCCTTGGAGGGCGGAGGCCCGCTGAGGCCCGCTGAGCTCACTTTCTTGCCCAGGCTTCTAAGACCCTCTCGAGAAGGCGCACTGGGCCTTCACCCACTCGAGAGGGCGCCTGGTGCCTACGTGCAGCATCGCGAGCCCCAAGAATAGGACTTTATTGGCTTTCCGCGTAAACCAGGGGATATCAGCCTCTTTCTCTCTCTTACTTTCTTATCATCGACTCCGGACCACCAGGTTCCGGCCCATTAAAGGACCAACACAAAACCAAGCCACAGCCGCTTCAGTCTCAGGGGTTGGGCACAGCTCACCTAGGACAATGGATGGATTTGCAAGCCTGAAGGAAGTACATAATTTTCTAGCAGGAAAAAAGCAAAATCACAGTGGTCGTAGAAGAGACAGAAAACCTAAACATCAGGACCATCAGGAAAGAAAAATAGAAAGTTATCAGAGTCACTACGCAAAAAGGCAGTGGGCCCTGCTGGAGTCCCAGGGGAGTCTGCCAAGGGTGTAAGAGGCAGTGAACTCCAGCCACACAAACTGTCCCAGGGCAGAGAAAGAAGAAACTCTTCCCAATGTTTTCACAAAGCTAACATAAAATTGATACCAGAACCTGACATGTACAACTCTCCCCAAATAAAACTACAGTTAAAGACAACAAACATTCTGATGCGCTAAGTCCTTTCAGTCTTGTCTGACTCTTTGCGACCCCATGAACTGTAGCCTGCCAGTCTCCTCTGTCCATGGGATTTCCCAGGCAAAAACACTAGAGTGGGTTGCCTGCTCTCCTCCAGGGGATCTTCCAGATGCAGGGGTTGAACCAATGCCTCTTACATCTCCTGCTTTGGCAGGTGGGTTCTTTACCACTAGCACCACTGTAAACCCCTAAAAATGTTGGGAATCCAGCATCAGATTAAATATATCTACAATCAAGTTGAGATTCAAAATAGGGATAAAAAATAATAATGACTTATAATTCACCAAATTCATATGTCAAAGAAGAAGAGCATTTCAACTTCTCAGAAGGCATCTGACAAAGTTCAGCCCTGAGGTGTCATTCGTAAAACCTTATTGAATCTTGAGAGGGGTTTCGGTCACATAAATATACCACAGATGCCAGCATTACACTTAATGCTTAGAAACTGCGGGGTCCCCATCAAATAAAGATTCAGACTAGAAAACTCCTCCTCCTGTTATTGCCACACATGTGTATCTCACGCAGACACAGATGAGCTATGCTGACCTGGCCACACAAACACCAATGGTGTGAGCAGGGCTCAGGGGAAGGGGTACACGGGACAGCATTTTCCCATATAATTATTTGTACTGTTGAAAGTTCTTAGAAAGGGAGCTCCTGGACTGACGTGTGTCCACCACCTTCACACGCTGAAGCCCCAGCCCTAGTGTGACTATTTGGAGATGAGACTTTACACATGGGCTGGATGAAACACAAGCTGGAATCAAGACTGCCAGGAGAAATATCAACCACCTCAGATATGCAGATGACACCACCCTTATGGCAGAAAGAGGAAGAACTAAAGAGCCTCTTGAAGAAGGTGAAAGAGGAGAGTAAAAAAGCTGGCTTAAAACCCAACATTCAAAAAACTAGGATCATGGCATCTGGTCCCATCACTTCATGGCAAATAGACAGTTTAATAATGGAAACAGTGACAAACTTTATTTTCTTGGGCTCCAAAATCACTGCAGACAGTGACTACAGCCATGAAATTAAAAGAGGCTTGCTTCCTGGAAGAAAAGCTATGACAAACCTAGACAGCTTACTAAAAAGCAGAGACATTACTTTGCTGACAAAGGTATATACAGTCAAAGCTATGGTTTTTTCGAGTAGTATGGATGTGAGAGTTGGACCATAAAGAAGATCAAGTGCCAAAGAATTGACGCTTTTGAACTGTGGCGTTGAAGACTCTTGAGAGTTCATTGGACTGCAAGGAGATCAAACCAGTCAATCCTCAAGGAAATCAGTCCTGAATATTCAATGGAAGGACTGATGCTGAAGCTGAAACTCCAATACTTTGGCCACCTGATATGAAGAGCCAACTCATTGTAAAGACCCTACTGCTGGGAAAGATTAAGGGCAGTAGGAGAAGGGGACGACAGAGGACAAGATTGTTGGATGGTATCATCGACTCAATGGACAGGAGTTTGAGCAAGCTCCAAGAGATGGTGAAGGACAGGGAAGCCTGGTGTGCTGCAGTCCATGAGGTCACAAAGAATCAGACACAATTAAGCAACTGAACAACAACTTTATGTACGTGATTAAGGTTAAGGGAGACCATAGAAGTGGGGCCCTGATCCAACAGGACCCTAGCCCTAGGGTGCCTAGAAGAAAAGGAAGCCATACTGGACGCTCTGAGGATGGAGCCAGAAAGTGCTCGCTCCTCTGCAGGCCAGGAGGAGAGGCCTCACCAGAAGCTCACCTGTCAGCACCAAGACCTTGACTTCCAGCCTCCAGAGAAGGGAGAAGAAGATGCCCGCCATGTAACCTGCCCCATCTGTGTTATGACAGCGAGATCCGACTTTCCCAATAACAGTAAAAGCGCGTGTTTCAGAGCTCCGAAGCTGGCCAGCACTCACATTGATTTTGATGCTGGGCACCGGGAGGAGGCGTTGCCGGTCGCTGGAGCGGGGCCGGGAGTACAGCGGCTGTGTGGAGTCCCCGAGGAGCTCCCGGAGCACCTGGGCCACGTGGTGCAGAAGCACGCTGGGGTCCAGGCGCTCAGGCTCCCCAGGAAGCACCTTGTGCAGCTTGTAGTAGAACAGGCAGGTGGGCTCCAGGTTCTGGTACAGGTAGAACAGGGTGGCCTGGGAGACGAACTCCTTCAGCTGCACCCCGTTCTCCAGGAAGAGCCTCACAAACTCGGGCTTGTTGGTGATGAGGGCGGCCACCATCATGGGGTACAGCTCTGAGGGCTGAGAGGGGGACATGGGGACCATGTACTTGGCCATCAGCCTTCAGGCCCCGATCTTGGTACCTCCAAGACAGGGATGCCACCGTCTCCCATTTCGGGAAGAGGAGGCATGCCGGTTGCTCTCACCAAGGACAGGGCCAGAGTCTGGACAAGCCCCAGCAAGCCCCTCCCTAGGGCAGCCCCTGGCAGTCTCACCTTCCACTGCCGCTCGTCGGTGAAGATCTCACTCTGGGCAATGTCCACGCGGTTCCACGTCACTGCCAACTTCAGCTGGTGGTCCCAGTTCTCATGGCCATAGTGGTCAAGGCTCCGAGAAGCTGTAGTTAGAAGCACATGCATTGGGGACTTCAATCTGGGTCTCAGAGCCACTTCAAAGCCCAACAAAGTCAGGGTGGGGTCAGCAAGCCGTCTCCATCATTTCAATTGAATAAATAAGGTGCTCAGTCACGAACCACACCACCACCGCCCCACCCCACCACACATATTCCTTCATACAATCACTTTTCCTTTCAGGGTACCATCAGACCATCTTTGGGTTTCCATCTCCACTCTTGCTTACCCCAGCTCCCAGCCCGGCCCCAGGTCTTGCTCAAGCACCCCGCTCTAAGTTTAAAGGAGACACGGTTCTCTGGAAGGCAGGCACTTTAACATTCACTTTCAAAACTTAGACCACGAAAGTCATCACATGTCCTTCTTTGCCTTGTTTGCAGAACTAGTGCAACTATTTGTCCAACTAGTTTCTGCTCTTTCTGGACTAACATTTTAAAACATGGGTTGTTATTTAGGGAAGAAAAAAGAACTCTGACCCTTACCTCACAACATACACAGAAAGTAACCTGAGATGAATCACAAACCTACACTCAAAGGCTGTGGCTATGGAAGAAAGTATTTGCAACTGCAGGAAAGGAAAAGATTTCTTGGGGTGCGAAGAACATGAATAATGAAGGAAAAAAGTTGGTAAACTAAAATGTTACCAGTTGGTAAACTAAAAGCTTTCTTTAGGACTTCCCTGGTGGTCCAGAGGTTAAGACTTCAAACTTCCACTGCAGGGGGTTGTGGGTTTGATCCCAGTTGGGGAACTAAGATCCCACAGGCCATCTGGTGTGGCAAAAAAATGAATAGATACATGTATATGCCTTCTGCTCCCTAAAGATACCTTGGAGGATATATAAAAGCAGACCATGAACCAAGAGAAAACATCCCAGCATATAGGTCCAACACAGGATTTGCACAAGGATATACCAAGAACTCTTAAACCTCCACAAAAGAGACAAATAACCAATTAAACATGGATAAAAGATCTGACAGACACTTCATCAAGATGAAATGCAAATGGCCAACAAGCCCAGAGACACAAATTCAAACCATACAGTAATCTGGCTTCACACCCACCAGGAGGGCTACAGCTTCAAGGGCTGACAGGACCAAGTGTGGGTGAGGGTGCAGAGCAGCCTGGACCCACACCCATGGTGTAGGGACAAGTACCCAGAAACAGTGAACAAGCTGACCCCTTACCATGAACACTTCCCACTCTGCAATTGCTGCTGGACTGGGGCCTGCTTCTTCCGGGGTGAGGGGCCATTCAGCCCAGAGCAAATGCTCCTGGGCATCAGGGATGTCATGAGGTCCATGCCAGCAGGAAGGACAGGGAAGCATGGGTCTCGCCCCAGAAGTGGGAGAGGAAGAGTGAAGTGTGGGTCCCGGGAGAGCAAGCTGAAGGGCAGCAGTCAAAGGAGTGGAAGTTGGCCAAGAGCTCTACTGGTCTCTCGGATGCCTAAGTTTGGAGTCTCCCCTGCACTTGGACTCTGTCCCTGGAGGCACAGGAGTTAGACAGGAGACAGGAGCAGACCTCCGAGGCTCTTTCTTCCTACCCCAGAATTTTATGAGGAACTGTAATGACCGTGAAGGGGTAAGTCAGTACAGGCTGCACTCAGATTTAAGGTAAGAAGGTGAGTTGAGAAAGGCACTTATACCCCAACATCAGTGACTGGTACCACCTGCCCTGGGGGAGTGTGAGGTGGGCCTGGCAAGGTCCAGCTGCTCTCTGACCAGCACATCTGCCCATGGATGGTTTTCTGGCTCCTCTGGACTAGGACTCTGGCTCCTCCCCCACATCCTCACCTCGCCTGACCCTCACCTTTCAGCAAGGCCTGCAGGATGGCCACGTCCACGTCCTGCTGGCCATCCTTCCCTTCCCGGAACACAGTGAGCAGCTGCCGTCTCCGGACGATGTCTTGAATCTGCAACAGGCATTTCCCGCATGAGGTTCCCCCACCTCTTCAAAGGACACCTGCAGAACCAAGGCCCTGGACGCAGAACCGGAGCCCCGGGCAGGAGTCCCGCCTGCCATGTGGCCAGGGCCACCACCTCGCCCCCATGCCCAGATGGTGATGAAGATGAAGATGCGTGAGGACCAAACATGGTGTTTTCAAGTGGCCTTTGGGATAGTATCTCCACCTCACTGATCAGTGGTATCTATTCAACACCCAGCAACACTTAACTGAAGATCTCTGCCTGGTCCTCTGCCTGGGCCCTGCCTACCTACCTATCAATCACCAATCTATCTATCCTCTATTTCCTGTCACCTTTCTATCTAGCTGTCATTGATCTCATCTACCTATCATCTCTCAGCTGCCAGAACTGCCATAGTTCAAAAGCATCAATCAAAATTGATGCTTTTGAACTGTGATGTTGGAGAAGACTCTTGAGAGTCCCTTGGACTGCAAGGTGATCAAACCAGTCAATCCTAAAGGAAATCAACGCTGAATATTCATTGGAAGGCCTGATCCTGAAGCTGAAGCCCCAATACTTTGGCCACCAGATGTGAAGAGCCGACTTATTGGAAAAGACCCTGTTGCTGGGAAAGATTGAAGGCAGGAAGAGAAGGGGATGACAGAGGATGAGATGGTTGGATGGCATCACCAACTCAATGGACATGAGTTTGAGCAAACTCCAGGAGATGGTGAAAGACAGGGAAGCCTGGAGTGCTGCAGCCCACGGGGTCACAAAGAGTTGGACATGACTGAACGACCGAATGACAAGACCTGCCACCAGTCACTGCTTCCTTGAACCTTCACCCTGAGGTGGGGGTGGGCCTCGGCTGGTTCCTCACACCCCAAAGCTTCAGACTCCACTCCCAGCTCCCAGGCCACCACACCCAGTCCCACCTGCTTTCCTGCCTGCCCCCACCCCCTTCCCCTCAGCCTGGACATGGCTCTTGCCTCTGTACCTTCTATAAAGAGACTTCTCCCACCTAGAGGGCCCCGTGGACACCCTGCCTCCACCTCTAAGACCCCAACCATCCCCATCCCTCAGGATCCCGCTTTCATGTCAACTCCAAAATGCCCAAAATGTCTCTCTTCCCAAACCCACCCCATCTTTTAGCCAAAACCTCTCCTGGATTTAACCCTACTCCTGATTCACAGGATGGAGTAGCTACTGCAGGTGTGTGTTGACCAGGTACTAAGTAAGTACTTCCCCAGGCAGTACTTCTGGGAAAGTCCCAGGTAGACTCCTCTGAGTCTAAGCCCCACTCACCCCTGATCTGCAGACAAGAAAGCAGGACTTCTGAGAGAGGACCAGCAGTCCTCCTGACACCAGCAATGTGGTGCTGGCTGTGGGTCAGCAAGAAGACCCCCAACGACAGATATCCACATCCTCCCAGGGCTGCACCCGTCTACCCACCATGGGGCAGACCAGCCCCAAGGCCTGTGGAGTGAATCAGTGATCACAGCTCTGGGGGGCCCCTCCCCACTGAACAAGAGCCACCATCAAGGGCAGCCCCCCGGCTGAAGACTGGCATGTATGAAGCACCATTTTCATGCCTTGACTCAGCCATGGATTGATAACACAAGCTCCTTTAAACCTCAGCAGATTAGACCCACTTCTGAGAAACTCCTGAATAATTTACAAGCTAACTGAGGGAAGGCCAAAGGCCTGCCGGCCAATACCCAACAGCTCCGTGAGGAGCTGACCTGACGCCCACAGTGAAAACATCCCCCAGAACCTTAAGAGGTCTGCTGAGGCCAAAAGAAGACAGAAGAGAGAGGGCTGCTATGCTGCCCATGAAACTTGTCCTGCTTGCCCTGGGCTGCCTGCTGCCCTACCCCCACCAGCCGCCATCTGCGACCACAACCCTCTTCTTGGTCTTTGGCTGGTGGGCACAGACTGTCCACAAGGCCTGAAATCGGATGTGGTTAGAACCAAGCTTCTCCACTTGCCCTGAAAGGCCCACATCAGCCACTTAAATGTGAATCAGCAGGAGATTTAACAGTCTGGTTTAGCATCTACGGAGCACATGACAGACACAGACCCCAACTGCTTTGTCAGTCCCAGCTTACTGCTGGGGAAACCGAGGGTCAGAGAGGCCCTGACTGCCTCCATCCCGCAAAGAATCCTGCCAGGAAACCGGGGTCAGGGGACCTCAGGACAGGTGAGTTCAGCCCCCGGGGCTCAGGGCACGGCCGGACTGCAGGGTCAGTAGGACCACAGGGGCTGGAGGGTGGCAGGGGCGGGGGGCACTCTCTACTAGCCAAGAGCTTTGTGGGTGTCGTGGGCTCACCTAGCCACTCTCCTTCACACCTGCTCCCCTTTGGAGGCTGGGGCCAGACCATGCGTCCCTCTGCACAGCTCAACAGGACCCCCAAAATCTGCACTGGGGATTTGACCAATTCTGAGGCTCATTTCAAATGCCCCAGATGATCTACCTGACTCAAAGGACGTGAAAGATAAGCTCCTTCTTTCCAGGACTTGGAGAGACATCCCATGTACACTCCTGCACCAGCATCCCTCCTAACCCAGCAAGAAGCCTGTCTGTAAGGTCTCCAAGAGAAGTCTTGCAAGGTCTTCACCCACCTGTACCTGGTGTCATCTCCCACTCTAGCTATGGAAGAGCAAAATACCGATGTGTTTTACAGCAAAATTACTGAAATGCAGGGCAATCGTGGTCCTGGGCTATAACAGCCATGCTCTCCCCACAGGTCAGGAGAAGGGTCCAAGTCAGACCATTCGGGGTGCGGGCGCCCATGAGGCTCACTGCTAAGGAGTTGAGGGGATAGGCAGAAAGCCATGTCCCAGAGACCCCCGGCCACTCCCTCAACCAGAGCAGCCCACTGTCATCCAGTTCATAAGGTAACATTCCAGAAAAATCTTTGGAATCCAGTGGGCTAGCTAGAAAATGTCACACTAGGAAGAGAGAAAGAAAAGAGCCAATGAACACAACAGGCTAATGGTTCAGGTCCCAGCCATCCGGACAGCCCAAGTCTGGTCAGCAGGGATGAACCAGAGCAGACAGCTCGGTTCTGGCACCCGGGCTGGGTTCACGTAGGGTACTGGCAGTAGGTAGCTGGGTGATGGTAAACAGAAACCCCCTACGGCCTGTGCTCTTTCCCAAGAATCTAAAACGGTCCCAAAACAAGGAGAGAGGACAGGCAGGCATGCGAAGCAAGGCTGAGTCCTCTTGGAACGATCTGTCCCTGGACGTGCAGCCGCGGGGTCAGGCCCCAGCTCCCTGGGCTTCCACCAGCATCTCCTCCCACAGGGGAGTGACGGTCCCCTCTCTGGGTGGAACTAGCTCCCTCCGCGGACTCGAGTCTCCAAAACCACTGGCGACGGGGCTCCCTCTGGAATGCTGGTCCTAGGACGGGCCAGGCCATGGATGCCTCTATCTGGGGGTGCATGTGGAACAACCCCCAGAATACCACATGGCCCCCAGAGCCACTCGAGGGCCCCCATCTGACACATCTACATGTCTCCCCACCTTGACAACCCCAGAAGGTGGGCCCTGCTACCCACTGCCATCACTTGCAGCACCCCAGCGGCCTGAATCTGGGCTCGCCACCCCTCTGCCACCCCCAGGGCCCCAGCACCAACCTCATGCCCACCCAGGGCACAGGGTCCTCTTTCCAGGGTGGCTGTGGCTCATACCCTATGCTACCTGCCTGCCTGGAGTTCTGCAGGTGGAGGCCCAGCACATCCTCCCTTGCAGGACAGCCTGCTGCCTCAGCCGACAGCTCCCTGCCTGCCCAGCTCACAGCTCCCACCCCTGCAGATGGCTCCCGTGCCCATCCCAGGTGGGCCAGGGCCTCTGAGTCTCGGTTATGTGTGTCCTGGTCCCGCCGACCAGGCTGACAGCGTCTAACCTATGGGCTGCAGGTTCACACCTGGTGACTGACGTACCCGTCAGCCTCACCTTTTTGGTCCACTCAATGATCGTGAAGGTCTCAAACATCCCCTGGAAGAACATGCTCAGCTTTTGCTGAATCAGGGAGATCGTGATCTCAGAGATGGGCAGGCCGGCTACCTGCGCGATGACGTCAGCCACGCGGCCCGAGCCCTCCACCACCACGCAGGGGGTGCCGTTGTTGATGGCGTTGTAGATGGTCTGCAACACAGGGACCAGCATGAGCCCACCCACACCCACCCCTCCTAAAACAGAGGGTTCTCTGAGAGCCCTGCTGTCTGGCTACGGTGAAGGTTTGCTGTTGCTGTTTAGTTGCTCAGTCGTGGTTGGTTCTTTGTGACCCTATGCACTATAGCCTGGCAGGCTCCTCTGTTCATGGGATTCTCCAGGCAAGAATACTGCAGTGGGTTGCCATTGCCTTCTCTAGGGGATCTTCTGACCCAGGGATCGAACCTGCGTCTCCAGTGTTGGCAGGGGGATTCTTTACCACTGAGCCACCAGGAAAGCCCCTCTGGGAAGTTTACTGAAGACATTTGCTTGGTGTGTTCCTCTGCTCAGAGGGGAGGGGGCTGATTCTGATATACATGGGGTACACACCCAACATGCCACCTCTCTCAGGCCTGTCACTGGACACCACTGTCATGAAAGATTGGAATGTTTCCACCCCTTAACCTGTGAACACGTTAAGAAGAAAGAAGGGGCGCTGCCTGGGCCAGAGTTCCACACCCTCCTTGAGACCCAGGGTAAGACAAGGACATGGAGGGAGACCCCCAGAGACCAGGGTGAGAGCACCATGAGGAATGGGCACCGCCACAGCACGAAGGATGACCTGCTCTGGGCACCACTGAGGGAGAGCCTCAGAGGGAGTGGGGGGGATCAGACACATCCTGCCCCCCAAGGCACCCCAGGACCTGTGCTGACCCCCTGAGGTTACTAAACATAAACAGAACGTCATGCTCTGCCCCAAATCAAGATGTGGGCAGGGCCAGGCTCCCTCCAGTGGTTCCCCAGGAGAAGCTGAACTCCCTGCCTCCTCCAGCTCTGGTGCATGCCACTTTCTTGGCTTGTTTCCGCATCGCTGCAGTCTCTGCTCTTGGTCACGTGACCTCCTCCTCTTCGAGGGACACTTGTCATGGCATTTAGGACTCACTTGGATGGTTCGTGCTAAGATCCTTAGCTTCATCACATGACCAAAGACCATGTTTCCAGATGACAGAACATTCACAGCCTCTAGGTTTTAGGACTTGATATCTTGGTGGGGAGTATCACTTATCCCACCTGCTAGAGCACCCATTCCTGGCATGAAAGATGTAGAGCTGTCTGTCTGTCCTGCCCACCTCTCTCCATCCCCAGGGTGGCCTCCCTGCCGAGTACATCATGGATGAGGAAGGCCAAGGGCACCTGACCTGCCTGGACAGCAACCACTCCCACTTCATCCTTGTGGATGACGGGATCCACGGCCGCCGTCATGTGACCAAGAGCAGAGACTGGGGCGATGCGGGCACAAGCCAAGAAAGTGGCATCCACCAGAGCTGGAGGAGGCAGGGAGTTCAGCTTCTCCAGGGCAATCCTGCAATTGCAATCATCCTACGATCCTATGGCAGAGGTCAGTTTGGCCCGAGTGCCATGAGGCAGGCACACTCCCTGCTGGACAGTGGTTCTGCATGAAGCTCCATGGCCATGAGTCAGCACCTGCTTTACATTCAGCTGCTGAATGTAAAGGAGCTGGGGGTGTGGGGTGCCGAGGGCTATACGTTGAGGGACCCTCCTGGGAGCCTGGGTGGACAGCTCTAGAAGCCCCCAAAAGGCTGTCCAGGGGTCCTACAGGTGAGGGCTGCAGTCCCTCTGGAACCCTTCTTTGCTCTGTGCTGGTCAAGCCCAAGGGCTGACCCTCCCGTGGCAGGGCCTCTCACGGGGCTCCGACCCACCCACTCAGAGAGACTGTGCATGATGAATGCACCTCCCTCCATCAGCAGACAGGTTCTCTGCCCCCTCTTGCCGACAGCCTCCATGAGAGGCAGGCCACAGCACTCTGGGCAGTTACTCACCCACCACAGGACTTGACCCAAGAGGCCCATCCCCTGCAGGACTCACGTTTAGTGTGCCGGGGCCCCCTTCCAGCACCACGCAGACAATCGGGATCTTGATAGCCACGCCTAGGACGAAGCAAGGAGCACAGTTTAGGACCGTGGGCTCCAAGCATCCCCTGGGCCCCTCCCCACTGCTGCCAGCTGTAGCCTAACAACGCAATATGCAGGAGAACTTGAAGACCTCAGCTCAAAGGTGTCCAACCAACCAGCAAAACATGTGCAAAACCCTGTGTTTGACCTCCCAGAGCCCTAGGATCCATCCCACCCCAGCCACAGGGGAAATGAGGTCAAAGCCTGAGCTCTGACTCCTTCACGCTCTGGTTTCCGAACTGAGATGTGTGTGCAGTGAAGGGACCACAGGGTACTCTGTGTCCCGAGTGCCTGCCTGGCCTTTCCTTCTGCTGTTAAAGGGGCATGAGAAGATGATCCCCTGACCAAGTATACAGATGTCCAGGTGTGTTCTGATGGCCACCCCAGCACCCCACCCACCAAATGTCCTGGATGGCCAGCCGAGCCCCAGACCCCTGAACCAGCCCGCTCTCCTCTCCTCCAAGCACCCTGGAAAGCGGGCCCCGCTCACCTCCCCTCTCCTTGGTCTGCTGTGATATGAACTTCTCCAGCTTTGTCCTCAGGGGAATCTCGACCCCATAACGGCCATGGGTCCCGTCGTCCACAAGGATAAAGTGGGAGTGGTTGCTGTCCAGGCAGGTCAGGTGCCCTTGGCCTTCCTCATCCATGATGTACTTGGCAGGGAAGCCACCCTGGGGATGGAGAGAGGTGGGCAGGACAGACAGACAGCTCTACATCTTTCATGCCAGGAATGGGTGCTCTAGCAGGTGGGATAAGTGATACTCCCCACCAAGATATCAAGTCCTAAAACCTAGAGGCTGTGAATGTTCTGTCATCTGGAAACATGGTCTTTGGTCATGTGATGAAGCTAAGGATCTTAGCACGAACCATCCAAGTGAGTCCTAAATGCCATGACAAGTGTCCCTCGAAGAGGAGGAGGTCACGTGACCAAGAGCAGAGACTGCAGCGATGCGGAAACAAGCCAAGAAAGTGGCATGCACCAGAGCTGGAGGAGGCAGGGAGTTCAGCTTCCAGCCACTGGAGGGAGCCTGGCCCTGCCCACATCTCAATTCTGGCCAAGTGGTACTCAGTACCAGTCTGAGACTTCTGGTGTTCAGAAATGCGAGAGAGTACAGTTTGGTTGCTTTAAGCCACCAGTTCTGTGGTCACTTGGGACACAGGTCCAGGAGAGGTGGCTATGGACCCATGCACACGGCCCCTGGATGCCGCAGAGGAGAGCAGGTGGTGCTGCCGGAAGTTCTCTGAACTCAAGATGGGGAGAAAAGTGAAGTGTGATATTGGAAGTCAGCCAGTATCTCTCGGCCTCAGATTCCCACTCTGTGTAACGAGCATTCAGGACAGAGCCCGTCTGGTCCACTAAGCACTTCTGTGACGTGGACACGGAAGGACAGGAGCTGAGGGGCCGGCTGCCTGGTGACTAGCGTCTGTGACTGACACGAGGAGTCACTTTGCAGAGGACGCGCTCCCCAGGAAGTGAACGCACACCTCCCCCGCCCCAGAAAGGCCAGAGCCTCGTTCATAAGTCACACCTCGTGGGACAGTTGTCATCACACCTCCTCGGTGTGTCAAGGAGAATTTTATTTTGGGGCCAGTGTTTCCCTCCAAACTTCCATGTGCGCATTATACCAAATCTGCTGTGTCCTCAAAAAATCTTATTGAATGAATCAGTTCTCTTTTCCAACTCACATCCCCACCTTTAAGCAATTGCTTCTCAGGCCTGCACCCTGGTGAATGAACACGGGAAGACTCTGTCTTCAAGCTCAGAAGAGAAGCTCACGGGAGGGGAATCAGGGAACCATTAAGCCCTGGGCTAAAAGGCCAGGCTCAGGGATATGACAACCCAGATGCTGGTAGGCTGTATGCTCCCAGCCAAGCTACACCTTTGCCAAGTCCATTTCTCATCAGAGTGGTGTTAGGAGGGCCCCCAGACCAGCGGCAGCTCTGGCAACTCTCATGTGGACCCATCCTATGATCTCGAGGGAGGAAACCAGAGTCCAGACAAGGTGCTTACTCTCCTGGGGTCAATAAGGTCTGGGGGGTTTGGGGGGGATTTGAGCCTGGGTCTCCCACGTCCCTATCCAGCCACTTCCCGTGACACTGCACTTACCCTGGTGTCCAAGCGGTGGCCTGTTCACTGAGCACTGGCTAAGATCCTACCACACCACCTCCCTGCTGTGCTATGACCCCCAGCCCAGAAGCAGCCTCCAGCTCACCATGGGGTGGATCAGGCTCTCCCGATTGTGCAGGGCGCCCCATGTGGCGATCCCGATGGTGACCACTTCCCCTTCACAGAAGCTGCCACTCAGGCTGAAGTCCCGCACCGCCTCGCCCACCTGCTTCATCACGCCAGTGTGGGACCCCCCAGTGATGACCCAGGCCCCTGGAGAGAAGCAGAGAGATACCTGGTGCTGTGCAGACTCTCTGCTCCAGGGCTTTCAAACTCATTGTCAGGTGTGAACCCCACCACGATCAGGCCTCCCTGTGGCAGTCAGGACCCATGATGTCCCATGATGCTTAGTTAGGTGGGGGCACGAAGGCAACTCCATTCACCTGTAGGCCCTGCCCTCTCCCCACTCCTCCCCATTGCCTCCCTCTGTCCTGCTCTCAGGAACACGGCATCTCAAAACTTTCTCTAAGTGCTTCTGTTTCGAAGCATCATCAGTGGGGAGCCAACCAGAGCTGTGTCTGCACCGTGAGCAAGCCAGGCACAGCGGCCGGAGGTGGGTGAGCTTGACCAGACACTCCCTACCTGGCCCGGGCCTGGGCCCAACTCAATGACCCACAAAGGATGGCCAGTCCAAGGCCCTGACTCTGCCTTCGAGGGGTCCTCCCACCTGCCCAGCAGTCCCAGGCCTGAGCACCACCGTGGTCTGGGCTTCGGTCCCTCTGTCCCTGCTCTACCTGAGGTCTGGGCCACCTTGAGGAGTCCTCTTCTGAAAACGCTCTTCAGCCTGGGCTTCATGTTGAAGTCCTTGGCCCCGCCGGTCACGGAGATGAGCAGGTTGGGTGCATCCAGGCCCCACTGCTGGGTCATGAGCTGGTAAATCAGGCTGGAGGGAGTGTCCTGAGAGAGGCGGACGTACTGCAGGGAGGTCAGAAGACCCTGGGGGTCAGTGGGTGGCCAACCCAGACCCAGAGCCTGGCCACCCTGCCCCAGCCATGCCTGACAGCCCCAGGCAGGCAGGTGGACGCTCATGCTGGGTCCAGACAAAGCAAAAGTGGCTGCCTCCAAGCAGGTCATGGATTGAGAGAGAGGGGAGGCAAGGGCTGAGAAGAGAGGCCGCTGGGGGGGACCAGCTCCGGGGTCTCTCTGTTGAGGGCACCCCAGCCTGAGACCCATGGCCTGACCCCAGTCTCCCCATAAGGCAACGTGATGATGCACCAACAGCAGCTCATGGAGGGGCGGGGCTTGGAGGTGGTGCTGAGGAAGGCGGCTCTGGGGCCAAGTTCACCTCATTCAACAGGCTTTGTTCAACCTCTTGGGCCAAGTGGGCCAAGTGGGCCGCGACTCTAAGAAATTGAGGAGGAAGGTCGCACCCAGCCAATAAGAGGCTGGGGGTCCCAGAACTGCAGCACAGAAACAAGTGACCCACCCCCCCCCAGACCCCTCAGGGAACAGCTGCCCAAGAGCTGGCATAGAACTCTCCAGAAGGTGCGTTAAAGCCAGGGGGCTGGGACTCTGATTCAGCAGGATGGGGGTGGGGCCCGAGTCTGCTTGGCAACACTGCTGGCCCAGTGACCACCCTGAGATTCGCAGCACCAGAGAGAGATGCCGGCCAGGCCTGGGCCCCCCGCTGGCCCCACCCGCACCCCCGTGCTCCCAGGCAGGCCTGGAGCCCTGATCCGCCCCGCTCCACCATCTCACCTCTGCTGCTGGCTCTCCTGCCATCCCCAAGGCCTCCCCACTGCCCATCACCCCGCCTGAGTGCCGTGTGCTCCTCTGCTCCCTCCTGGCAGTGACAAAAGCCATTCAGGCCACCCCCTGAACTCGCTGCTGTGCCCCGCCCACACCTCTCCTGGAGCCCTGGCAACAAATCCCCTGAGGACACCCTGTGGCTCTATTTGCCATGCAGAGCTCTCCACCCTGCCTCCCGACCCAGCACTGGGCAGGTGGATTCTGCAGCCTCCCACGCCCTCCTTAGGGAGGCCAGGCCACCGCAGTCACCGAGGGTGGGCTCTGGTCCCCAGTAAGAGCAGTGGAGTCATGGAAACCAACCTTTCCCACTTTCTGGCCCAAGCCCGTGAAGACGATGTCACCGAATGCATCTGTTGGCATCTCCCTGACATGCTTTTTCGGGTCCCACTCCTGGCCCTGGAAGGTGTGGGACCACGTGGCCTCCTCCAGGTGCTTCTCACGTGGGTAGCCGCACTCGCACACCACCTTCCTGCAAAGGCCGTGGGGTCACCAGGGGCAACTGGTGCCTGCTCCTCTCCTCGGCAGGGATAAAGGAGGCCCAGGGGAGTCATGACTGGCACCCCAGCCACGGAGTCAGCGGAGACACATAATCATCAAACTTCTAAAATCTAATGACAAAAATCTTGAAAGTCGGAAATGATACCTTACCTGTTGGAGGAAAATAACTGGACAATTGATTTTGAATCAGAAGCCAGAAATCAGTGCCAGGAAGAATCCACACAACATTTTTCTAAAGATGAAAACGACAAAACCCAGAATTCTGCATCCAGCAAAAATATCATTCCATGTGAAAGGGATGCCAAGACACTCTCAGGTGAAAGAAAGCCAGGGAACTGGTCAACAAACAAACTTCCCCAAAGAAGATGGCTGGAGGAAGTTCACTAAACAGAAAGGAAATGATAAAAGGAGGAATTCTGGAATATCAGCTTGTTGTCAAGCACAGGATTTCACCAACCAAACTTTCCCAAAGAGGATGGCTAGAGGAAATTCTCTAAATAGAAAGGAAATGATAAAAGGAAGAATTCTGGAATATCAGCTTGTTGTCAAGCACAGGATTTCACCAACCAAACTTTCCCAAAGAGGATGGCTAGAGGAAATTCTCTAAATAGAAAGGAAATGATAAAAGGAAGAATTCTGGAATACCAGCTTGTTGTCAAGCACGGGATTTCACCAACCAAACTTCCCCAAAGAGGATGGCTAGAGGAAATTCTCTAAATAGAAAGGAAATGATAAAAGGAAGAATTCTGGAATATCAGCTTGTTGTCAAGCACGGGATTTTTGTAGACACTAACGCCTACGGCCGGCTATTTGTTCTGTAAGTGAATATTGAAACATCTCTAGTCAATAGAGTTCAGGTAAGGAAAGATGTGTTAAGATGTATTGCTCTGTCTCTGGTCAATAACTTGTTGAAAACAAAGAAAGAAGAATGGAAAGAGTAAAAGTATGGGTGGGTGAATAAACACATTTCCTCCTCTTGAATTTTCTGAAGTATGTTTGACAGTTGAAGAAAATTGCACCATGACCTAATATGTATGTGGAGGAAATTTTGTAAACAGTTATAATATAAATGGGGAAGGACAAAGCGTTGTAAAAGGTGGGAATGTTTCTACATTTCCCACAAACTGGTGAATGTCAATACCAGGAGACTAGTATGAGTTCCCAATACACATATCAGTAATATGTGATAAGTTAAGTATATATAATGTAGTACCTGGAACAACCACTAAAAAGCTATAAAAGAGATATAGGCAAAAATAGCATAGACAAATCAGATGGAACTCTAAGAAAAGTTCAAGTAACCCACAGAAAGGCAGGAAAAGAAAAATAGAGAAATATAAACAAAAAAATACAATGGTAAACTTAAGTCCTCATATACCAATGAAAGTGAAATTGTTGGTCACTCAGTTGTGTCCAGTTCTTTGCACCCTCATGGACTGTAACCCACCAGGCTCCTCTGTCCATTCTCCAGGCAAGAATACTGGAGTGGGTTGCCATTTCCTCCTCCGGGGATCTTCCTGACCCAGAGATCAAATCTGTGTCTCCCGTGTCTCCTGCATTGCAGGGAGATTCTTTACCACTGAGCCACCAGGGAAGCCCCAGAGATTGGCAAAATGGATAAAAAAATCATAAGATCCAATTATTTGTCATCTATAGAAACCTCACTACAAATATTGTGATCTAGGCTAGTTGACTTCCCTGCAGCAAACAGGAGCCTAGGACCAACACACACAACTCAAACGGATCACAAAGGCATTCCATTGGGTGAAAAAAGCCAGCCTTGACACATCACCTCATGAAGGATTCCTCTTATATGACATTCAGCAACTGAAACAATTGCAGGAATGAAGAGCAGATGAGTGATTGCCAGGGGTTATGGATGGTGGGGTAGAAGTGACCACTGGTGGGACCATGGGGTCCATCTGCAATCTTTACAATTTCTTGTAAATCTATAGTTATTTCAAAATAAAAGGGTCAAAAAAGCACACGGTGCAGGCTCAAAGCAGAAACTTCTAGATCTGGGGCCAGAGGGATGCACATGGCCCCCCAAAGAGAACACCCCATCACCTCTTTTCAACTGTCACCTCCTCCCTAGCCTCCTTTGTCTTGGTGGGTTGAAATCGTTTTACTCCTTTAGTGCCATTCTTGGGAGGAGAGAGAGGAGACAGCAACTATGTTCTTCACAGCTTGTTAAATTGGAAATCTACACATTTTTTTAGAGGCCTATTTTAGCTAGTAACAGGTGACCTAGAAGACAAGATACAGATGAGAGCAAATCAAAAAATCTGACACCAGGTGAGACCTGAGCCCAACAACACCAGGGGAAAACAGGACTGGACCTAGAGAGAGAAAAATGGGTTTCCCTGTAGCTTACAGAGTGTGGCCTTAGGGGCTCCGACTCTCAACTTCTCAATCATTAAATGGGGGGAAAAAATACATTCTCTGACCCCTAACCTGCAGAATTTGTGAGGGCTAAATAAGGTTCTAGATGGAAGATAGCTTATAAAATTTGTGCGGGTTAACTAGCCATGCAGAGGACCGAGGCTGGATCAAGAGGCCAAGGCCCACCGTGTGCTCTGTCCCCCGGTCTCCTGGGTTCAGTACCCCGTCCCGCTGCTCAGGCCGGGGCCTCCTCAGGCCGGGGAGCACTAGCCCAGGCATTGGGAACTCCAAGCCCAGCTTCTTCTAGGACTCCTCGTGTGCAGGAGTGCTAAATCGCTTCAGTTGTGTCCGTCTCCTTACGACCTTAGAGACCATAGCCCACCAGGTTCCTCTGCCCATGGGATTCTCCAGGCAAGAGTACTGGAGTGGGTTGCCATACCTCCTCCGGGGATCTTCCCGACCCAGGGGTTGAAACTGCATCTCTTATGTCTCCTGCATTGGCAAGTTGGTCCTTTACTAGTACTGCCACCTGGGAAGCTCTTATGACCCCCTTAGGGGACTCAAATCACTTCTAGACTTGCAGGGCTCCCCTGAGCACCACCCGTGAGCACCTCCAATCAGAGAGGAGGAAGCTGGGTCCAATGTGGGGGAGGGGGCCGCCAGGACAAGGACTCCATCTTGTGTCCTTGCCCAAGGCCACCCCAGACTTTCTCAGAATAGACCTAGAATAGACCACACCCTCCCCTCCTCTCTTTCAACCATCCCCCAGTGAGGTTAGGTCTTCAATCGACGGAGTGTTCCCAAGCCTGACACAGAACAGGAAACTACAGACTGTAGACCCAGAAGTTGACTAATCAGAGAATTTTCACAGGGCTCTTGGCCCATGTGGGTAAGTGGGGCTCCGCCCCCTCTCCCCTCCCCTCACCAGGACCTCACGACATATGAGGAAGAAGCTGCCACGGGGAGTTACACGCACTCAAGTGACAGCCGCCCCGCCTTCCCCCTACCCTGTGGCTGCTTCTCACATGGGTCCTGGTACCAAGAAAGGTGCTTCAGAAGTTTCAGAGCCAAACATATTCTGAGCACCATTCCTTCAAAGAGGGACAGAAACACTGAACAAGGAAGAAGCCCCATTTCTGTCTCAGATACAAACTGTACCCCAACCCTCACTGACTCCTGTGGATGTTTCTCTGCTATTTGTTCAGAATTCAGAGGACAGGAGGGGCTGAGGCTGGACAGATGGCACCCCTTGAACCTCTACCGACCAGACCCGGGCTCCACAATAACCTTCTTCAAAGGGTTTTGGAGCCAATGACTCCTGTAAGGAAGCCTGGGGACCACAAGTCTCCTCTGGGGCTACTGTTGTAAGCTTATTTTAAAAACTAAAACCAGAGACCTCAGTGCAAAGCCCTCTGCACATGGTCAGAGCAATCGGCCTAAACTTGAACTCTGATCACTACTAAATACAACCTTGAGGCCATCAGCTGGATCATGGTGGCAACCTTCTCTGATGCGGGGGTCCCCCATGGCCTCTGAGGAGGAAGGAGGGCTATCATCTAATGAGGAGCCAAGCTGGAGCATGAACCCCTAAATGGGGCACTTTTTGTGACAACATCCCGGGCACGTCCCAGGAGGGACAGCATCGTCAGTGATCATGCACCTCTGGCTCCAGATTATCATCCTTTTCCATCACCTAGACACGGCATGCCCCTCCCCTCTGTATTGTTCACAGTCTAAGCTGGACGCTGGCTATCTGTCCAGTGGGGAAGTAATAATGTGACTCAGTCACAGTCAGAGCTCAGAACTTGTTTGAGAAAACCACAAAGCCACATAATAGAAGTGCTGCCGGCAACCAGCAGAAAAGACAAATACAGAGTGTGGTAGAGGGAGGGGTTACATCCTGTGTGTGGTCAAGGAGGGCTCCGTGGTGGAGGCAGCATCACCAGGTGACAAAGGAGCAGAAGTAATAAAGAGTGAGGCCCATTTCCTGCAGAGTGAGGACTAGAGTGTCTGGAGGGGAATGCTCCGAGCACCCCAGGCTGGTACATACACTGGGGCTGTCCCCTCCTGAGGCCTGGTCAGCCCTGCCCTGATCAGCTACTCCATGTGGGAATAGGGAAAGAAATGGGTTAGTCAGTCAGTCATGTCTGACTCTGTGACCCCCATGGACTATAGCCCACCAGGCTCCTCTGTCCATGGAATTCTCCAGGCCAGAATACTGGAATGGGTCGCCACTCCCTTCTCCAGGGGATCTTCCCAACCCAGGGATCAAACCTGGGTCTCCTGCATTGCAAGCAGATTCTGTACTGTCTGAAACACCAGTGGGAACAGAACAAGTCACTCACCCAGCGTCAGACAGTTTGGAGCTTTCCACAAAGTATATGCATTCTTTCTTCTTGATGTTGTCAGGAATCCATGAACTCAGGTTTCCTTGCTGAGGGTAAAAAGGTCACTGAGAGATTCTCAGGCAGTTAGATCAGTGCCATTGCAAAGACCACACCACATACCTCATCAGGCCCACCCGTGCACCCTGACACCCTTCAGGGTCTTCCTTCAGAGACAGGACACCGAGTCCTCCCCCACCACCTGCCGGAGGCCCTCAGGTGCAGACCCCAGAGGGAGGAGTGAACCTAGGGATCTGCTCCTCCCGGGCCCCTGGGATTTCACAGCCCTCAGTTTGTAGGTCAGAGCTGCCTTCCTCAGGAGCAACAGTGTGGTGCAAAGGTGACCGTGAGTATCAGGACACCCGCCCACATCCGAGGGACCAGGCTGAGACGTGAGACACCATCTTCACACCCAACCAGTGGTATGACATTCAAATGTCCCCAACACAAGCCTGCCTGGGGTTTTCTGTGTGGCCAACCCAGGCCTCAGCTGGTTCCCGGGCCTTCCTTGTTGGATAAAGGATGCAAAAGTCATTGCACAATGAGGCGGGTGGGTGTACGGGCTTACCCAGCACTTTCCCAATTGGAATCAGGACAGGAACCAACCCAGGGACACAGACTCGGGGGGCCCCCCAGTGTTCTCTCCAAGTCCCCTCTGCTGGGTTGTGGTCCCCAGCAAAACTAGGGGGTCACTGTGCCCCAACCAGGGCCCTGGCAGACCCAGTGACCCCAGACTTACCTTTTCACAGTTGCTGAAGAGGTACTGTGACCTTCTGTTCCTGCAGAGACTGGTGCTGCTCCACCGGAGGTTGGGGACCATGGCCAGGTCGGCCACCCTCCTGGGCTGCACCCCAAAACTGTCTTCCTCCCTGGAGCTGGCCTGATCCCGACGCCTCTTCACCAGTGACTCCATCCCGATGCCGGGCTCAGGCTCCACAGAACAGGCTTGGTCCTGCTACCTCAAAGCAAGCTTCTCTCTGGCTTTCAAAGCCAGGGGGCCTGGAAATGAGGTAGGAGGTGGGTGGGCCACAAGGTGAGCAATTAGACATTTTGAGGAAATTCTCCTTCCAACATCTCAAGGAAAATTTACCTTGGCAGGAGCAGAGAGGAGCTAGGCTCTGATGGAATAACAACAAGACAATCTCAGTTTTCATCCTTGAGGTCAAGGAGACCCCCACCCCCACCCCTCTGTACAAGCACAGAAACGTTCGGTGGGGGTCCAGAAGGAAGGAGCACTAGTCCATAACATGTCCTGTCAAGCTCTCAGAGACCTTCGTGCTAGAACCCGTCTCGGCTAGAAGATGCAGGCACACATCAGAAGGGCCTGCGTCAGCCCAGATATGGGCAGAAAGTAGGATAATTGGCCAGAGGGAAACAAATACCCAGAAAATGGCCCCATATAAGCGATCTAAGCTGCCCCCACTGCACATAATTCTGTGAACCCAACCATGTGTCTATTTGCAAGTAGCCTGTTCTTAATACACACTTTACTTGCCTCACTGCTTTTCATCTCTTTGCTGATTTCTTTCTTCAAAATAGCTGAGAACCGAACCACTAGTGACTGACTCTAGCCACTGGTCCCTGGTGATCTAGTGGTTAGGATTCAGTGCACTCATCGCCACAGCCCAGGTTCAATTCCCTGTCAGGGAATGAGATCCCACTTGAAGCTGCCACACCCCAAGACCACCCAAGGTGAGAAGCCAGCCACCGGGGCTGCTACAGTGGGTCGGGGGGATGAGTCAGGTGTTTCCTCCTGCGGGGCCCCACTGTCTTCTGGCTTGCACACTCTTCCCACTGCCCGAGCTCAGGCCTCATCAGGTGTGGGCAGTCTGGAGGCATGGGTACAGCCACGGGGCCCAGGCGCCCATTCACACTCTTGGGTCACCGCGAAGGACCAGAGAAAGAGCACCGTGCCCACCCACCCCCATTCCTGTGTACCCGGTGATGCCCGGGAGCCCGAGACCAGGGGAGAAACTGCCCGGTCCTCACACGCAGTGCTCACGATGGGGTCCCAGCCTCCTGCTTCCAGACATGAGTCACTTCTTCTGTTTTCCCAGAAGGAGAAAAGCCCCCACTGCCCGCAGAGCTGGTTTTGGGAGTGGCAGAGCCTTGCACTCTGTGATGCGGCCCCTCCAAATAGAACAGATCCTGTTTTCCAAAACCCTTGCTCTGACCTGGTCTCCATTACCGGGGCCTCGGTAAGCAGCACGACTACTTCCCTCAGGTTATGAATGTGAAAATAAATACATGCACGAGCTTCCCTGGAGACACGATGCCCACCGTGACATCTCATGACATCACCCGTGTCACCCAAGGTGTCGTCCAGGGAGGCCCTCACCACCACCGGCTGCTTCAAGGGTGTGAACAGGGGCAGAGGATAGGTCATGAGGTCTCCCTCCCTCTTCCACGCTGAAGCCCTTTCTGGCCACATCACCCTCCCCCATACAAGACGGTCACTGATGGTCACTGATAGTCCTTTCTCTGCCCATTGTGGGGTCCAGCATAGGTGGCCCCAAAATGTGCCTCAGAGACATACTGATTACTTTGAATTAAAAAATTTAGGAAGAACTGACTCATTGGAAAAGACCGTTATTCTGGGAAAGATTGAAGTCAGGAGGAGAAGGGAATGACAGAGGGTAAGATGGTTGGATGGCATCACCGACTCAATGGACATGAGTTTGAGCAAGCTCCAGGAGTTGGTGATGGACAGGAAAGCCTGGCGTGTTGCAGTCCATGATGTCACAGAGTCAGACACGACTGAGCAACTGAACTGAATGAATTTTAAGGATGAGATGTTAGATAGCATCACAGACTCAATGGACATGAACTTGAGCAAACTCCAGGAGGTGGTGAGAGACAGGGAAGCCTGGCGTGCTGCAGTCTATGGGGTCACAAAGGTGAATACTACTTAGCAACTGAACAACAACAAAAATTCCTTAAGAGACAACCAATGCAAGAGAGCCACTCTTACCCTCCCTTCTGTCTCCCTGGGAGCATGGCAGAAACCTCTCCTGTGAAAGGTGCACCCCTGCACCCAGAGACAGAAGGGCCCTATTACCAGAGATGCAGACTTGGGGCCCAGAGGCCTGTGTAAACCAACCTCGTGACTTCTTTCATTGACTGAAGCCCAAACTCTTTAGACCCTTCACTCACTGGGTACCCCAAGCTTAAGTTTCATTGCCCTGTCAATTCTTCACTAGTGTATTGTTTCTTTTTCTAAACAGTATAAAACCTGCCTGCTTTGCCCACTTCTTAGGTCCCATTCCTATGGGGCCTCCAGGTGCATGAAATTAAATTAGTTTCTTTTTCTCCTGCTGATCTGTCTTGTGTCAGTTTTACTATTATTATCAGTTCAGCCATAGGAAACCAAGGCAGGAAGCGGAGGAAGTTTCCCCTCCCAACACCTTTCATCTAGCTTCAACATGCGGTCACTGTGCTCTGGTGGAGGGGGGTTGGGATTTGTCAGGGAGTGAGGCACCTGCCATCACCTGGCCTCCCTGGCCCACCCTCTTCTGGGCCATTCAGTTCAGTGCTGGGCACTTGGGGTACTTGGGGTCGAGCCACTGGCTTGACACAGGGCTCAGGGCACCTCTCACGTCTTCGTCCTCAGTCTTCTCCCTGGGCAGCTCCTGCCCCCTCACTCCTAGGCCAGGGTCACTCCCAGACATGCCCATACCTGCGGAGAGGAAGGGAGCCAAACCTCCCTCACATGGAGGCACCGGGACAACACAAGACATTGTTTCCAGGAGTGGGTGCTGAGGCTACAAACACCTACAGATGCAAAAACAGCCTTGGAACTGAGCAACGTGCAGAGTGGAAGAGTTCAGAGGAGTGCTAGAAAAAGCCTCCATCACCTCGGACAGACAGAACAAGTGTGGTGACAGCTCAGGACAGGAGAGCTGTAGGGAGTGCCCCAGCCTCCTTAGAGAAACCTAAGTGGTCACAAGCAGATGTTAGTAGAAAGAGGGATGGGGAAGGCCATCCTGATGGCCATCCATCTCAGATGGAAACAGGGACCATGTTATTGCAAACTGAAGGAAAGGCAAGTGTGTTACAAAGAGGTAAAGAGCTAGGTGAACTGCTTCTTTCCTGGTGTTTTGTGGAAGATAGAACTTGCGAGTGATGAAATTTGACTGAGGAAACATGTAGGCAAAGTGTTGAAAGTACCGCAAAGCTTCTCTTGAGTACTTACAGTAAAATGCAAGAAGAGAGAAATGACCTAAAGATAGACTTCCAATCACAAAGCACTCAGAGCTTAGAGAGTTGGGAGATGCTCGGCCTATTGACACAGAAAGGGTTGAGAAAGCTTATTCAGGGAAGAACACAGAGGGTATGACTGCACTTGCTCGGGACGGAGGTGGGCTGGCCATTTTCATCCAGCAAGGAGATTAGACAGCATCTCAACAGAGTCAACAGAGGCTGGGACTTGCCTCCGTGACAGGGGAAGATGGGCCCCAAGGCACCTCACGGCTCAGGGGACAGCCCTCCCAGCACAGGCCCAGAAGGAAAGGGGATAGAGGGCAGCATGCCCTCCTGCGGGCCCAGCTGCCCTGCAGCCCTCTCATCTTGGCCTCCTCAGCAGCCCCAGCAGTGGCCTGGTGTGGCATGGGGTGATCCTGTATGACGGTGCCTGCACTCTGACTAGGGATGCACACACCCCCAGGCTGGGGGCGGGAGGTTGCACATGGTTACTTCCACTCAGAGTTGCAGGATGGAGGTGCCCAAAGCCTGTGGCAGAGGGCAATGTGTGCGGGCAGGGCAGCCCCAGACTGGAAGAGCCCCTGGCCTGCGATTCCAGCTCGGGAGGGTGCAGTGGGCTCTGCACAACAAAGCCTCGGGGCAGGACCATCCCCCAGTGGGCCTTAAGGCTTTGGGCTCACTTAGGACCCGTCACCCTGCCTTCTTTCCCACCTCCCCTTTCAAAATGGGAATGTCCACCCTCTGCCTGGCCTTCCACTCTGTTCTGGAAGCACACGGCTTGTCGCAACCAAGCAGGACCCTATAAGGGGGCCGTCCCAGGGCAGATGTGTTGCCCACATCCTCTGTTGTACATTTCCTGCGTGGTTTTACACATGTGAAATCCCCACCTCCACCAAAAGGAAGATGTTAATTACTTGATCATAAGCATGTAGCCCGCAGACCTACTGGAGCCTGAGGACTGATGATGTTAACCCCTGAGACCCTGCCCTGTTGCCATCAACCAGTGAGAGATCAGAGAGCTGTGCACGAGCTGATCAGAGAGCCGTGCACGAGCTGATCACATGCCCTGTGATCACTGCCCCCCTGCTCAATGGCCTGGATTTTAAAAATGCTTTGCTGAAGCCCTTCAGGCGTTCCAGATTTGGGGGCACAAACTACCCACCTGTCCTTGTTCAGCCCTGCGGTAAACCTTTCTCTGCTCCAACGCCGACGTTTCGGTTCCTTTGGCCTTCCTGTGTGTCCATCAAGCACATGAAATGGAGCTCAGTGCCACTGACTATCTGGTTCCCCAGGCTCACAGCTGGAGAGAACTATGCCCCAGGGTGAATCCACCTCAGGTCTCCCCACATCTGATTTAGAGGAGACTCTGGAGTGGATGCTGCAGTGAGTTAAGATTTGGGGGCTGTTGGGATGGAGTGAGTGTATTTTGCATGTGGGAAGGACATAATTTGGGGGGGAAGAATGGGATGGTCTGTGTTCCCCTAAAATTCCTATGGGGCATTTAGGAGGTGGTTGGGTCAGGAGGGTGAAGCCTACATGAATGGGATCAATGCCTTTGTAAAAGAGACCCCCGAGAGCCCCCGGCCCCTTCCTCCACGTGAGAACACAGGAGTCTGCTCCCAAAGTGGGCCCTCACTGACCACGCAGTCTTGGACATCCAATCTCCAGAACCACCAACCACACAGTCTTGGATAGCCAGCCTCCAGAACTGCGAGAAATAAATATCTACTGTTTATGAGCCACCGAACGTGGTCTTTGTATAGCAGCCAGGACGCACTGAGACAAGCAGTGAGTGTGCTGGCCCTGCAGTCCTCGGGAGCCGCCTGGCACACCACTTGTGGCAAAGGAGGCTTACGCCCAAGTGGCCTTTACAGGGCCGCCTGCTATCCTAGTCAGCAGCTTGCCAGGCCTCACAATCAGCTACTCAGGAGAGCAGATCAGCAGGAAATGTTCCAGGTCACAGAAGAGGAAAAGAAGGCTCTGAGAATCTCACAACTGGGCAGCTAATCTGTAAGGGGACCGGGACTCTCCAGGGCTCAGTCCTGCAGCCAGGGTCCCCAACCTCCAGGATCTACTGCCTGATGATCAGAGGGGGAGCTGATGTAATAATAACAGAGACAGAGGGCACAATAAATGTAATGCACTGGGATCATTCCAAAAACATTCCCCCATCCCGCTCCGTGGGGAAATTATCTTCCACGAAATCGGTCTCTGGTGCCAAAAGGTCAGGGACCACTGTTCTACGGGACAAGTGACAGAAGGAGAAGCAATAAAGGACTTGGTCTCAAGAAACTCAAGTGAGTTTGCTCAGATTCACAGTTTTCGGATTCACAGATACCCATCTCAGCACACTCACTAGAGGCGTGTTTACATCTTCTCAATCCCAGCTGCCAACAGATCCCTAGGAAACGTGTCAAACACCATTCCTCACACCCACCACTCATCAGACTTTGAAGGGCAGAGCCACGTGTAACCATTCCCATTTCCAGCCGCAGGGGGAGTCTGGCCTGACCCCCCCTTCCTCCCCTCCACCCACACCCCCCACACCACACCCGGACTCCTGCCTAATAGTCTAGGCCCTGGGAGAGTCCAGAAAACTAGGCTGACAATGAACTTACAGCACCCCTCCAGCCATCAAACCTTCTCTGGGGTCCTTCTCCCCAGGATCATACCATCAGTTGCTCTCTTCACATATCACCTAAAAGCAAATTTGGCTACCCTGTTTTATAGCAAAAATTCTCCATGAGCAATTAGCAACCTCAGATATGCAGATGATACCACTCTAATGACAGAAATTGAAAAGGAACTAAAGAACCTCTTGATGAGGGGGAAAGAGGAGAGTGGAAAAGCTGGCTTAAAATTCAACTTTCAAAAAGCCATCATGGCACCCAGTCCCATCACTTCATGGCAAATAGATGGGGAAACAATGGAAACAGTGACAGATTTTGTCTCAGGCTCCAAAATCACTGCAGACAGTGACTGCAGCTACAAAATTAAACACGCTTGCACCTTGGAAGAAAAGCTATGACAAACCTAGACAGTGTATTAAAAAGCAAAGATACTGCTTTGCTGACAAAATTCCGTATGGTCAAAGCTGTGGTTTTTCTAGTAGTCATGAACAGATGTGAGAGTGGAAGATTTGATTGAGTGTGGAAGAATGATGCTTTTGAACTGTGGTGTTGGAGAAGACTCTTGAGAGTACCTTGGACAGCAAGGAGATGAAACCAGTCAATCCTAAAGGAAGTCAATCCAAAATATTCATTGGAAGGACTGATGCTGAAGCTGAAGCTCCAGTACTTAGGCCACCTGATGTGAAGAGCCAGCTCATTAGAAAAGACCCTGATGCTGGGAAAGATTGAGGGCAGGAGGAGAAGGGGACAACAGAGGATGAGATGGTTGGATGGCATCACCAACTCAATGGACATGAGTTTGAGCAAGCTCCGGGAGATGGTGAAGGACAGGGAAGCCTGGCGTGCCACAGTCCATGCAGTCACAAAGAGTTGAACATGATTTAGGGACTGAACAACAACAATTAGCACAGATATGTTGAGAAAACTCTAAAAGTAAAGGACTTCCAAGAAGAGAGAGAATCTGACCCGGTAGGCCTGAATATAGTAACAACACGCTCATCTACAGATGTCGCCCAGCACAGAACACTGACAAAACGTGAAGCTGCAGCCCTAGAGAGGAGTGAGGGGGCTGACAGGAGCACGGGGTGAATGTTCCCATGGGGACTCACCCAGACGGGGCTCCTTCTGGTACCCAGCCCTCCCCAGCCCAGAAGACTCACCGGTACACAGAACCACGTGCTGGTCTGGCGCACTGGCTGCGGCCCTGTGTGCGCCCACTCTCCACTCCTCTAACCCTGTAGCTGCTCCCTGCGCTCCTCCTCCAGCATCCTGAATCCTGAAATCCTGGCTGTGACAGCACTTTCAAGATTAAAAATAGCCACACGCGGGTGAGGGGTAAAAGAACCGCCAACCACGGAACTGGGACGAGAGGTCGTGGGGGTGGGGGTCAGAGGAAGAGCCTGAGATAGCTAAGTCCCTGATGTCCCCAAGTCACGGCACGGCGCCTCCGGACAGACCGCGCCCAGCCGTGTCGCAGAGCCTGGGCCCCGCGCCGCAGCCCAGCGGACATCTGCACCGGGCCAGCCGCCTGCCTGCCGCAGCAGTCCCGCAACCCCGCTGCAGCCCCGCACCGCAGCCCGAGCCGCGCCCAGCCCTCTGCACCCCAGCGCACTCACACCTTGGAGCTTGCTGCAGTCTTCCCCGACCCCCAGCTCCCGCCCCCGCGCCCAGACCGATTCCTGGGTCCCCGCATCCCTTGGCCCACGCACCCCAGCCTGGGCTCCGACCCTCGTGCCGGCCCGACCCTCCTCCTGGATCCTGGGGCATCCTCCCCTTGATACGCGGCTCCGCAGCGCCTCGGTTCCCTCCACCCCAGGCCGGCGTGCGTACCTGCTGAGAGGGGCCCGCGCTCCCGCGTCACTCGCGCCGTCGCCGACGCCGCCACCGCCGCCGAGCAGAACCGCAGCCCTGGCCCTCCGCGTCACGGCTCCGGAGAGCGCAGTCCGCCCAGTCCCGCACTCCGGACCAGAGCCCAGGAGGAGAGACTAGCCCTCTGGAGCGCGGTCCGCCTCCCCAGGTCCCCTCCCAAGAGGCTGGCGCCAAGTGTGAACCCGGAGGAAGCGATTCTCATCAAGTCCTAACCGCAGGGAGGTGGGGCGCAGGACTGAACGGGGTCGTGTTGGACAATGGGGGCCTGGAGACTGGGTGAACCACTTCCCCTACTGATCTGCTCCTGCCCTCACCCGTCTTCCTAGGGGCCCCAAGCCAGGAGCCCATTCCCTGTAAGGCAGGATCCAAGGCGCCAGGAGGAGCCCCGCACAGGGTTCACCCCAGCAGGTGCTGCCCCAGACCCACAGGTGCCTTATCCCCACCCCAGCTGCTTGGCCCTTCCCAGTCCTTCTGGCTGGAGCACAGAGGACTGAATGCTGACTACTAAAAAACTGATCGAAGCTCTTCCTATGACTCCAAACTCCCTCACCACAAATCTTTCACCCCACAGCGGCCCTCTGCCCTCTCCTTCCTGGCTGCCACCCCATGCAGCCTCATGATCTAGGGAAGTGAACAGGGTCCTGTGCCTCCTCTGATGGCAGGGCCCGGGGCTGCCAGCTGACCCTCATTTCCTCCTCTGGGTGCATGGATGCAGTGTCCAGACTCCTGCCCAGAGCATCCTCCTCTGGAGGGCCTTTCGCCCCATCTGCCTCTGCCTCTCTGCAAAGCTGCCAGGTGCATGGACCAAAGTGCCCCAGGTGCACTGGTCAATGGCTGGCCCCTGTCTCACTCGCCCGCCACCCAGAGGTTTCCAAGCAGCTTGGGGTAAGTGTCAGAACCCATCAGATCTTCTTGTACAGCACTCGATCGTTTTCTCAAGGTACTTTGAAGATGACTGGAGTCTCTCTTCCAAGGTGGTTGGCACCACCAATGGTGGCTGTAACCCAACAGCTCTGGTCTGCAGGGCTGCCCGCTGCAGGGCACAGCACTTCGCCATCATGGCTGATCCACAGGACTGCAGCTCTGGCCTGCAGGACTTCACACTGCAGGGGCAGAGGCGCCAGCCACAACAGCTGCATCCTCAGAGCAGCGGGCGCCCAGCGAGTGGCCATCACGGGAGTTCTTCTGCTACACGGACGGCCACAACCCCTAAGAGGCATCTCAGACCCTAGTCAGCCAGTGAAGGAAGCGGAGACCCACCCGTGTCCGCAGCTGCTTGTCAGCAGCTCTGTACACACTCTCGCCCAGGGCTCCTTCCCCAATGCCCTCTGGCCTGAGAGTCATCTCACGTCTGAAAGCGTACTAAAGGGAAGTTAATATTTCATGATAGGACAGTAACTGAAGAGCCGTCGGACACAGTGGCTTTCATTTCCATGTATCCCAGGGCCTCGGTGGGAACATCACTTAAGGCTGAGTATCTCATGAACCAGGCTTCTGACAAAACATTTGTGCCCACAGTGTCCCCTCTGGGGCTCCTTCCCTTCTAGAAAACCACATATTTCACAAGCAGGTCATGCTCCATTGGCCAGACACCACTGAAAGCAATTATGAAACATCTTTTCCATAAAAATAAGAAGCAGGAACCATAGAGTACAAGATCAGCAAGTACTGATCCTGACTGAGGGGTATTTCAAGTTCAGATAAAGGAAACACAGGGGAGAGGACTTTGTTACAGCACAGACATCATGCCAAAGACATAAAGCCCCTTGCTCTTCCAGCCAGAGAAAACCACAGTCACTGAAAAAGAGAGTGATCTGACTAGCATGGCACGCTCTTGTCATGAATAATACATTGAAATAAAGAGGCGAGGCTGTTGGCTCCTTGGAGGAGGAGCTGGGGAGGGTTGGCAGAGGAAGGAGGGGAGAGTATGGGGGCTGGGAGCCCCAGCCCCTAGACATGGTCTGCCTGTGCTGAGGCTTCATGAGAAGCCTAGAGAGGGACTACAGACTTTTATAGGGGGCCAGATGGTAAATTGTTAGGTTTGCACCTCCGTTTAAACTACTCAACTCTGTCCTTGCAGCCAGAGAGCAGCCACTGGCAAAACACAAGCAGGTAGGTCTGACTGTGTGCCAATAAAACTTTATTTACAAGAACAAGCAGAGGGCCTGGCTATGTGCCAATAAAACTTTATCTACAAGAACAGGCAGTGGCTGGATCTGGCCTGTGGGCTGTAGGTTGCTGACCCCTGGTTGAGAGAGAGGATGAAGAGTAGTGGGCTTCATGCTGGGGACAACATTGTTTTCCTTCATCACTTCATTGATAAGGTCAAAAGATGGCCTCCATTCTAGAAACGTCTAATCAGAAAAGACTGCCCATGGAAATAAGTGGGCATGGTGTGCTGCCCAGGAGGGTAAAGACTGTGGACACCCTAGTGGCTGAGTGCCCTTCTAGAAAGTTCTACCAGATTGCCCATACATTCTTCAGTGGCAGTGATGAGAATGGAGGTGGAAATGACCCAGACAGTCAGGACATGGAATAAAATGAATAAACACAGGCCACTCTTCTCTCTACAAGTCCTTCCTGTGTTTTGCCACAGAGTCCATCCGTCCATCTCAATGGCTTTCTGCACCAGCCAGGGTCACTGTCAGTGGAGGAGGGCAGAAAGGCTCAGTCACTCAGCCTGGGCCCCCCACACGCCAAGCATCATGTCAAGTTCCCGCGTGTTTGCAGACTTTGTGATCCAGCGTGGAAGGAAATCTTCTCACCCCCAGTGGGTGATGAGGGAGCGGTGACTTGGGAACCTGGCATCGCAGGCTCCTGCAGACCCTGCATGCTCATCAGTCAGCCAGCCCACAGGCACCTCCTGAAGCCTTACTACAGGGAGTCCATGTCTAGGGGCTGGGGCTCCAGGGAGAAGAGCCCAGGCCCGCAGTCCATGGGGAGAACGGCATAAAGCACAAGGGACATGATAAACATTGGGGTCAGCAGGGCAGGAACTGGAGGTCACAGTGTTGGTGGGAAGGTAGCTGGGAAGGCCTTTCTCAGCAGTGTGGATAGAGGAAGTGATCCACTTTCTGAGGAAGTGATGGATCACGCCATAACAATCAATGAAAGGCACCTGGATCCAGGGAAGAGCAGGTGCAAAGGCCCTGAGGTGAACTCAAGTCATATGTTTGAGGACCATCAGGAAGTGCACCAGGGGAGTGTGGCATGAGATGAGGGGAAGGGGTGGGGGCCAGATCACAAAGGGCCTTGGGGCCCCTGAAGTGGGTCCTCTAGTCTGATGCGAGGTGTGGGACCGATCCTTTGCTGGTGGATCAAACCATAATGAGCCCGAAGACCGTGGTACTGGCTGAGTCCCTGTAGGCAGGAAGCTGAGCCCAGATCCAGAATGTGTCCATCCCGCTGGAGCACATCACTGCCCAGTCTCTCTGAGGAACAATACTGTGTTCAGCCTCCATCTTGGTCACACCCTGTCTGACCCACCAGCCAGTACCAGGCTGGCTGAGGAAAGAGACTGACGGTCATCGATGGGCTATCTACCCGCTGTCCATCGCCTCGTCCATGGTGGGTGCCCCACGGCCTCACAGCAGGGTATGAGCATCTCCACCTGCCAGCCTACACCTAGCGCCCCTTCCAGACCTCCTTGCCCTGATTCTCCATCTCTCTCCTTTTGCTCCCCCCTCCAACACCACCAGTGGGGTCAGGCCATCCCTACCTGCCGGTGAGCCCATGCACAATCCAACATCGGCACACTGCCCTCCACACAGAGCAGACAGACAGGCACTCCACGTGGCGGCCAGGCCCCTAGACCTCTTGCTCACCTACAGGTCTTGCTGGTGTGCCAAGGTGGCAAGGCTGTTTCCTTTGGTTGCTCCTACAGCTGGTAACCTTGAGACATGAGGGTCGTCACCCCTGGACAAAGATGGGATCGCTCACTACTGGCTGGAAAAGTGGTGGATCCACAGCTCCCTGATCCTTCTCGGTACCATGTGCGCCCATGGCACAGGCAGTGAGCATTCATGGAGCCCACCAAGTCGCTCCTGTGAAACTCGGATGTGGGGGTGCTGATGTATATGTGTCAGTGCCATGAGGAATAAGCCATCCTTTGCCTCTGACCCAGGAGTTGCAGTCTCCTGCCGGAACTCACAAAGCAGTAACAGGCTGACTCACTAGCCTGCTAGAGGGATCAAGGGTTTCCCTGGTGGCTCAGATGGTAAAGAATCTGCCTGCAATGCAGGAGACCAGGTTCAGTCCCTGGGTTGGGAAGATTCCCTGGAGAAGGGACTGGCAACCCAGTCCAGTATTCTTGCCTGGAGAATCCCATGGAAAGAGGAGCCTGGGGAAGGTTACAACCTATGGGGTCACAAAGAGTCTGGACTGAGTGACTAACACCTTCAGCGGGATCAAACCAAATCCCAGGCCAGCGCCCTGCTCAAAGTGCTGCCTGTTGTGGGCACTGGCCTTCACGAGTCTTTCAGGACCAACAGAGGGAGACATCCTGCAGCTAGCACTGAGCCAGCCATCCTTCACCAGCTGATCAGAGGAGCCCCCGTGTGGCCACACAGGCTAGTAAACCAGTGCAGGTGGCATGTGGGTCTGGGACACCTGTGCTCCAGCTGGCCATGCTCTCTGCCCGAACCCCTCAGACCGGTTCTACTCACTTAAGACTGTTGCTGGGCCCACCCACTGTACAGAACAACCCAGGCATGGATGGGGGGCTCAGGCCAAGACTTGACTGATAAACCCTTTGCAACACCACATGTCCCTGCAAAATACAGCACACCAGATGAAATACAGGAAATGCAGCAGTTAAACTACTGTGGGGATGCTTTTCTCTTTTAGAATCCCCTGTATTGTCTTTATAATAAACATAACGGGGCTACAGAAAAATTCCACTCTCCCCCACTGAATCACAGCCCCTGGTTGTGCCAGGAGTCCCTCATACATGCAAGTCCTCCACCAGTCTCCAGGACCCTAGGCTTCGGATATTGCTGTGACACCCTGGCAAAGCCACCTCTGACCCTTGTGAAAGAAAAAAATTATCCTGACACTTGTTAAAAGGGTAAGGAAGACTTTATTCAAGACTATTGCACTTAGAGACAGACCGGGCTCAACTCCAAATTCAACAAGGACTAGGGGGATTTACAGATAAGGAGCAGTGAGAGGACATTGGATGGAAAGTTACTAGGAGATCAACCTAGAGAGCATATTAAAAAGCAGAGACATTACTTTGCTAACAAAAGTCCGTCTAGTCAAGGCTATGGTTTTTCCAGTAGTCACGTGTGGATGGGAGAGCTGGACTATAAAGAAAGCTGAGCACCAAAGAATTGATGCTTTTGAACTATGGTGTTGGAGAAGACTCTTGCGAGTCCCATTGACTGCAAGGAGATCCAACCAGTCCATCCTAAAGGAAACCAGTCCTGAATGTTCATTTGGAAAGACTGATGTTGAAGCTGAAACTCCAATACTTTGGCCACCTGATGTGAAGAGCTGACTCACTTGAAAAGACCCTGATGCTGGGAAAGATATGAAGGCAGGAGGAGAAGGGGACGACAGAGGATGAGATGGTTGGATGGCATCACCGACTCAATGGACATGAGTTTGAGGAAACTCCGGGAGTTGGTGATGGACAGGGAGGCCGGCATGCTGCCTCCATGGGGTCGCAAAGAGTCGGACACGACTGAGCGACTGAACTGAACTGAACAGAAGTGAGGAGACCTCAAGAGCGGAGGATCTTAAAAATGACAGGCCAAGAATATTAGATACCACTTGTGAGGGAGGAAAGAGGAACAAAATCAGACAATGAGGGTACGCAGAGATCAGGGTGGGGGTGACAACAGGATCTTTGCTGAGACTGGACTGGACAGGCCAAACACAGGAACAGGGTCCAGTGGGAAAGGTGTCCAAGGTGAGGCTGAGTTTGGTCTTGTCACCTCTGAGGTCTGAGATATCGGACACCTGTCTTAATGTACTTTGCAGCCCAAGCAACCCTTTGATTTCTAAAATGTCTGACTACTTGTGAGGTCTCTGTTACCCTTGGCACCTGCCTTCTTTCCTTAAACGCTGAGAGGGAGAGGAATCAGCGCAGCCCTAAAACTCTTCGAGATTTTTCATTTCAACACTTCAGTGAAGGGGCCTAATTCAGGGCAGTTAAGAGACCATCACTTCTAACTCACCAGCCTCGGGGCGAGGACTGGGGCCAAGGGTTGGAGTTCGGGGTTTGGGGTGGGGATCGGGACCTGGGTTACGATTTGAGACTCTGGCGAGGTCGCTCATGGCCGACTGGCACTTCCAATCCGGTCGCCGCAGCGCTACGTCAGAGCTTGCGTCACCATCACTGCGCACGCGCAGGACGGGGCTAGCGGCTCCAGGGGCTGGTCGGAGCAGGTGAGGGAGGAGCCAAGACGCGAGGCGGAAGCCCAAGCAGCTCCACTGCGCTCGCGCCGGCCCGTCCCCTCACAGGGGGCCAATGGGCTCTCAGGACGCTCACCTAAAGACGCGGGCCCCGCCCCCTTGGAGACGCGCGCCCCGCCCCTTGGAGACGCGCGCCGGCCTGGCCAACATCAGCCGAGGTAGCGAGAGGTTTGAGAGGAGTCTGGGGTCCTGGCTGCCTGCCGCGATGAAGCTGACCCGGAAGATGGTCCTGTCCCGGGCCAAGGCCTCGGAGCTTCACAGCGTGAGGAAGCTCAACTGCTGGTGAGGACCAGAGGCCAGAGCCCGTCCCGGCGCATCCTCCCCGCTGCTCGACAACCCTTCCCCGGACCCCCGCCCTGGGGCAGGACTGGGAAGAGCTTTCTAGGAATGGAGACCCCTGTCCAGAACCTCCGCCCTGGAACGGGGACCCCTGCCCGCCACCTCTTCTCTAGAGCGGGGCCTGCAAGGGCCTGCAGAGGATGCAGAGGGGTTTGGAATTTGGGAGTGGGGGGGGAGGGCACCTGGGCCTCACCTTCCTGGCCCATGTCTGGTCCGCCCAGCCTTTGGGAGGTGTTCCATAAGCTCAGGGGGCCTTTGGCAAGACCATTCCAGAATTTTCATCCCTCCTGACCGGTGGTGTTTCACACACAGCTCCAAACCTGCCCTCCTTGCACAGGACAATTGGAATTCCCTTGAAGACTGGCTCTTGGGCTTCTAGATGGCTGTAGTGGGGCAGACAGTTCTCTCTAGAGAGGTGTCTTTTCTGAAATTGCCAGCAGTCCTGGGAGCCAAGCCTGCTGATGAGATGGGAGATCAAGGTGGTTAACACCCTCTCTAGGGCAAAGAAAGGAAACTGAAACTCCAAAGTGATGCTTCAGTAAACACTGTTGTAATTAAACCCTGGGTAGGGATGCATTGTCCCCACTGTCTTGGAGGTAATGGTTGGAGATACAGGTGCTGTAGAGTCAGTGCAGCCTCAAAGACAGGGTGGCCAGGGCTAGCTGAGCCAAGGAAGGACCACGAGTGCTCCTGGAACTCCTGAAAGGTCTGCCTGTGTTCACTGGGGACTCCAAGCAGGGCACCGAGTGCCTCTGTGCCCTGGACAGTTCAGCTGGCACTCAGCCAGAAGCGGATGATCCTTCTGCTGGTTTCGGGCAGATCGACTGCAGTGAGATCTGCCTGCTCATTAAAAGCCTTTCTCTTTGCCCCGCACATCTGGTATTTTGGCCACAGCATTCCTGTCATTTGTTTTCAACAATGCATGCCTTTGTTCTGCGTGAGCAGTCAGCCTTCCCCTCAGGAGGGAGGCACAACGACCCCATTTCAGGCTTTCTGAAGTGTGTTTCATAAATCATAAGTTCAACCTTTGAACGTGTCCTGTTACAGAGACTCCCTTGTTTATGTCTGTTAGTCAGGGAATTATTCCTGGGTACAGCAGCCTTGAGAATGAGGAAGTCTTTGTGTCCTTCAGATGGGGCAGCCTCTGCCACTGCTTAGTCTGAAGAGCAACCGCCAGCATCAAATCGTTTTGTCCAAAATCAACCAGGAAATTATTTTGGGCACCTTTGTCAGTTATCTGGGAAAGTTTTCTTTTACTTTGTCATTGAAATCATAGACCTTTTTTTTCCCTCACGTATAGATTATTTTTTAAAAACGCAGATATTTAACTTTTGGCTGTTCTGGGCATTTGTTGCTACATGCAGGCTTTTTCTCTAGTTGTGGCAAGCGGGGGCTATCCTCTAGTTGCAGTACGTGGGCTTTTCTCATTGCAGTGGCTTCACTTGTTGCAGAGCACGGGCTGTAGGCACCTGGGCTGCAGCTCATGGACTCTAGAGCACAGGCTCTATAGTTAGAGTGCACAAGCTTACTTACATGTGGAATCTTCGCAGACCAGGGATGGAACCCATGTCTCTTGCACTGGCAGGCAGATTCTTATCCACTGTACCACCAGGGGAGTCCAAAGTCGTAGACTCTTAAAGTTTGTAGACGTTTGTCATTAATTTTTGTTTTTAGTTTTTTTATTCAGCTTTGACAAACTAAAAGTGCATTTGTCTTTTCTCTCCCCAGGGGCAGCCGTCTCACTGATGTAAGTACCATGCTGATCATCTCCAAATGGTCCCTGATCCCTCAGAGGAGGGTTAAGTGGACAGATCCACACCCATCCCATCCAGGCCCCTGTCCATTTGTTACTTTAGCAGCTTTAGTAAGGAAGAACCACTTGTGAAAAGAGGTTCTATAGCCCCAAGTTAATTCCGAAATCCCTTCACACATCCTCCTGCGGATGAGAAGCAGGCCTCACAGAGGAGGGGGCTGATCCAGGATGCAGACCTCTCCGACCTGAGGAAGGGCCCCACAGGCTTGGTTGACTTTAAGGAGCAGTGCATTTGGCTTGGGGGAGGGGGTGTTTTTTAAATTTTTTAATAGGTTCTTGGACTTCATGTCCCTAAGGAGGTTCCTCACTTCAGCTGCTTCCCTGGTCAGATCCATCTTCACCCCCTATTCCCGTGGCAGGAATAGATGAGGGCCAGGCAGGGGCAGAGAGAGGAGCTGGGCAGAGCTGAGTGTCTGTGACTCGTTTTCTTCCAAACTCCAACCCCCACCCCCACCCCCCAGTCCTGGGATGAATGTCTCCAGCTCACACAGAGTGTGGTGCCCAGCAGTTGGTTCTTATTGACTTCTGTTTTGTAACTTGAACTGTACCTGTCCTGAAAAGCAAAGTTGGACATTCTGAGTATTGGAACCCTCCAGAAAAGTCTGTTGCACCTGATTCTGTAGTGGCAAAAACAAAGCAAAACACTACTGTAGCAGAAAACAGATCCACTGCAAATGTGAAGCATTCTGACCAGACAGCTTGTTGATGTCAGGAGGCCCCTCTGGCTCCATGCCCACTGTCTGGCAGACACACACACACATATTCGGGGCTCCACTGCTCATCAGCCTTGCAGGTTACAGGGTCTTCGTGGACCAGCCTGTGCCCCACTGCCCCTTTCCCCCAAGTCAGTGTTAACATGCTCTCAGGTCTAGTTTTGAGCCTGTCTCCATATCAGAACAGTTCTGTTGGCAAGAAGGGGCTTCTGTCCTTTCTTGGATGTCAGGGACAGTAGAGAGAAAGGCTCTCTGTCCGTTGAGATCTCCTCACTGAGATCCTTTGAGGATATCTACAATTAGGAACGCCCCATCTCGATGGCTGCCAGCATTTGGTGGTAATGATGCTGGTTGGAGTTGTGGAGAGGGTGCCATTTTTCCATCAGGCAGTGGGGACGTCTAGGCTGCAGAGGGGAGTGGGCTGCAAAGCCCTGCGTATTCCTAGTTGGGAGGGGGGAGGCTTCTCCACTTGGGCCCTTGACAGGGGTTGGGCAGCAGCTCCCCCTGGGTTCTCTTGGCTGCTGGAGAGGTGTGATGTCACATGCCAGCATCCCGTGATGTTTGCAGTCACTTTCTTTTCCTTTGTAGATCTCCATTTGCCGGGAAATGCCCAGCCTGGAAGTGATCACGCTCAGGTACTGAACCCCGGCTGGCCATCCCTCCTAAGTCACCGGGGCTGGAAGATGAGGAGAGTGTCCAGATCCCTCCCGTGGGCTGGTCAATAACCTGAATAACTGATTATCCTTTGGTAACTCCCAACCGTGGTCTGGGAGGGCTACTTCTGCAGGCCACACCGAGGTGGCACCAGGGCTTAGCAGCTCCTTAGCTCTGCCCTCCTTCCTGGAGGGCACCCAGGCCTCCCCCTGAGCTTGCCCTGCCTGTCCTGGGGTCATGGGGTGCCACCCCAGAGTGGTTGTGTCTGTCCCAGCGTCCCCAGTGCCAGCTTTGTCTCCCTCCTGGTCCCATCAGTGCCCGGAGCTCTGCCAACTTCCTGCACTGCATGGTCTGTCCTTGATAATAGTTACTCTTCCAAGGTCATACACCTTTTAAGGAAAGCTTGGATGAGCCAAATGCTGCCTTTGGGGCTCCAGGCTCCGGGTAGGGTGGGGGCATTTGGAAGGTGAGGGAAGGAGGAAGTCTCGCCCCACCTGAACTCTGACCCACCCACTCTGGGTCTGGGGAGGAGGCTGCCCCTGCAGATGCTGGAGTGCTTTCTGCAGGTGCCCACATGTAAACCTTGTGGAGATTGAAGCGCTGCAATGAAGGCTAACTCCTTGCTTGGCAGCTCAGAAGGTCTCGGGACTCGCCCTGTGTGTGGGGTCATGTGGGGTCACAGGCCCTGGGTCCCATGCAGGGGAGACTTACCCCGGAGACTTACCTTCCTCGTCACACTGGCCACCCTGTCCTTCCTGAGACCTCGCTTGTCCTTTGTGCCTTCGGGGGTCACCCTGGGTGCCTTCTGCCACACACCTTGTGCTCACCCACCCCCAGCCCTGACCCGACAGGCTGGGGCTGGCACCTGCTTGCAGGATGAAGGAATGAATGAAGGAGTGGGCCCGGAGCCCCCTTCCCTGCCTGGGCCCAGCTCAGCCCTTGTGCCTCAGCTCCCCCAGCTGTAAGACAGTGACTGTAGAGGTGGGGGGTGAGGAGGAGGGGATGCAGTGGGGAAGATGGAGCAGCCAGTGTGTGCAAGCGCCTAGCGTCTGCTGTCACTTACCTGTCATGATTGTCAGTGAAGCTGACAGTCAGGGGCATGTGCGCCTAGAAGGCCTTACCTGTCATTCCCCAAATAGTAGGAAACTTGGAGCAGGCGTGGACTTAACCCCATCTCTGCCAAGCACTGTCCGAGGGCTCTGGGGCAAGTCCCCAGCCTCTGAGCCCGAGGCCCCTCGTACCACAGGGGTTCTCATCGCTGCGGCCTGAAGCGGGACAGTGCCCGGGGTTGTGGCCTGGACTTCTATCCCTGCTGGAACTGGGGGGCCCTGCGGCTAAGCCGCCATCCCCAGGCCACTGGACGGCAGTCCTACGTGACGACGTCGTTTTGGTTTGGTCTCAGTGCCCGTGGGTGGGCAGGCTTAGTCGGGTCTGGCTGCTCTAATGGGATTTCACAGGCATTTGTCCCTCATAGTTCAGAGGCCACAAGTCCAAGACCAGTGTCTGGGGAGGGCGCCCTGTGTCCTCACCTGGTGGAAGGTTCGGACAGCTCTGGGGGTCCGTTTCATAAGAGCGCTGGCCCCACTCATGGGGGCCCCGCCTCCTCACACCACTGCACTGGGGGTCAGGATCTGAGTATATGGATCTGGGGACACACAGTGTCCAGTGTATACAGATCCAATGTATGGGTCTGTAGCAACAGCAGCCATAGCCCTGTGGTCAAGGAGGGGTCTCTCGGCCCCTGCCAGCTCAAGCCCTCGACCTCAAGCCTCCAGCCCGAAGGCTTGTGTGGCTCCCCCATTGCGAGGGTCCCAGAGCCTGGGTTCACTTGTGCTGAGACGGTGGCACCCTTGTCGCTGCTTCAGTGACAGTGTCAGGTGTGGTGGCAGTGATGCTAGGGACGTGTGAGGACGTCCCTCCCCAGCCCAGCCCAGCATCCAACGGAGAGTGGTCCAGACAGTCTGGCAGGACGGGCAGGTCCTGCACGGCCTGAGGCTTATGGTCAGCCACCCCCCTCAAACTGAGCCTGCATTCACGGCTGGTCCTTCTGGGTGTGCAGGAGGTGACCTTGCTCTGTCAGCTCAAACCTTCAGGTCTCTGCCTGGTGTCTGGGTGATTTCCTCTTTCCCGTTCGCTCAGTTTAATTCTGTAGTAAATTCTTCTGTGACCATGGGGTTTGGAAGTTCAGTGCTAAGGTCTTGGCCATGTGGGGCTTGAATGGGCTTGCTTACGTTCACCATGGGTTTTCCTGGCTACTGCCCATTTTGGGCTCACTGGTGTATCCCACGGAGTCCTCAGTCCCCTGTCCTGTCATGGGGAGGACTCCCACCCCGACATGGACTCCTCCCAGCCTCAACAGAGTAGGGGCTACCACTCCCACTGCAGCTGGAGGGTGAAGCTTTCTCTTGGACCTGGGGGCTCCCTTGCCCTCCACCCTAAGGAGAGGGCAGGTGGGTACTGGCTGGCAGCACTCATCTGCGTGGTGGGGTGGGGGCCCCGGGCCAGCGCTGACGGCCGTGTCCATGCAGTGTCAACAGCATCTCCAGCCTGGAGCCCGTGAGCCGCTGCCGGCAGCTGAGCGAGCTGTACCTGCGTAAGAACCGCATCCCCAGCCTGGCAGAGCTCATCCACCTGAAGGGCCTCCCACGCCTGCGCGTGCTCTGGCTGGCCGAGAACCCCTGCTGTGGCACCTGCCCCCACCTCTACCGCATGACCGTCCTGCGCACCCTGCCACAGCTGCAGAAGCTGGACAACCAGGGTGGGTGCCCCTACATCCCCCCCGCCCCATCACAGGTGCCCGAGAGGCCAGCCTGAGGGCTGAGCCACCTCTCCAAAGGGGACCGTGCTGAGCCGAGGGGACAGCCAGGCTGGGCCGGGTGGGCTCATGTGCGGTGAAGCCACTGATGCTTCTGCACTGCCCCCCCCGTCCCCCAGCTGTGACGGAGGAAGAGGTGTCCCGGGCGCTGATGGAGGGAGAGGAGGTCACGGCCCCCAGCAGAGAGGACTTGGGGAGCAGCCCACCTGAGCTGTCCTACACCCCGAGTGCTGTGGATGCCGCCACTGAGACGACACAGGATCCCCTGAGCCTCGGCGAGGGGGAGGCCAGGTGTGGCCCGGGGGCTGCACTTCCAGGGCTTGGGGTGGGCTGTGTGTGCTTGTTTCTGGTCTGGCTCTGGGCCCCTGCCTGGTGTCAGCCGCATGGCTGAGAGAAGGCTCAGGGCAGGCAGCTCATGCCAAGTGCAAGACCAGCCCTTCTGGGGAGCAGTGGACTTGGGCAGTGAGCTGGTGGAGATATGGAGCTGGCTGCACGGGAGGGAAACCCTGTGGCCCTGGCCACCCGAGCCACTGGTCAGGAGTCCTGGGGATGGCAGGGCATGCAGGCCAAGGAAGGGCCCTTTCTGACCCACAGGGCACTTCAGCTGATGGATCTTTGTGGGCAGAAACTGGACGGGGGAACATGGTGAAGACCATTGTTCTCAGCGGGCCCCAGGCCGGGCATCCACTTGCAAATGAGGGCCACCTGCTGGCTGTCCCACGGCATGGCAGGAGGGCACGTGGCTGTCCTGCGGCGTAGCAGGAGGGCACGTGGCTCTCCCGCAGTGTGGCAGGAGGGTACGTGGCTCTCCCAGAGTGGCTGTCCTTCAGTGTAGCAGGAGGGTGTGTGGCTGTCCCTTGGCGTGGCAGGAGGGTGCGTGGCTGTACTGTGGCATGGCAGGAGGGCACATGGCTGTCGCCTGGCAGGGGCAGCTGCAGGCCCCCCTCCATGTCTGGGGCTCACATTGTCATGTGTGCTAGTGCCCCTGTCCCGTGTGAGCTCCATGGGGAGGGAGGTGACCCCAGGGCTGAGAGAAGTCATGCTGCCCCACCCCCCTGTCCACTGCTCCCAAACCCCAGAAGCAGAGTCTGGAGTGGCGGTTTCCCTGCAGGTGGGCAGGGTCTACTTTTAGGAGTCTTCTCCTCCCTGGGCCCTGGGGCGCCAGGCCCGGACCCACAGATGTGTGGATGGTGAGGGCTGGGCTCCAGTCGCCTCAGGCCTCATGCCCCGCTGTCCTCCTCCTGCCAGCAGCGACCAGGGGCAGCTTGGCCTGAAGCCCACCTCCCGGGACCGGTTTCCTCCATTCTCGCAGCGGGAGGCTGCAGGCAGTCGCGCAAGCAGGGTGAGTGTGATGAGGCCACCTGGCCGGAGGTGGCCCTGGTTCCCCCTTCGCAGAATGTGGACACTGGGGGCTGAGAGCTGAGGGACGGGGCTGGAGACACTGCAGTGAAGCACAAAGCCAGGTCCCGGGGGTGGGATGCCAGCCATCTGGGTCCAGTATCTGTGTCCAGATCTAAGCTGGTCAGACGTGGCGAGCAGAGGGGGGGTGCCTGTGTGGGCGGTGGGGTCCCCAGCACCGGGGGCTGTGCCGAGGGCGGTCCTGGGGGGTGGGAAGGTCACTGTGGCAGTGCTTGACGCAGAGAGGTTGCTGCTTGGGAAGAGCCCTCCCGCCTGCTGTTGGAAGTGGGGATGCTCCGGCGGGGGCGGGGGCGGGGCAGTGTCCCTGTGCGGGGACCACGCAGCGGGCCCCCGGGCTCCACAGGCTCCCCTGTGAGGGTCATGGATGTTGGCTGAGCGTAGGTCACGTGGGCGGCAGGGGTACATCGGTGAAGACCAGCTCCCTCCAGGGTCTCCTCCATCTGCTGCTCGAGTCGCTGCGGCTTGTGCCCGGGCTCGTCCCCGCTCACGGGCCGCCCTGCCTCCAAAGGGCAGAGCCGTTTCTCGCTCCATGTCCTCTGGCCGGCACAGCAGCTTCCCTGGGTGCCCCTCCCCCCAGCAGGTTCGGAGCCATCCCCTGACCCGGTCTTTGGCAGGGAGAACTTGGAGGGGACCTCGCCACCTGGGCACAGGGGGAGGGGCTGTCCGAACAGGACCAGGGTCTGTGGGAACGGCCAGGACCCCCTAGCACCTGCTCCAGCCCCTGCTCAGCCTGACCCACGCTGTAGGGTGCTGTGACCTCCCTGTGGGCGAGGGAAGCCACAGCGGGGCCTCCCTCACTCGTGTGCAGCGGCAGCTTGAAATGGGTGCAGAGCTCACCGGAGGTGCAGAGGTGGACACACTGAGGCCGTGTCCCTCCAGAAGGCGTCCCCCCAGGGCTGCGGTGGGTGTGACCGCAGGCCAAAGGCCAACGCAGAGAGCAGTCGGTGGGCCTGTGGCCAGTCTCCTTCACCCGGCCCCGCCCCAGAGGGCCACTGCCCCCTGGGACCACAGCCTGCTCTTCCACGAGGTGGCTGTGTGGACAGCTCCGGGTCCCTGCACACACCTTCCACATGTCTCAGGAGGAGCCCAAGGTGTGTGCTGTCGCTGGTGGCAGGTCTGCCCAGCGGCTGGGCTGAGGCCAGGAGCTCCCCACCCCACCCCCATGGCAGGGCCTCTGCCGAGGAGAGTGGACCAGGGATTGAAGGTACTGGTTCAACTCCGTGCCTGCCATAGATACATGCAAAAGACTATCATACCTGTTCAAACAGGATGCTTGCTCTGAAAGCAGAGGACAGAAGGGTCTGGCCCTGCTTCCAGGGGTCCCTGTGGTCACCCAGGCTGGGTGGCCCTATGGCATCCAGCCCCCCACAAGCTTCTGACTGTGGGTGCTGGTGGCCAGGAAGACCTGGGAACACGGGGAGCTAGAGAGATTTGAGGGAGCAGGAGCCTTAGGGCATTGCAGAGGCCAGGGGCCAGCATCCCAAGCGTGTCCACATGGGCCACGTGCTCTGATTTGTGGCCATCCCTCCAGTCATCCCACAAGAAGGATCAGCTCAAATAGCCCCTTTGTGTAAAATCCTTCCCGGATTTTCCCAGTAGAAGTGGCGTTTCCCTGCTCAAATGCAGACGGAACCCAGGTGTGGTCATGTGGACATGTGTGTGCATCACACACTAACCCCATGTGCACTTGAGCACATGTTACTGATCACCTGCTTCTGGTCTCTGCTCCATTGCTGACCAGCTGTGTGATGAGGACCCGTTACTCAGCTTCTCTGGGCCTCAGGGCTGTGAGCAGGAGGTGAGCCAGTTCATAGGAAGTCCCCGCAGGTGGCAAGCGCTGTACCCCAGCTGCGGCCACGGCTTCTGTCCTCCCGGGTCTGTCTGGAAGGCTGCCCCTCTGAAGGCTGTGCTCTGGCGATGTGTGTGTGTGTAGTGTGGGTGGCCCAGTGTCACAGGTGTGGCGCTCAGGCAGTGACTCTCTGTGTCCCCAGAACAACGTCCTGACGGCCATCCTGATGCTGCTGCGCGAGCTGGACGTCGAGGGACTGGAGGCCGTCCACCAGACCGTGGTCAGCCGGCTCCAGGCCCTGCACAAGCAGGAGTTGCAGGAGGACATGGAGTGACCCCAAGTCAGCGGGACCCTGCGCTGAAGCCCAGTGTCTTCCCGAACCTGGGAAGGGGGCTCCCAGCCGCAGCCTCTGCTGGACAACCCCAGGCTGAGCCCAGGCACAGGGCTGCATCCCTGGGAAGCTGGACTCTTGTAGACAGCCCCCGGCAGGGGCAGGAGAGGCTGCTGGGTAGACCGCCCTGTGCCCTCCGCTGGGAGGGTCATGGCTGGATGCCTCCTGTCTCCCAGGACCACCTTCGTGTGGCTCCTCCTCAGGGTGGGCTTTGCGGCCATCCTAATAAATGCTTTCCTGAAGTCTGGTGTGGGAGCAGGCGTGTCCTCCATGACAGGTTCACTCTTGTTAAGGTGAGGGCATTGCTCACGTGTTTTCTCCATGCCAGTTGTGACTCAGTCACGGGATGGATTTCTGTCAACCACAGAGAACTTCCAGAATGAAGGCAGCTGTAGGGACAGGCCGCCTGCCACCTCCAGGACATTTTGTCTGCAAGGCACTTTGTGTCCGTCGTTAAGAGCCCCACATGATGCAGGGGTCTATGCTGCCCCTGCATGAGGGGCTGGACGGGGACCCAGTCAGAAGCAGCAGCTGCATGGGAAGGGACAGCTTCTGGAAACCATGCCTTAGGTTTTCTTCTGTTGGGAAGCATCGCTGGAGGGGAAGCCGCGGTCCCAGGGGCTGTCCTGGGGCCACAGTGCAGTGGGAGGAGGGGCCGTCTGACCCATTAGGGAGTGCCTGCCTGTTCTTGCTGGGGTGGAAGTGATGGGCACTGGTGTCTAGTGGGATCTGAGGGTGCACAAACCCAGGGGGGGCTGGCTGAGCACCTGGAAGACCCCTGACTCTGGGAAGAGGTAGCTGCACCCACTGAGGCTCATCTCCCCTGGGAGGGTGGTTCACCTGTGGGGCCCCCTGTAGTTCTCAGGGCAGGGGTGGGCTCTGGCCTTGGGCAGTGGGGATTCGCCACGTGAGGGCATCCAGAACGGATGGCCACTGCCGTGTACGTGCCTTCTCTTGTAATTACGAGATGTTGGATGCTCTCAATAAAGTCCATCCTGATGAGAACAAGCTGGGTGTGTTTGTGTGAAATTAACACCCTCCCTCTCCCCACCCACCGGGCACTGCTCACACCCACCACGCCAGCCCCATGACCTGGTACACCTCAGCTGGGGACCCTTGACTTGCACCCTGGTTGGAATGAATACCTGCTTCAGCCCCTTGACTCTTCATCGCCCCCATATCCCACCTCTGACTCCCTAGTCAGGGCCTCCCATCAACTCACTGTCCCACTCACAGCCACCTGCCTACTCAGTGCCCTTTCAAAGCCCTCAGGCTGGACTGAGGACAAAGCGCTTCTACCCCTGGCCTGGATCCCAGGCCTCCGATAGTAAACGGTCATATCACAGCCCCTACTCTGAGCTTGTCCCCAGGTGACATTGAGAGCAGGGTTTCTGAGCAAAGCAGGTGTTGGCGTTACACCCTGTGTGTGTGTCCTGCTGGTCCCAGTTATGGAGTGGAGGGCTGAGACCCAACGGGACACATTGTTCATCTGAAGTCAGTGTCGCTGGAGGCCAGCCATGCACCACGCGCTCCCCGTGAGCTGCTGAGCAGGAACGAGGGCGGTCACTATCTCAGACCCACCTCGGGGTCCACTAAGCCAGTTGCCAGCATGCTTCATGGAGAGCCCAACATTCATCTGGCAGGACAAGTGGGGTCTGGGCCTGACCTGGCTGTGGCACTGACTGGGCCAGGCCACAGTGCAGCCAGAGCCAGGGGATGGCTGATGTCCCCCCACCAGAGCCTCCCACATGGAGGCGACATCCATCTCAGACTGCCAGGTGGGTGGGGACCCCAGAAGCCCCTACAGCAGTTTTGAGCTGCAGACCCTCCCTCTGCCCTGCCCACCCCCACAGTGAGTCAGGAGGGGAGCTCTGAGTTCTGGGGAGACACTCTCAGCGTGCCCTCTGATCATGTTGACTGGGGGCACCTTCCAGAAGGAGCAGGAGGGAACAAGCCTTCCAGGGGCCACTGACCCACCATGTCCCCAAGCCCAGGGCTGCCCCGTTTGCAAGAGGACGCTGGGCCACCCTCTGATAGTCGTCCCCTGGGGCTGCACTCATGGATGCCTCCATCCCTGAGCCCATGGGACACTCACAGGTCCCCCATCAAGCTGGGAAACAAACAAGAAACAAGGGGTCCTGCTGCCAGCATCCTCCCAGGATAGTGGTTCTCCAGGGTGAATGGACACCAGCTCCAGGATCTTCCTGGGAAGCCTGTGGTTCCGAAGGGACCCGCCAAAGCCTGGGAGGATCTGGCTATGCCGTGCAGGCAAGATGCGACCGTGGCACCCGCCAGATCTTCTCGGGCCAAGAAGAGTGCCAGCCCAGCTGGGAGTGGCAGTGCACGGTGTCCTGGTTGAGTGAGGCCAACCGTAGTGCCAGCATGAGAGTCGTGCCTGCCCTACGCTCCTCGGGCTACTCAGCCAGCCGGAACCTCGAGGGCACGTGGGACCCCGAGCTGGGTCTGCACTCTGCTGTCACCAACCTGAGAGTCTTCATGCTTGTTCAACAAGGGGCCTGCTCCCTGGGAAGTCGGTTTCTTTCTGTTTCTGCAGGCCTGTCACTTTTGACATTAGGGAAAAACACTGTTTCTGCATAAAGGCAAAGCTGCCCATCACAGCATCATGCAAGAGAGTTGGATGGCCACGGCTCGGCCTGAGGAGCCCCACAGATACCTGTCCCCCTCCTCAGGGGACTGGTAGGTGGGTGGGGAAGGAATGAAGAGACAAATCTATGAACCTTAGCCAGGCCAGGGGTGTAGGGTCTGAGTCAACACTTCCTCAAGATGTCAACAAGTAGGAAAGCCAAAACAGTGTCACTCACCATCCCCACACACCCAGTGGGCGGGACGACCAACAGGTGAGGACCCCGATGGTTGGGTACCCCAACTCGACCATCACTCTGAGACAGACACTCTGCCTGTGGCCTTGATGTCCCCTGGTGTCACTCACTGTCTCCACACACCTGGTGGGCGGGACTGCCGACAGCCGAGCACCCTGACAGGTGGGCATCCCAACCTGACCATCAGACTGAGACAAACATGCTGCCTGTGGCCTTGATGTCCCCTGGCCGGACTCTCCAGGCTCTGCAACAGAGCCTGAGGGCCTCTCCCGCCCCCTGCACTTAGGCCCTCAGGGGAGGTCCGTCCCACTGCCCCATCGGAGTGCACCTGTGCAGAAGCCTCTGGAACGATCATCCAGAACACTCTCCAGTTGAGCCTGCTGAGCCTGCCGCCGGCAGAATTACAGACAAGGGCTCTAGTTAAACCTGCTGCACAAATGTCTGCTTCGGTGGATGCTGTTCAAAATTCCATCACCCCCACAAGAATGACTCATGGGCTGCCTTCCTTGGAAACCTCGTGGAAATAGCAGGGTTTGGTAGGGGCTGAAATAACAGTCTTCACATCGTGAGAAAGAGCTCGAGAAGGCTGAGATAGAAAAACGATGCACTTGTGGTTGCATGCGTCCCAGAGCCTTTCCTGGCTGCCTCCGCAGTGGGCACCAGGCTCAGGGAGGGGGTGTGGCTTGGGGAGAGCTGCCCTCCAGGATCGCCCTGGGCCAGGGGGCAGCTGTCAGTGTTGAGAGGGGCTCTGGGTTCAAACGCTCCCCTCCCTTCCAGCGGGGTGGCCCTAGACCAAGGCGGCTGAGCAGGAGTTGTGGGCACTAGGAGTTCAGGCTGCTTCCCAAGGTGGGAAAGTGATCGCCCCTGCTCTCTGGACCACATGGATGCCTGCCTAGCACCCCTGTGTGCAGAAACCTCACTCAGCCCCTCCCAGGCCTCTCCCCAGCTTCAGGCAGCCAGAGGGTGATGCATGGCCTCTGGCTCACCCTGCTCCTGGGCCCGCAGCCCCTCCGACCAGCTGTGTCCCCTGTGGCGTGTCCTTGGCTGTACACAGCACCCCACCCTGTTCTGAGAAACTGCAGTGCACACACTCCCCTGCAAGTGAGGCCCGCGCTTGTTGTCTGGGGGAGGGGGCGGGATTCCCAGGTGCCCCAAGGTCCTGACCCCTGGTGTGTCCACCAGACAAGACCCCACCCCTAAGTGGGAGGGCAGTCTGAGTGTGGATATGCTGCCTTATATGGCCAAGGTGAAGAGGTTCACAGATGTAGTGATGGCTCTCATCAGCTGAAAGTGAAAAGTGAAAGTCGCTCAGTCTTGTCCAACTCTTTGCGACCAAGGAATTCTCCAAGCCAGAATCCTGGAGTGGGTAGCCTTTCCCTTTTCCAGGGGAATCTTCTCAACCCAGGAATTGAACCCAGGTCTCCTGCATTGCAGGCAGATTCTTTACCAGCTGAGCCACCAGGGAAGCCCCTCATCAGGGGGGTCTGCCTTAATGAAAGGGAGTGTCCTGGTGGGCTTGCCCTGATCGGGTGACCTCAGTCCCCCTGACAGGCATCCTCAGATCAGGGCTAAGGAGGCCGTGGTCCCTCCCTCCCTGAGCTCAGGAGCAGCAAACACTGGAATTCTGTCGACAGGCAGCTCAGTGGGATTGAGGTCCTGGTGAGACCATACCTGGCCAAACAGGGAGGCCCCTTTGCTTGGGGAGCCCAGGGCTGGCTGAGAGGAGGAAAGTGGGTGATGGGGAGGAGCAGAACAGCGGTTGGGCCGGACCCCTAGGCTCTCCTGCAGCTGCTGCAGTCTCACCCTCAGCTTCCTGGCTGCAGGTCAGGTGGCCGGTGGCATTACTGACATCCTTCAGCCTATGAGGTAGCTTCCTATGTACCCCACACTGACATGCCCCAAGGAGGGAGGCTGAGCGGCTCCAAGGAGGCAGGTGGCAGGCCCAGAGGACATGTCCTAGCTGGCAGAGGCCAGCATGGGGCTGGGTCCTCCCCTGCTGCTGAGGCAACAGCTGCCTGCCAGGATGCCACGCTGGCCCAGGCACTGCCCAGTGCTGGCCTCATCCGCGCCCAGCACCCCTTGACCCCTGCAGTGATAGGGGCCAGGCCATCCCAGGACACCCAGTGCCCAGCCTGGAGAAGCGAGAAAGAGCCTGCGAGGCCAATATTCCAGGGTTTCACCAGCATCGGCAGACTCTGTCCATTTAAGCAAGACCAACCTGAAAACCCTGGAAAAACCCAGGGTCTGTGGGGACATGAAGGAACCAGAGAAGGTGGGCCCCAGCCTCAGCCCTAGAGCCAGTCAGCCAGTTGAGACATGACCAGGAGGCCCCCCAAGCTGGGGACCCCCTAATTGGGCCTGCAGGCCCTCCAAGGTCAGGGCCTCCCCAAAAAACCTCATCTGACCTTCTGTGGGTGCCAAGGGCAAGAGTGCAGGCAGAACAGCCTTGGATGAAGTACCCAGGTGACCGCTGTGGAAACGTGTGGATTGGCAGCCTGCTCAGAGGTGACAGGGACTCAAAGCACAGCCGTGTGGTCCACATCCAGCTTGTCCTCCTCTCGGCGCCCGGGTGCTGGCATCTGCTGTGGAGCCAGGCACTATCACAAGCCAGGGACTTCTAAGGGTCAGCCCACCCGTAGCCCCCAGTGGTGACAAGTGTCTAGCTGCCTCCCAGCGCCCCCCCCCACCAGTGTCTCCTGGGTGGTCCCTCCCACCACCACCTGTCCCAGGGTCCTTGGCTCTGCTTCTGAGACCCCAGCCCAGGCAGAGTCCGGGGAACATTCCAGGTCAGACTCAGAAGTCCTCCCAAGACTGGTGTGGGGGTCAGGTCACCACACAGACAAGGGTGAGGAGCTGCTGGTCCAGGGAAGGGGTGTGGCCCCAGGAGACGCACGTCCCTGAGACAGCCTCAGCCCAGGGGCCAAAGGAGGACCCCAGACTCATGCGTACAGGTCCAGGGATGACCAGCCCCCAGCCCGCCCACCCTCCCCATGTTTCCAGAGATTGACAGCACTCCACGGTCAGGTGATTTTATTCCTAGAAAAGGTGAGAAGCTCTGCTCAGCCCCGGCGGCCAGTGAACACAGAAGCAGGGTCACAGTGAGGTCCACAGGGTACGCCCTCCCACCGCCTTGGGCCCAGGGCAAGTGAGGGTGCAGGGCCGCCTAGGAGAGAGGCTCCAGGCCACAGAGGGTGCTGAGGCAGAGGGGCAGCCATGTCCAAACAGATGCCAGCACACGCCCCTGCAACTGGAAGAGGGTGCCCAGGGTGCTCTGTCCCAGGAGAGAGCCGAGAGGGCGGCAGGAAGGAAGTGGGCAGTGGCCCGGCGGCCCACAGCCCCTGCCCACGCGCCTGCAGGGCCCAGCAGCCCGGCCCCGAGGAGTGGGGGGAGGTGGGTGCAGGGTGAGTGGGGCATGGACGCGGCTTCAGAAGCCAGTCTCGATGCTGAGGGTGCGGCGGGTGACATGCTCCAGCTCCCCGGACACGTAGTCGGCCATGCTGATGCGGTAGTGTGCAAGCATCTTCAGCATGAGCCGCAGGTTCAGCCACCACTGCTCCCGGGGCATGCGGTGCCTGGGGCGGGACAGGGTCAGCGTCAGAGGGCGGGGTCAGGGGCGGGACCGGCGGTGCCTGCGGCAGGGCGGGATCAGGGGCGGGGGCGGGGCTAGGGGAGCGGTAGCTCCCAGGCATGTTCCCTTGGGACAGCTGGCCACTGTGTTGGGGTCCTGTCCCTCTGGGGCCCACACCCAGGAGAGCTCAGCAGACTGAGTACACCCTCAGACCTGACCATCGCTGACCCCCACCTTCTCACTCTCACCCTCTACCCTGCTGGTGGGGGACAGGGCAACCCTGTGGGGTCAGGGTTTGAGTGTGGCCACACCCCTCTCCCAGCACATTCGCCCCAGGCAGGTCTGGGCCCTGAGGTCCACCCTCTCTTTGGAGGGACTCACTCAAAGTCGGTGTCCTTCTTGAGCTCGGTGACAGGGCTGAAGGCCACCGCTTTCTTCTGCAGGCCGATCACGCAGGCCGAGTCAGGGGCGTTGGCGAACACCCGCCCTGTGGACACAGGCCTGTGATGGCAGCCCCCACACCAGGGATGCCAGTGGAGGGCAGGCTGGGCCGGCTGCTGCCTCCCCCACTTACCGTTGCGATAGACTGCCCGCAACTTCTCCGACATCCAGAGTATGGCTTTCACCCCAAGCTTCGTACCATAGTTCCGGTCAAAGGGGGTGGGAGCCCCACCCTGGAAACACAGTGGGTGAGGCCAGGTTCTGGCCTTTGGGGAGCCATGGGACCACAGGCAGCCCTAGCCCTGGCCTGAACCCAGCATCCTGGACTGACCATGACTTAGGTGAGCCCTCCCAGAGAGTTCTGACACCCCATCCCCTCGGCCTGCAACAACCCAGCCCCTTCCTCCATCCGTTATCTAGCCTAAAAGCCACCTCCAGAGGCCAGGCAGTGGGTTGCCGACTCATCAGGTCGGGGGCTTCTGTGGGCCCCCGCATCCAGCAGACAGGTCCCACCACTCGTGAGGAAGGGGTGCCTTGTGGGTGCACATGGCTCTCACATCTGGCTGGGAACCCACAGCATGGGTCTCACCAAGACACAGCCTGGGTCTCCTGCCTGTGCAGTGGGTGATGAGCACTTGGGTCAGGGGTGTGCGGATGAAGCGGCCCCTGCAGCCAGGTGCCCCATGAGGAGGAGCACAGAGAAGTGTCCTCATTGTGCTGCAGTCCCCTGGGGCCCTGGGCCCAGGCACAGGTGTCAGGGGGTGGCCTTCCAGAATCCACTTCCCCACCCCACCACACCTGCTGCAGGTGGCCCAGGACGTTGGTCCTGCAGTCGAACACGCCCTTGCCCTCGGAGGAGTAGAGGTTGTACAGAAACTCTGTGGTGTAGTGTTCATGGCACTTCTCATTCCTGGAAGAGCAATGTGGGACCTGAGTCTCGCAGGATGCTGAGCCCCTCTGGGCTGGCCCACAGGCTAGAAGGAAAGCTCGACCCCACCACCACTGCCTCAGCCCCCGTCCTCCCTCCGCCCAGCTGCCCCTCAGCAGCCCTGACCGGCAGCCCAGGGGTCCGGAAGCACCCCCACCCCCACCCCGCCTCCTGCCCCGGGCCCTGTGGGCTCGCTGGCAGCCTCACCGGAGCACCAGGCCCCGCTGGATGTCCGTCTTCATCTTCTCGGTCATGTGCTCCACGTTGGCCTGCAGAGGGAGGACCAACCACAGTGAGTGAGGTCGGAGCAGCCGCCAGCACTGCCCGCCCCCTCCAGCAGCTGCGGGCTGTCCAGGAAGAAATGTTCCAGAATACCGACAGGCAGGGCCAACATGACCCAGGTCAGCCTGAGGGGGCGGGCTGGTCAGGGGTGCTGAAGGCCCTGAAGGACCAGGAGGGCTGGTGCGGGTGTGGGCCTGTGGCTGGACCGTGAGGCCGGGTGGGGAAGCCACGGGGCGGGGAAGGGGGACTGCACAGAGGTGGGGGCGAGGGGGTGGGACTGCACAGCGTGGGGGGACTGCTCAGGGTGGGGGAACTGCACAGACCACACTGTGGGGGAAGGCGTGCGGGGGTCATGGGCTGGGTCCCCTTGAAGGCGGTGAGTTTCCAGCCTGCTGGGCTGTGCTCCTTGGCTGGAATCCCAGCCCCTTCAAGTGGTCTGCAGCAGGAGGAGCGCAGGAGGGGGCTCCGCTCACCTTTAAGTCTTGGATGTTGAAGGGATCCTCGAAGACATAGGCAGCGTCGGCCCCCACAGCGATGCCAGTCACAGTGGCCAGGTAGCCGCAGTAGCCACCCATGGTCTCCACAATGAACACACGGCGCTTGGTCCCCGAGGCCGACTGCTTGATTCGGTCACAACTCTGGGGGCCAGGGGGTAGTCAGAGACCTCCCTGCAGGCCTCAGGGACTCAGGTCTCTGGCCCAAGCTGAGGACCAAGACTGAGGCAGGGAGGGGCTGGGACAGGGTGTGTGCCAGGGTGCTGGCAGCCCTCACCATGATCCCTCCTCTTGGCCACACAGAATCGAATTCCCAGTCTGGGCAATTCTGCCCCCAGGATGAGGCGGGTCACTAGTGTCTGGTGGGTGGAGGCCAGGGTCACTGCTAGGAGGCTCTCCCTGACCTCGGGCCAGGGACATACTGGGCCTTAATCTGCCAAAGGGGGTGACATGCCTCCACGTCAGGGTCATAAACAGGGGCCCAGACAACACATGAAGTAAGTGCTCTGCACACACTAACGATAATGTGACACTTGATAACAATCCTAGCTCTGAATGGTTCAAGGAAATTATAGTATTAGATAAAGAACCGAGGAAGGAGAACTAAGAGAGATAAGTAGGTCACTGGTGTCTGAACTGTGAGGATCAACCCCAGATAAGCGATGAAGAGCAAAGCGGAGGAAACGGCCACAATGTTTGCAAAGAGTCTGTGTCCCACAAATGTAAAGAGCACTTACAAATAAAAAAGAAAACGTGCCCAGAGAAAACTAGGCAAGTGGTGGAAAAAGATAATTTCCAAAAACCCACAAATGGCCACCAATAAATGCAGGGAAAAGGTTCAACTGTACCAGAAATCAGAATTGCGAATGGAAATAGAATCCTATCTTCCCCCACCTGGTGAGGTTCAGGGACACCAGAAGTTTCAGAAGAGCAGTGGGTGCAGCGACCCACAGCCAGTGCAGATGGAGGCTGGATTCTAAGAAAACCCCTGAGGATCGTGGTATTCTGGGAGGGAGGATGTAGGGGTGGGGGGTTTGGGGTCTCCTTTAGTCTCTTGTTCCACTAGTATTTTCTCCTTCATCTAACAACATATAGCACTTATTAGAGCAGCACACCCTTTTCCAGCTTCAGATCCCCCAAAGGGAGGTGCTGAACCCTCAGGGGAGCTGGGTTCATGAGAGGTAATAGACAGGGTGGGGAAGGTCTGGAGAGTGAGTCAGGGGGACGCCCCTAGGGAGCAGAGTGGGGCAAGCCTGCTGGGACCCTCCCCAATCCCAGAACAAGGCTCCCACCTCCCACATCCCAGTCAGAGCCCTGGGTACCCCCAGAGCCACATGTGGCTGCTTCACCAGACAGAACCAAGGCTGGATGTCCACACCAGTAGAGTAGCTCAGTTAGGTCGGCTGCAGCCCTGACCACCATCATCCTCACACTCTGTCACTCCAGGGCCACTCCCCCCGGTGCCATCCACGAGGCCTCGGGGGGCAGCCGGGTCCTGCCGACTCCCCACACAGGCCACCAGCCTCAGTGGGGCCCCGTACCTGTCCCACCCGCTCGGCAGCCCCTCTGCACGCTCCCCGCTCCCAGCCAGCCCCTGGCCCGCACCTCCATGGCGGCGTTGACGGCCGTGTCGGAGCCCAGGCTGAAGTCAGTGCCCGGCACATTGTTGCTGATGGTGGCGGGGATGACGCACATGACAATGCACAGCTCCTCGTAGCGCCCACGGGCCTCGACCAGCTGCAGAACCCCCTCGTAGGCCTGTGGGGATGGGGGGCAGCTCAGGCCCGGCCCTGGAGAGGCTGGGCTGGGGGCCAAGGCCAAAGAAGGGGCCCCTGGGTCCTGCTCCCCGCCATATGTGCAGGGCTGGGCATCTGAGCCCACCTGCCCCCACCCGCAGGGCCGAGATCAGGTGGGCCCCACCCAAAAGCTCTGTAGCCACCGTCCCCAGGGAAACTGGCCTCCAAGGAGGACAGAAGGAGGCCAGCTGCCTTGACCCCGACCCACTGCACACATTCTGCAGGGGCTCAGGTTCTCCCAGGAGAGGGCAGGAGTGGATGTGTCATGTAGGCGGGCTGACCGAGCACTAACATCACATGGACATGCCCCCACTACTCATAGCTCCGCTCTGAGGACTGGCCCCTTGCCAGCAGGAGACTGAGGCCCTCGGCCACTTGGTCCTCCTGCCCAGGCTGCCCCTGCATGCTCCCCTGTGGCCCCCTCACCTCAAAGCCCCCAATGACCAGCAGGGCGTGGATGTTGTGAAGGCGGATGTTTTCCACAATTTTCTCCAAGTAGCCCTTGGGCAGCGTCCTGCAGAAGATAAATCAGATGGATATGTGAGTCCGCACAGAATGCCAGGCTGGAGGGACACACGTCCACACTGTCTGACCGCTGGAGAAGGCAGGCCTGGGACCTGGCAATGCGATTATTCCCTGTTAGAGGTGGAGGCAGAGGTGAGGCATGGGTGGGTGTGGGTGAAGGGACCACCAGCAGGACAGGTGGCCTGGCACCTGCTCAGTGCCCTCGCTGGACACTGGACACTGCCATCCCCACACCTGGGCTGTAAGCCTCACTTCCTGCCTGAAGTGAGGGGGTGCCTCTTGCAGGCTGGGTAACCTGAATAGCTGTCCTCTACACAGGTGCCCTCAGAGAAGCCCCAGGCAGCAGGGTCTGTGTCCCGCTCTGGACAGGCCATCAGCCAGGGAGGACTCAGCCTGGGGCCACAGGGCTGGTTTCCCTGATATCCCCCCCACTGTAAACAGTGGCCAGCTGCTCACCTCTTCGTCCCCAGCATGGAGCCGCCACGCCCCAGCCAGCCAGCCACGTCATGCCAGCTCACTTCTTGCACCTGTGGGGGGAGGCACGGCTTCAGGGAGCAGGCCAGGGGCACTTGCCCACTTCTCTGCAGGCCATGGGCCTGTGCTCAGGAGCGCACGTCCTTGGAGGGACAGAGGCCAGGCCAGGGACTGACCCTCCAGCCACAGGTCGGAGCAGGGTCTCAGGGGCTGGCCTAGGCTGAGGTAGATCCAGCTGTGCCCCCTCCACCCTGGGGAGCAAACCCGGCCTTTCCCTTGTGCCCACGTCGTGAGTCCCTCGGTCCTTGTGTGTCTGTAAGCCAGCCGGGGACGCAGCCTAAGCTGACCAAAGGCAAACAGGCCCACCACCACAGGCCAGGTCCCCCACCCGACCTCGGGCACGGCCGCACCTACCTGATTCTTGGCCAGGCCTTCAAAGCCATCGTGCACGACATATACCGTGTGGCCCTGGGAGATGCCAGAACGCACGGCCGAGCGCACGGCCGCGTTCATGCCGGCTGCCGGGGCCCCCACATTCAGGATGGCCAGGGAGAAGTTGGTCTTCAGAGAAGAGGGAGAGACAAACACGTGAGCACACGGCTGGGAGGACCGCTGACCCAGATGGAAGTCAGCAGACAGCAGCTTCTGGGGAAGGGGCCCCGGTCCTCGGGCCAGCCTGGACACCGTCCTGGGACTGGCCTCCCCTGGACATGACAAACACCTTGTCCTCCTGATGCCATAACGCTCAGCCCAAGACCACACAAGCTACTGTGAAGACCCCACCCACAACCCGCAAAGTCCTCATCCAAAGGCAGGATCGGGACTCCAGCTGCTGTCAGCCAAGTGCAGCTCGGGCCACAGTCAGCGCCTGCCTGGATGCCCCCGGCAGTCACCCTGTGCTCAGGGCTCAGCGCCCCAGGACATCCTTGGTGAGCAGCAGGGGTGCATAGAGAGAAGGGGATCTCTGCAGCCACAACAAAGTGCAAAGAAGCAGACAATGCCAACTTAGTACTAATGGTGGTGTAGTCGCCAAGTCAGGTCTGACTCTGCAGCCCCATGGATTGTAGCCCGCCAGGCTTCTCTGTCCATGGGATTTCCCAGGCAAGAATACTGGAGTGGGTTGCCATTTCCTTCTCCAGGGAATCTTCCTGACCCAAGAATGGAACCTGAGTCTCCTGCATTGCAGGCAGATTCTTTACCAACTGAACCACCACGGAAGCCCTTTAATATTAATAATTAACAGTAACACAATGGTTGATTTAACCTGATAGAACCAATATGTCATCACCTCAACTCGGAATCAATGTAAGAAATTGGGTCTTTCACACCCATTTCCCCCGCTGCTCCTCAGACCCTACACCTATGGGGCATGCAGGCACCCCGCTAGGGACAGCCACATTCCCAGCAGTCGGCAGCCACGTGTGGCCGCTGGCTCTGCTGGGCTGTGTGGCTCTGGTGGGTCCTGGTAACACCAGCCTGATGCCCCAGAAGTGGTCATGACCCAGAGGGTTCTGGAAGGAGATGCGGATACCACTCCACCTTGCCTGTAAATGCTGCCCACCCCCAACCAGCTCTCAGGATAAATGGTGGCGAGGTGGACCAGGACCCCACCATCCAAGATTGTCTTGGTCTGGCCCTTTCTTTGTCCCGTGATTTCAGAGACGGATCCTGCTGTTGTCCTTATTTGGAAGACAGACCATCTCGTGAAGTTTTTAGCCGTTTGGGAACATGTCTTAACACTCTTGAGAGTCCCTTGGACAGCAAGATCAAACCAGTCAATTCTAAAGAAAATCAGTCCTGAACATTCATTGGAAGGACTGATGCTGAAGCTGATGCTGTAATACTTTGGCCAACAGATGCAAAGAGCTGACTCACTGGAAAAGACCCTGATGCCAGCAAAGACTGAAGGCAAAAGTGAAGGGGGCAGCAGAGGATGAGATGATTGGATGGCATCACCAACTCAATGGACATGAATCTGAGCAAACTCCAGGAGATAGTGAAAGACAGGGAAGCCTGGAGTGCTGCTGTCCATGGGGTCTCAAAGAGTCAGACACGACTGAGCAACGGAACAACATAACACTGGAGCCCTCCTCTCCTAAGGTAAACCTATGGGCCTGACTTAACCTTCAGCCAATTGAAAAGTGACAGGCCAGTGTGATCTCTGGGCCCAGACACATGCTGTTGGGACCTACTGGTCAAGCAGAGGCCGAGCCTGCCCTCTCAGCCCGCAGCTCAGACCCAGACAGGAGGGAGGGTCCCAGCCCCCTGAGCAGGGGCGTCTCCCTACTCCCTGAGCCGGGTTGTGGGGGAGCTGGCAGGTGGAGGCCACAGACACAGCCAGGGCTCCGCACTCTGCTCTCACCTTCTCCTTGGAGATCTTCTGGTGGGCAAGCAGCTTGTAAATGTTCCAGTTGTTCTCAAAGCTCCTGGAAAGGAAGCGGGTCGTGCACAGCGCAGCCACAGCCGAGCAGCCTGGCCCAGCACAGCCACAGCCCAGCCCAGCACGCAGCCTCCAAGGGGCCAGACACAGGCGCAGCCCACTTCCCCACTCTTGTCGCCATGGAGCCTGGCTGGGGGCCATCGCCGGGCGGCAGTGATCCCTCTAAACATGCGTCCCCAATGCCCCCTCAGCAAAGCGAGTGTCTGCGTTCAGCCGGCATGGTCTGCAGCTCCAAGGCCAAGGGAACCAGAGGAAAGAGACCTGTGGGTCCAGTCGACCTGGCCCAGGGCCTGCCCCCACTGCTTCCTCCTGCGGTCTCCCCTCCTCCTGCCCCCTCCCCAGGCCCCTTCCTGACTCTACCTGCACTGTGTTCTACACCACCCCCGCAGCCCTGCAGGCCCCTCCCTGCCCCATGGGGAGCATCCACACAGCCTGCCTGCTTCCTGGTCACAGGGACCGTCATACCCCATCTCCTGCACGATGCATGCCCGAGGAGGGCGGCTCAGAGCACCACCTCTGCAGGTGGGCACATCTGCGTGTCAGAGGCAGGGGGTGACCATGGGCGAGCCACTCGGAGTCTGCTGGGGGCCCCATAGAACAGACCATTGCCCAGTGTGGGCCCTCACCTGCCTCGGAGCTGGATGGCCTCGTCAAACCTCTTCTCGTCCATGGCCTTCTGCACCTCCTTGGTCTTAAAGCAAACAAGAAGCACAGGCTGGAGGCAGGGGTCTGGCACACTCAGCTGAAGGGGGCCTGGCCCAGACCTGCCGGGCAGCCGTCACTGCTGGCAATCGGGAGGTCTAAGGGCAAGACAACCCCACCTGGCCCGCTGGGTCGTCCCCTCCCTGGAAGGGGCACCTGGACCTCACTCCTCCTCAGACCCTGGCTGCCAACCAGGGTCTAAGAACGAAAGGGGAGGCAGTTCTGACCCCCAGGCTCACACCACCAATGACCAGCCTGCCCCGAAGCAAGGCCCCATGAGGTCACTGCAGTAGGGTGTTCCAGGAGAAGCGCCAGGGCAGCCCCCTTCTGCCGCCAACCTGCCTCCCCTAGGTGGGCCCCACCCTGCCCCCAGCTGCAGAAGGGAAGCCAGCACCCACATTTCTACCAGCCTCCCAGCCTCTCTCTGCCCTCACTTCCCGCTCCCCCTCCCGCAGTGGCCCCTTCTCTGACAACACAAGATGTCCCAGTGGTTCTGGCCCCTCGCTCCCCCTTCACCCTCTCATCCCCACCCCACCCAGTGCAAGACCTGTCCCAGACCACTGGTTCAGGGAGGCTAAGTAACCTTGGCTCCCCGCAGGGTCGCGCAAACTCCAGCTCACCAGACCCCCCCAGGCTCACCGGCTCCCTGCAGCCCCCACACCTCTCTTAGGACTTGTCTCACCGAGGCACCTGCTGACACCTCCCTCCCCGCCTGGATGACTGCAGGCCTTGGATACCCTGAGGCCTGCTGGGGTGGGCAGCAATGCACCAGGGTGGGCACACCAAGAGGTGGTGCTGTGTGAACCGCCTGCTCCCTGCCACACACGTGGGGGAGCAGCAGGACCCCGAGAGGGATGGGCTGGGGGCCCTTGCAGCAGGCCTGCTGGCTGGGCCCTGAGAGGCCTGGAAGGGCAGGCAGCTCCGGGTTGTGGTGGGGAGGAGGCCACAGCAGAGCCCAGCAGAGCACAAAGGCCCCGGGCACCTCCCTGGACACCCTCACCCTGGGCAGGCCAGTGCTCACCATCTGCACACACTCCATGAGGGGCAACCGCACGGACTGGTTCCCTGAGAGGCTGACCACGCAGGCCGGCGTGTCGGGCGTGGCCTCCAGCAGCGCCATCACCGCCTCCATGCCCATCTTGCTGCTCTGAACGGGGAGAGGGTGGTAGAGCTCAGGCAGGTGTAACCAGGAGGGAGCCAGCCCCATGCCACACACATCCCACAGCAGACCCACAAGGCCTCAGCCCTCAGAGCCTGCCCACCACACACATACAGACACACATGCACATATGTGCTAGAAGCTTCTAGAATAAGTGGCACCATTTATTCTAGAAATGCTGACTCCGCATGGTCATCTTTCACAACACCCACTGCCCCGCCTGGCACCATTTCTCAGGTCTCAGCGGCCCTGCTAGGGGGCATAGCCCCGGCACCCCAGGTTGCAGCGGCAGGGCTGGACCTGGGTTTCTGGGGTTCTCTCCACTATGACGAGGTTTCTCATTTTGGGCTCCTTTGTCACAGCTGTTCTGGGGTGGGTGCAAACGGGGGAGTGGGCTGGTGGGCTGGACCAGCTAAAACAGGTAAGGACTGCCTTACCTCCTTACAGCCCACACTGGGCCCTCCGTGGGGACAAACCACAAACCTGGGTCCCAGCACAGACAGTGGGAACACACAGGTGCGTGGAGAGCAAGGCCCATGGCTCTGCTGGGTGAGACAGCGTGTCCCTGCGTGCACCACGCTGGGGCTCCCACACTAGCCAGGCGAGTGTCAGGAACAGCCTCGGAGGAAAGGCCCCGCGTCCCTCGGGAGCACCGCAAGCCGGCCCCCCTCCTATAACCCCCTGGGGGCCTGAGCTCGGGGACCAGCACCAAGCCGCTCCTCCTTTGTCTCCCTCCCAGGCATCCTGTGTCTCCACCAGCATCCACAGAACCGGGGGCCCAGGCACAGCTCCCACCCGCCCCGCAGCCTCCAGCCCCTCCCCAGGGTGACCAGTGCCTCACAGGCAGGCGCTTTACCACCCAGGGGCGTCCCTGACTGAGTCCCTGTCACCCTGGGGCTGCAGCAGGCTTCCCACCCTGCAGAGGGTGAGGCGGGACCAGCAGCAATCAGGACACCGATGACCTTCGGGCCAGGACCCAGCACGTGGGCCCCGGAGCTGAGGCGCCCAGGCCACTGGCCAGACTCAGAACAACCAGACATCAGACCCGCTGCTCCCCCAGCCCTCCTCCCCAAGGTCCCACCAAAGGCATCGCCAGGAGGCTGGGGAGCCTGGGCTGCCAGGCCTCAGTCTCACTATGAACACCGGCAGCAGTGAAGAAACACGCGCCAGAGCATGCACACACACCACATCACCCATGCACGCACACCCAGCACCAGGGTGATGCCCCACCTACCAGGATGCGGTCGAACGCCGAGGGGGTCCCTCCCCTCTGCACGTGGCCAAGCACAGTCACACGCGTGTCGAAGCCCAGCCTCTGGACCACCAGCTGCTCGTAGGGACAGAGAAGCAGACGCCCTTGGATTTCCCATACCTCTCCCACTGGACAGGGCCACCGCGTGGCCCCCAATGCTCTTCCCTCCCTCGTCCCCCACCTGCCTCAGGGATTTCAGGGTGTCAGAACCCCAGGGGCCCTACAGAGCTAGCCCAGGGTTCACTCCAACAGCCTGAGTGTGCCGGGGGCTGTCTCCATGTGTGTGTGCGGATGCATGCTCCTGTGTGCGTGGGTGTGTATCTGTGTCACCGTGGGGACGTGTGTCTCTGTGTCTTCCCACACACATGCCAGGTTGTAGGAATTCGTCATGGTCTCCCACCCCTGTGGGTCAGGCCCCACCAGCCACTGGCGGGAACCAGGGAGCACAGTGAAGGGGCAGACGGGCCAGTTCCTGGCAGCACCTGACTGGACCTTGAGGACAGGGTGGGTGGCCAAGGTGAGGGGCATGGAGGCCCCCATGGGCTGTGCCCCACTGGGGGACGGGGGCCCAGGGCCCTGGGGCAGAACCAGGCATGTGGGTGCGGGTCACAGGTAGGAAGGATTCCCCAAAGCCCCAGCTGTTCTGTTATGAATCTGATATGGATGGGCGGTGGGCATCCCTGTCACTGAGGGGCTGGCAGGGGCTGGATTCAGCCATTGGGACACTGTTGGGGGACTGGATGGGGCTCCTAGGATGGAGGCTGTCCTGAATGAAGACTGGAAGCCAGAAGGTGCAGGGCTCCCAGCAGGTGGGGCCAAATTTCAGCCTGGGGGCCCAGGGCTTCTCAGGGGGTCCCAGCCATGCCCATCCCACATCTGACAATCACTGGGGCCAAGGACACTCCCTCCACTGGCCAGGGTTGGGACCCCAGCAAGAGCAGGTGAGGACTGGAGATAAAGGGGAGATCCCCCCGAGGCCCTACCAATCCCACATGACCCAGGGGTTCACTCACGTCCTTCACGTAGCGGGATGAGATGGGCTTCCCGTTGCGGTCGATGGCGCCCTCAGCAATGATGATAATGTTCAGGCGGGACCCTCGGCTCCGAGTCTGGGTCAGAGACACCACAGGGCTCAGCCACCAGCCTGCAGACACCTGTCCCCAGACACCTGGAGCCCTCCTTGGGGTCCACGGCTCGGGGCTCATGGGGGCGAACCAGGACCCTGCTGCCCCACCTGGGCTTGGGGGTCAGGGAGCAGGAGCTTGCAGGGGGCTGGGGGACTGGAGGATTCCTGCCCGTCACCCACTCCCCAGGCTGAGGGAAGTCTCCCTGCCTCAGTCAGTGAGGATGAATTAGCATCACCCATTGCTGCAAATGAGAGGGTCTTGGATTTAAAAGTGCTTTCCACCTATTTCCTCAACAAACATTTGTAAGAGTCACTCTGATCCACCAGCCCCTGTTGGCCCCACAGCATTAGAAGAAACTGAGCAAGATAGGACTGGAGTAGCTCCTGAGAGGCATGGGTGCAGAGGGGACGGGGAGCCAGGCATGGAGGGCTGCCTGGAGGAGGTGGTGGCGGTGCAGCGAAGTGAAGCTGCCGGAAGGGCCCACACCTCCCCGCCTCACCCACTGCAGCCCAGGAGGTGGGCAGGGCAGAGGGTGACAGCTGCATGTAACAGGTGGGGAAACTGAGGCTAGGGAAGCCCTGGGGGGTGGGGCGGGGGTGGGGCGGAGGCCTTACGCAGAGCAGGAAAGCAGCAGGATGTGTGAGCCTGAGTCCAGGCCACTTCCAGGAAGATCAGCCCCCAGTTCTCAGCGAGTAGGTCAAGGCCAAGACCAAGGTCAGCCAGGGACCATCACCCCCAGAGCCGTGCTCCACCCATCGAGGCTACGCGGCCACTCGGGGGGTACAAGGACTCCACCCAAGGAGAGGACACAGGCCTCTGGCCCGCCTCCCTGCCAGGCTCCTTTCAGTCCCACCCTTGCCTTCACTGGGGAAGGTTCCAGAATGCAGTCGTGACCCTCAGCCCCGCCCACTGTCCTGGGCAGGGACACAAAGCCCTGGGTGGTGGGGGTGGCTGGGGGGGGTGGGGGGAGCATTCACCAGTGGATGGGAATGAGGCCACCTCCTTGGTCACATGGGGACAGGGACACGCAGGAAGCACAGGGCCGGCTCTGACCACCCCCAAGACGCCGGAACAGCAGGCCCAGCCCCAGGCAGCCGCCACGCTCGTCCTGCCCTTGGGCCAGTTTGCAGAGGACATTGTGGGTGGACACAGCCCGTTAGGGTCCCGGACTGGGCCTGAGCGTGAACTTGGGAGCACAGTTTCAGGGGCTCCCCGGCTTCGAACAACCCTGGAACACCACCTCATGGAAGGGCGCCTCCCACCCCTGTTCTAGCCCTCCTGTCCACCGCTGAGCCCTGGCCTAGCCAAGCAGCCAGCCTACCCCAGTTGGGGGCTTTGGGGATCCCTACCTAGGCCACGGTATCTGCCTGTTCTGTGCCAGAGGCCCCAACTTCATCTTGAGGGACCAGAGAGCTGCGTCCTGGGCACCCCAGCTCAGGCGCCCCTGCTCATCCCTCCTGGGTGAGGCCTCAGCCCCCCTTCTGCTCCCACCCCCACGACCTGCCCCGTCAGAGGCCCCGCCACACGTCCCTGTGCGCCATCATCACAAGGCCATGCCCCCAACTCGGGCTCAGCAGTCAGGGCCCCCAGGAAGCCAGCTTGACCGTGTCCCTGCTCCCGCCATGCTCATAGCAGGGACCCTGGGAGAAGACCCTCACCCGCTCACCTCGCCGAGCCGCTCACACATGAAGTTCTCCCAGCCGTCCTCGGGGGGCGCCTCGGGTATGAACAGCCAGTCGGCCCCCGAGGCCAGGGCAGACACCAGGGCCAGGTACCTGTATGGGCAGGAGGGGGCGGGGCTGCAGTGGGTGGACCCCCACCCAGCATCCCGGACCCCGGGCCCGGGGTTACAGGGCAGGTACCCAGCCCCAGCCCCAGAGTCAGGGCTCCCCAGCCCCACCCCAGCTCACACCAAGAGCATCGAGGGAGCACCCGCCACGTTCAGGGCACCGAAGCGGCCCCGCGTCCTACTCCCGCTCCCCAGGAGCCCCGGGCCCCCGCTGACCAGGACCGCCCCCTTACCCGCAGTGCCGTCCCATCACCTCCAGCACGAAGGTCCTCTGGTGGCTGTGGACACAGAGCGGACAGAGGGCATCAGTGCTGAGGCTCGCGGAGCAGCCTGGACTCCTGTGTCCCGCCACCCACCGCCCCAGCTCAGCCAAGAGCATGCCTGGGAGACACAGAGGACGCGGGGGCAGCCCAAGGACAGACAGCCTTTGTCCTTCCCAGGGCAGCCAAGTCTCTGCACTGAGTCACCTCCGTCGGGCTCACGCCCGGTGTCAGACTGGTTTTCACTGATCTTCTGTTCCTGAGGCTGAAGGCCATTTGCCTGGCCTGGGCTTGGCTGTCTTAGCTAGCAGCTGAGGACCCCTGCGGGATGCACCATCACCCAGGGCCGCAGGAGCCCTGTAAGAGCCGGCGCCCACCCAGGGCTCAAGGAAACCTGGTGGGGTGGGGACCAGACCAGAGACCTTTCTGCTCACCCCACTATGAATCTCCCTCTGACTGGGGGCTAAGGGCAGCCAGCACAGACCCCTAGGGATGGAATCATACTGACAAGCCGATGACTCTGCAGAGCGGCCGCCTCAGCTCCTGGCTGGGGGACGGAATCCCGAGCTTGCTTGCCTGGTGGCCTGGCCGGGTGGAGGCCTCGCTCACCTCTGGGCAGTGGTAGTGATGGCGTCGATGACTTCCATGATGCGGTGCAGGGCCGAGTCTGTGCCGATGGTCATGTCGGTGCCGCAGAAGTCGTTGTCAATGGAGCCCACCAGCCCCGCGATGTTCAGGTGCGAATAGGTCTGAGCCGTGCCCTCTGAGATCTTGCCTGGGAAGAAGGGGCCGGTCTGGCTGCAGCCTCTGTGCCTCCACCCAGCTCCCCTGGCCACAACATGGGGCTCAGACCCTGATCCCTCTCACCTCCCTCAGGCCACCCTCAGTGCAACCTGATCAGGCCCTCAGGCTCGGCTTCTTCCTCCCCAGGTCCTGCAGCAGGGGTCCCGGGTGTGGGGGAGGAGCGGCTGGACCACTAGAATCGAGTACAGACTCATCCCCTACCCAGAGACCCCCAGGGAAATCCTGGAGTGTGCACCCCTCACCTCCACATCCCCATGAGCAGCACAGAACCAACAGAGCTCCAATAGGCCACTTTCCAACTGGGGATCCCCAGGACTGCATCTTATGTTACCAGATTTTAACTATCACGCTTCTGCAAACTAGGACAAACCCATAACCAACATCCAGGAACGAATCCTGCAGCACAGGTAAGTCAGCCTGGGAACTGCCGTCCAACCCCAGGAGGCCTCACTACTGGCCAAGCTTGGAGCATCAGGTGAGCACCTCCCACCCCGGCCCACACCTCCTGAAGCGTCCAGGCCCCTCCTCCCGGCCAGCAGCCAGTTGGCCTCTCACCTCCTCTGGTCCTGCCCACTCCCTGCCCTCGAGCTGCTGTGTCCGGGCTGGGCTGCAACCCACCTTCGCTCACCAGCTCCTCCAGGAGGCTGCCCCACTCGCTGCGGAAGATGTTGGCACCAGTGAGGCTGCCGTCCCCACCAATGACGCACAGGTTGGTGATGCCGCGCTGGACCAGGTTGTAGGCGGCCGCCCGGCGCCCCTCCCGCGTGGTGAAGGCCTTGCAGCGGGCGCTGCCGATGACGGTCCCACCCTGCATGGAGGAGGGGGAGCCTGAGCCAAAGGGGCATGGGGGGAACCTGAGCACTGCGTGGGGGAACTGGGGACCCCAAAGAACTGAGAGGGCTGAGGCCAGGGGCTCCTCAGAAGCCTGGGCAGGTGTCCCCCCGCTCCCTGGCATGTCTCCTCATGTGAGTGAAGAGGAGACTCTCCACCGCCAGGCTCAGGGAGTGCGACAAGGCGAGGGGTGAGCAGGCTCCAAGATCTGTAAGGTGCACACACACACACACACACATGTGCACGCACACGCACACATGCACACGCGCATGCACACACGTGTGCATGTACTCTGGTGGATACGTCAGGAGCCAACACAGAGACCTGCCTGCGCAGCTCACACCAGCATCCACATGGCCCCTCTCTGCTCAGCCTTAGCCGGGGCTCCCCAGACTGCCCCCAAGAACACCTGCGGATCCCCTGCTCTCAGCCAGGTGTGAGAACAATGTGCCCGGGCCATGCCATGCTGCTCCTGAGACCACGAGGCTGGTTTCCGACTTCATGGAAAATGCGAGTCAGAGCTGCCCCTGGCCTAGCCCACTCCCTCCTGGAGCCCCTCCGGCCCCTCTTGCCCCCAACACCCCCAGCCCCTGTGTTCTGTGCTGCTCCTCACTCCTCCCCAAAGACCAGCTTCTCCCACATCCTTAGGGCCCAGCTTTCATGCAGCTTCACTTCCCAGCCACCACGCAGCCTAACACCCCTTCCCTGGGTGCTCTCTCAGGACAGAAGGATGGCCATCCTCAGACACAGGGTTGGAGCAGAGCGGCAGCTGTACCCAGGCCTGAGGACGGCTGTCCTTCTTGGACCCTTGGGGTGGAGGACGAGGTACCCAGGCCGCCGCAGCCCCACCCACGATGGGATCAGGGAGCACGGCTCCAGAACAGGGGAACAGGGGACAGGGGTCTGACGAGGCCCAAGATCAGGGCTCATCTGTGCCCCGCTGGGCCCACCAGGCCTCGATCAACCGGCTTGTTCCCACGGTGCCTATAGAGCGCCGTCCCCTGGGAATGTCCACCCTGGGCAGGAGGGGAGGGGCCGACCGCAGGGTTGGCCATGCCTGGATGACTCTGGATCCAGGCTCATCACCCACTGCTCTGCTGAGCCACGTGTGGCTCATGGTGACAACAGACCACTTCAATAAGCAGGTGTCAGCTGGTGGCCCGGGATACGGAGGTGACAGGTGCCCCACAAAGGTCCCTGCTCTTTGGGAGGACTAGGGTCTCCCCATAGACACCTGGTTCAAAGACCCCCTTGTGTAGAAGTCCCTGACCCCAGTGAGCTGCTCATCCCCCGCCCTCACTAAATAGGATGATGAAGGGGAAGGCGGGGGAGGCGCCGAGAGGCTGAGGCCGCATAGGTCTCCCTCCGGGGTGCCCTCTTCAGCCCGCAGCAGGAAGCCGAGACACCTGGGGCCATCCCGACCCTGTGATCTCTTAAGCCCATGACCTCCCACCCCCGTGACCCCAAGGCAACTGGATGGCACAGTCAGCCTGGAGCCAATCCCCTGAGGGATGGTGTGTAGCCTGCGTCCCTAAGCGTGCAAGTCCCCCTGGGTGCCTGTGTGTCTCTCTGTGTGTCTATACAGCTCTGCGTGTGTCTAACATGTGCACCTGTGTAACCCCTTGTGTGTGTCTCTATGGGTGCCTGTGTGTCTCTCTGTGTGTCTATGCGGCTCTGCGTGTGTCTGACATGTGCACCTGTGTATCCCCGTGTCTCTGTGTGTGTCTGTGTGTGCCCCTCTGTGTGTCTATGTGCCTGTGTGTGTCTGTCCCGTGTGTCTGACTGTCCCTCTTTGTGTCCCACTATGGGTCTAAGTGTCTATGTGTGTCTGACATGTGCACCTGTGTAACCCCTTGTGTGTGTCTCTGTGGGTGCCTGTGTGTCTCTCTGTGTGTCTATGCGACTCTGCGTGTGTCTGATATGTGCACCTGTGTATCCCCGTGTCTCTGTGTGTGTCTGTGTGTATCCCCCTGTGTGCCCCTCTGTGTGTCTATGTGCCTGTGTGTGTCTGTCCCGTGTGTCTGACTGTCCCTCTTTGTGTCCCTCTATGGGTCCAAGTGTCTATGTGTGTCTGACACGTGCACCTGTGAATCCCCCTGTTGTTCCTCCATGCGCCTCTGTGCATGTCCCGGCGCGCACACGCGCTCACAGCAGGGAGGGAGAGTCACAGGCTCACCAGCTGGATGATGTTGGAGACGCTGAGCCAGTTGGCCTGCTTGATGTTCTCGCCTCCCTCCACGAGGCCTTCATAGCCCTGAAAGTGAGGGGACAGGCCGTGAGATGGGTGCCCATGGACTCAGAGAACACAGCCCACCCGAGCATGAGCATGGAACCTCGGCCACGCATGGAACCTCCTGCTGACAGAAGCAGGCCCAGGGGTCCCGACTGCAGAGCCCCCCCCCCACTCCCAGGGCCTTGGGGGACGAAGCTGGGTCGGTTGGGGTCAGGGGTGTTAGGGGACAAAGCTGGGCTTGGCTGGAATCAAGGGAGTCGGGGGAGAGGCCTGGCACCCAGAGGGTCTCCCGGAGCACCCTCTGCAGGGCCTGCAGGGTGGTGTATTACAGAGCGTGACTCGCTCAGCAAAGTGCTCCTGTCACAGGCAGACCTTCTGAAGCGTGTCCATGAACTGCACCTGGGTCACACACCGGGGTCGGAACCAGAGCCAGTCAGCACCCTGTGGGCCCTCTGCCCTGCCAGGACCGGCTCCCCCAAAGGTGCCCAACTGCCCCGCCTCCCAAGGTGTCAACTAGATTCAGAAATGACAGGCATAGCATCCACTCTGTTTGGCCTCCTTCTCTCGGCTGGGTGACTGTGTGGCCCCACAGGACCACGTGCGGCTGTGACTGTGCTCACTTGCGGGAGTCCCCTGAGCAAGCCCCCAGTGTATGATCTATTCACCATTCGTGGACCTCCGGAGTCCATGTCCAGTTTGGGACTATTGGACCTAATGCTGCTAAGAACACATTTGTGAGTCACTAGGCATGCAGCCAAACTCTGACCGCACCGCTACACAGCGCCCCACCTGCTGTGGCCACCTCGTCCGTCAGCAACATGGACAGGGCAGGCCTCTGGGCGCGTCTCCCCCAGTGCCAGGCCGTGCAGGGCTCCATCCTGGAGGCTGCATGTGGCCCCTGCACGTGGGTTCTCCCCTGAGCTCCGCTGACAAACCAGGCTATTTCCCAACGACATAAGCCACTGGCCGCCTGGACAGCCGGCCGTTCTCATTAGCAGGAGCTCTTCACACAGTCTGGACCAGGCCACGTGCTTTCACCCATGGTGAGGAGGCAAAGCAAGCACCGCTGTGGTACGACCACCGCCAAAGCACTATGTGTACAACCTCCGGGAGACTGGCCTTGGACCCACCCCACCCTGACTGGGGACCACTTGTCCACGAAAGTCGGCCACTCCCTGAAGAATCTCACCCTGCCCTTTGGAAGGTTCTAGACCATTATCAGGGCCTGGGCCCCCCACCCAGCTCCTGAGGCCCTGAGGAGGTGACTCCTCAGACATGACGTTGAGGACTCTGGCCATCTGAGCCTGGTCTGAGGGTCCAGATCCCGGAGGAGGGGGGACCTGCAGAAGTGCCTGCCCATGTGTCCATTCAGATGGCCCCGTACAGCCAAGGCCGGGAAGTCACGCCTGACCTGGGTCAGGGCGAAGGGACAGGGACGCAGACATGCCCAAGGTGGGAGGAGGAAGCTCCGGGGAGAGCAGAGCAGGCTGGAGTTCCGCATTCTAGTAAAGAGTGAAAACAAAGTAACACAGTAACACGTGTGAGGAAACTCCAGGGCTGCCCACGTGTCTGTGTCTATGTATCTGCTGCAAGTCTGAAACCCCCGGATTTAGGGGAATAGGAACGGGGCGGGGGGTGGAGCAAAGGGGAGCCCCAGCTTCTGCCAGAACAAAGCAGAACAATGATTCTCTATTGCTTTGCACAGCGAGGCTGTATGCTGGGGTGACTCAAGCTCAGGTTAGGCGACGAGGGTGCTGGAGGGCTAGGGGTCAGAGGACGGTGGGGTGAGGTCCTGGCCTCAGAGTAAGACCACAGCTTCATGCCCTCATCTCTCTCAAGGTACACACCCGCACCCAAGAACCCAGGCTGAAGGCAAGCTCCCCACCCACAGCTCAGAGCCAGGCGGCCCTGCCCCATCCACTGTCCTGACCAGCCTCTCTCTGGGCCTGAACAAGGACCAGTGACCCTGACAGAACAGGGTCCCGCATCCCTCCTCCCTTCCCCTCCCCCACAATGTTCCCCACCCGCTTGAGCACAGGGCCCACCCACCAGAGTTTGGAGCGAGGACCCCTGCACCTTACCTCATAGATGAGAAAGACCTTGGCCCCCACGTAAATGCCCATACGAGTCACGGCTCTGACAGCGGCATTCATGCCTGCAAGGGGTCAGGGAGACGCCTGTCAGTGGAGACACAGTGTGGGGGAACCCCGGACCACCCCTCCCCACATCTCAGGGAGCCCAGCCAAGGGTCTGAGTCCAGCCGGGGGCAAACCCCTGAGGTTGCTTTGGCTTCGCATCTGGAAATATGCCACCCCCAGAGTTACGCCGGGAAGGCCCCCACCAGGCCAACCCCTGAGCCTGCACTCCTGACTCTGCCCGGTCACCTGCAGACCGGCCACATCCTTTCCGGCCGCATCCTCCCCAGTGCTCACCTGCAGACTCTGATGCCCAGCACATCCCTCTCCCTGGCCCTCAAGGCTCTGACCTGGGGGAATCCCAGCAGGTCAGGGACTTGGCCCCAAGATGAAAGAGGAGGCTGGCGGGAGGCAGGAGACAACCGCCTTTCAAACTCTCTGTCATCCTCTGGCCAGAGTCTCAGACCACCACACTGAGCTCCGTGTCTGTGGCCCTGGGGCCACGAGGCCCATAGGGGCCTCCATGAGCCAGGAGAGGGGGACAGTGTCCCCGAGAGTCAAGGTCTGGCTGTTGGGGGTCTGGGAGCCTCAGGCAGTGTAGCTGACTCGGCTGACGCCCCTGCCCCCAAACTGCACTGCACACCGGGGCCACCAGGCTTGGTGGATCACCTCTCTGGCCTGTCCCCTAGCCCTAAGACCCCAGTCTCCCACCCGCTCCACCCGCCGTCAACAGCAGCTACCCTGCAACACAGACTTCGTGGAAAGAGAGACATTCATGGGGAGGAGGAGCAGACAGCTCGTAGGAAGTGCTTAGAGGATCTCAGAGGAATCCAGGTCCCCTTCCCTCACGGTCAGTCCCGAGACCGAAACCCACAGAAGGCAAAGGGGTCCCTGAGGTCCCTGTGGGGGATCATCGTGTCCCTAAGATTCCTCCGTGGAAGACCGCCCACTGTGTCCCTGGGGTCTCATATATAGTCAAGTTCACGAGGCACGACTTGAAGAAGCCCCCGAGAGGCCCGACCACCAGCAGTGGCCCCACATGGTGACCCTGCTGCTGTCTGAGGGTGGGACGTGGCCCCGCCCAGGGAGCAGGCCTCCAAGTGGCCCGATGGCAGGGCCGCAGCCGTTGCAGGTCTGGACAGGTCAGGTCAGGGTCCGTGGCCCTGTGCAGGCACCCGGGGAGGGCCCAGCCCCCACACTGACTGCTGCCTGGAGGGTAGCCAGGGCTGAGGCCCACGGACGGGCTCGGGGCTCCGGGCTCAGGGCTCGGGAGCCTTGAATCAGTGGCTGTAGGTAATTTGCCTCAAACCTTCTTGCCCGTCACAAAAGATACCAGCATTAGGAACAGGCGGGGTGGCCCCACGTCCTCAGAGAGGAAGAAGATTGGCCAGTCACCTGCCCTGGGTTCCAGCCTGTGACGCTGGGTCTGGGGACTGGATCACAGAGGTGATGCCGTGTCTGACCCCAGGACCACCCCTGCTCCCCCGACCTTCTTGCTGGTGGTCCTGGCTCAGAGCGCATGCACATTCCGTGATCTGTCCCTAGGCTGTGAAAGCTTTTCCCTGGAAGGGCGGGGCACCAGCTGGAGTGTGACCAAGGGCCCAGGAGCCCTGCCCTCCCGGCTCATGAGCTGGTGGAAGGGCGGTGCACATCAACTTGGGAATCCCGTGGGAGGACCATGAGGGTTAGACCACATACAGTACCTCAGGAAGAACCCAGTGGACAGAGCCTGCCCCAGTGGAGGCTCATGGCACTGGGCTCCCAGGAGGTCAGCACAAAGGTCACTCTCCAGACAGGAAGCTGGGGTCCCAGAGGGAGGGAGGGGGACTGCTGGGACCCCAGCTGGTGCAGGCAGTGCCCGGAGACACCCTGGACCCCCTCACCTTAGGCACAGCAGGCTGCCCTATCCCCACCCAGCCGCCGAGGCTTCTGCTATCTGACGACTGGAGGGACTCCCCAGGGAGGGGCCCCTGGACATCACAACCAGCAGGGCACAGAGGCCGGGCAGCCCTGAACTGGCCACACTCACAGCTTACACACCTGCCTTTATCAAGAGAACTCCTTTTCTAAAGAAATCATAACTCCCACGTTCCTGTAATGGATGGAAGTGAGGTTATTATAGTGACTGAAGTTAGCAGTAGGAGCCCAGTGAGCATAGCAGCCCCGCCCACACCCCCAGGCTGCTCCAGGAACCAGATCTGAAGGCCAACAGTCCTGCTGCCGGAGGTCAAGTAGGTCAAGGGGCTGCGGGCTGTGGGGCTGGTGGAAGTGGGGAGGGAGATACGACAGTTGCAAAACTGCCCCTCCTGCCCCCAGCAGGCCCTAGGTCCTGCAGAAGCGCTTGGCTGCCTCTGGGGCCTTGGCCAGCCGAGGCTTTCCATTCTCAGGTATCTGCCTCCCCAGTCACCCCCGCTGGGGTGAGCCCACTGTGGCCTCACTGCAGGCTCAAGGCCCAAGCCCCACCTCTGGCAGCAGCAGAGAGGCCAGCACTTCTGGATCGGGGGTGGGGGGAGGGCAGTGGCTGGAAACCAGGCCACCATCCAACTCAGAGGTCATGGGCATCTCCCTAGCCAGCCTGGTGGGCTTGTCTGCAGCCCCAGGGACTGCAAAGGTCCCCGTTCTTAGAGTACTGTTCTCAGTCTTGCAGAGAACAAATGACTGTATTACAGGAAAACTCTTGACTCTTAGAATGGGATTGTGCCAGCTGCCATGGAGACGGAGGCCTAAGGGTGTGGGCTTCTCTGTAAACCTCACAGTAAGCTGCCTTCCTAAGAGGGCCTTTTTAATTGCCCTTTAAGCTGCTTTTCTTTCTCAAAATAAACCAAGGATGGCAGCCACAAGCTCCAGGGTCGGAGAAGCAAGAAGGAGAGCAGCAGCATCCACTGCTGATGAGCCAGCCCTGGACCCTGGCTCGACCTTTCACCCCAACCTCCCCCAACCTCTGCCCTAGAGCAGGCCAAGGAGACTGCTACCGATCACTTCCTGTTGGAGGAAATGGACATCAACCAAACTGATGTCAGAGGTGAAAGCATCTGTTCTGAAGGTGACTTTTCATCATAATTAGCTTCCAGAAAAACAAAATGTACAAGAAAGAGGTGATCTGATCTTGGGGGGACACGGGGCCCAGCAGGTCCATGTTTATTCATCAGTCGATGTGAGGATATGGAACTGGACTGGACAGCTGAGGGAAACTGAGGCCCCAGGGACGGGCTCAGGTCAAGTCACAGAGCTGGTCAAGGCTGGCTCCCCATCACAAGGCTGGCCTCCATTCACCCCAACAAGAGCAGACTTGAGTGTCTGGGAGGCAAGCGCAGGTCAGAGTGGAAGCCCGTTCTCCACGTGGCTGTCAGCCCCGCCCCACACGGGAGGGCACGCAGGGAGGGCCAAGTGGCACCATCAGGTCCCTAGAGGTCAGCCTCTATTTGGAAGGCAGTGGTGAGGGTCCCTGGGGGAAAACTGAGAGGCCACTGTCTAGAGCCAGTTCTCTGGAGCAGCGCTAGCGAGAAGGAGCAGCCTCAGGCGGACACCCATGGGCGCTCCCAGAACTTACAGAGCAGAAAGGCTCTGCCCCGCAGACAGCCAGCTGGCCCACATCCTCCCCCAGGCATCAGCCTGAGCCCTAAATCAGGGAAGTCTGCGGAAACCTCCTCAACCATAAAACCATGTCACAGCCGGGGGTCTAGGAGAGTGCGGATGGACGGTGCATGAGGTGAGGGGGCTGACGGTCAGCCCAGCCAGCAGCACACAGGTGGCCACACCCCAGGGCATTCAGGAAGCACTCCCCGTTACATGTGGGGCACCAGGGCTGGACTGGCCAAGAGGAGACCTTCAGTCAAACAGGCTTTGCCCTCAGCTGGCCAGCCTGCCCGGGCCAGCAGCACCCAGGGTCCTTTCCTTCCGGCTCCTTGTCCTATTTTGTCTGTGCACCCGCGGAGCGCAGCTCCCCTGCCTAAGTGTACCTCATTTATCTTCCCAGCCCTCCCTGCAGCGCTGCTGTTACCGTGCTGCAACAGGAGCCTGGGGGGAGACACCCTGCACCCGCACCAGACCTCACAGAGGAAGGGTCCAGCCCTCTGGCGATGTGTCTGCCCTCCACACACCCGGCCCTTCCAGTGGTCCAATCTCACAGGATGATGCATCCCCAAGACCACCCTCCAAGCCCACTCTCCTCCTGCCCGGCCCCGGCCCACCAGCCTTGCTCTAAGAGGGCACCAGCCGCCACTGCCCAGCAACAGGCAGCCGCTCTGACCACGCAGGGCTGCGGACGTGCAGCAGAGCACACTGCCCGTGGCCAGTTCCGCGGAGGACTCAGCCAAACCCGCGGAGGCCTGTGAAGGTGGGGGTGCAGACAGCCGCGGATCCCTCTGCCGGCCTGGCCCGGCTCCCTCGTGAAATCCGCGCACACCCCCGTGCTTTCCCCTGCGCCTGCGGGGGAACCAGGAGTCAGGGGTCTGGGGCAGAGACGAACCAGGCGTCTGGACTTTCTGATCTGGAAGGAGGCACACCAGGCTCACTGCGCAACCTGAAGGTGCTCGTTCCATCCCTCCCGCTTCCTGGGCTACTTAAGGTCTCTCCTGGGGTTCAAGGTGTGTGGTGTGGCCATGTGGCCAAGCCCCACAGGTGTGATACTGGCCATCCCAAGCCATTGGTCCTGGAAAGCAGGGGTCAGGACAGGACCAGGGTGCCAGGAGGGGGCTGCCAGGACAGGCCCCCAGGAAGGGCACCAGCCTGGCTCTGCCAGGTCCTGGCTGCGGGATGCTGGGCAGGTCCCCCGGGAAGACCACCGTCTTAGACACGCGGCGTGAGGACAGGCCTGCACTAAAGAAATACCCCAGAGTCGCCCTGAAGGTGGTGTTTGGGGGAAGCACTGAGCCCTCGGGTCGTGTTTCAGAACCAGGAAGAGACGGTTCTCCAGGCCTGCGGTGACTGCCCTGCCCTCCGCGGCCTCCGCTCAGCGTGCATTCCAGGAAATGGGGCTCCTGACACACGTGAACGGGAAGGGGTGCCCGGACCGCCTGGGCCGGCGAGAACCGGGAGAGCTCCGGGTCGCCGGCCACAACCGGCCGGGAAGACACGCCCCCGGGGCGGGGGCAGGCGGGCGCGGGGGGGGCGCAGATGCCGTGGTGGGCGGCACGTACGCGGGTACCCGGCGCGCCGGGGCGGATCCAGGACAGGGACGCGGACCTGGGCTGGGAGGACCTGCCGACCGCGCGCCGCAGATCCGGGCCGAGGGTGGCGGGCGCGCCGCAGGGACCCGGGGACAGCAGAACCCCCGCCCGCCAGCGACCCGCCGCGCGCCCGCGCCCACCTTGCGCATCGCCGCCGCTGGTCAGCACGCCGATGGCCTTGCCGGCCCCGGTGGTCCGCAGCTTCTCCAGATCCACGCTGGCCATGGTGGCGCCGACTCGGCCGCGCTCACTCTCGCGCCCCGCGCCGCCGCTGTCGCCGAGCCCGCCCCGCGCCTTGCGCTCCGCCCCGCGCCGTGTGAGGTCACCGCAGTCCGCGCCGGGGGCGGCGGGGGAGCGGGGCGGGGCGGTCGAGGCGGGGGCGGGGCCGACGTGCCCGAGCGGAGGTCCCGGGTCTCCGGCGCGCACCGCACCCCCTCCCGCCCCCCTACCCCACCCCACCCCGCTTCTGGGCGGAGGGACGGGCGTCCTTCTTGATCAAGTTTTAAACCTGTTCAGTCTAACACGGGGCGCGTTTATTGAGCGGGGCGGACGGTGGCCGTCCAGATCTGTTGGTCACCACCTGCGGCAAAGCTGGTCAAGCACGTTGACCAGACCTGAGGGAAGCCCCACGTGTCCTTTTGCTAATCGCTGGCTGCCCTGCTTCTCACAGGAGTTTGTAATTCTGGGCACCGGTCTGTTTCAAGTTGTTCATCAAGAGAGTCCTACCCCGCCTAAGGGCACGGGGTTAATGCTCTCCCACTTGGAGGGGAGCAAGACTAAGGCACAAAGAATTAAGAGGAAAACCGGCCAGCGTTCATTCATTCACCTATCCAGTTACAGGAAATGTTAGCTGGACCCTTGGAAAACTTGCACCCCAGGCAGCACTTTCATGTGTCAGGACAGTGGACTCTACCTTGGGAGCCACGAAGCCCCTCCCCTGATCCCGCCCTTCACCCCAGGGTGGGGATCCAGCCAGTCACCAGAACAGACTGGACCCCTGCCCTCAGGAGGCCAGGTCGTTGGTCCTGAACTGGCCCAGGCTGGTTGTCCGCACCCCCAGATCCTGGCCCATCAACCACGGGGACACCCGGGGCTCCCACCACAAACCTTGTTTGCCTGCTCCAGACTCATGGTCGGTGGGCCCAAATCACACAGGTGCTGAACATGAGGTACAGTGTTGGAAAGAGAGGTGGGGAGGGGCCCCTGCCTGGGAAGGTGGGGGGGGGGGCACTGCCCTGGAGAGGTTGGGGGGGGGTCTGCCCCAGAAGGTGAAGGAGGGGCACTGCCCTGGGGAGTTGGTGGGGACACTGCCCTGGGTAGGTGGGGGGGCATTGATTGTGAACGCTCAGGTTAGCTCCTCCAGGCAGGGAGGCAGGGCAGACCTGGCTGGAGCCGAGTAAGTGTTCCGATCATCCCTCAGCATCTAGGGAGAGCCTCGAAGGTCTGTGGTCTGGACTTTGTTGGCTTGCTCTTCCATTTTGCCGTGGAGGATCCCAGCGTGCCCCTGGGTTGAGAGAGCAGTAAGATGGTCCCAAGCCCCTCTCTCCAGCCCCTCCCCCTCCAAGGGTCCAAGCAGGACAGTGTCCACACTTCAGAAAAATGGTTCTGGGTGGAGGATGGAAGGAGGGGAGTGTCTAGGGGCCAGAGCAGTGATGGGTATTCCAGTAGAGAGGGGACCAGTCTGTGAGGTGTCTGGTTCAGCAGGAGGGTCTGGGCATGGGTGGGGATGAGGGAGGGGGTTGCGGAGTGGAGGGGCAGCCAGGGCTGGAGATCCTCTTCCCCAGGTCTCTCTACCCTCCCAGGCGCCCCTTTGGCTCTGGCAGCACAGCTGCTCCGCCTGTCGCACCCTGGGGCTGCCCTCGATCACCCCCTAAAGTAATGTCTGCTGCCCTGGCATGACAGCTGTTCACAGGGAACGAGGACCCAGGAGCTCTGCCTGCAGGGGAGAGAGCACTGCCCTTCAGCACGTGGGAGGAGGACGCCCTTGGCTTTCATGCCTCCCCTGGGCAGGGATCCGTGGGGCCGGAGCTGGGCAGCCTGGGCTCAGGGCGGGGATGGGGGGAGCACAGCCTGGCCACCTGTAGCACCAGCCCATGTAGGCCGGGATGCGAGGACACACGGGGAGCGGCTATGCCTTTTGTAAATCGTACTTTTTAAGTTATCTAAAAATTAATCAGAGTGACAGGATAGTTTACAAAGGAAAAATCATCCATACTCTCATTTTCACACAACTGTCTCCATCTTTTCAGTTTCATCTTCCAGTATTTCCCTCTGTACACACACATATCTGTATCTGTGCACATATGTACACACATACATACACACATCTAAATACATATACTCTGGGCCTCTGGGCTGGAAGGCAATGGGGCTGAGTCGGGACCCAGACACTGACCAAGAGCAGGGGTGATGAAGTGTCTGGTGCTGGTTCGAGCCCCGTGTCAGGGGGCGTGAACTTGCTCTCCAGCAACTTCAGCTTCCCAGAGTTGTTCACTCGGAAGGTGGAAGAGCAGCGGCCGAGGCCAGAGGGGCCGCCCAGGCCCTCGGTAGCAACCAGAACAGCCGACCACCACCAACAGGTCCGGGGATCCAAAGAGGAAGTGTGGCCTGGGCCCCACACTCAGCTTCGTGGGCAAGCACAGAGATGGGAACAAACTAGCCCTCAAACCGGGAAGAGTGGACGTCCCTGGTGGCGCAGTGGATAAGAGTCCAGCTGCCAATGCAGGAGGCAGGGGTTCAATCCCTGGTCCAGGAAGATCCCACAGGCCAAGGAGCAGCTATACCCACATGCCACAACTACTGAGACCCTGAGCTGCAGCTACTGAAGCCTGCTCGCCCTAGAGCCCGTGCTGGGCAACAAGAGAAGCCACCGCAATGAGAAGCCCGCATAGCTCAACTAGAGAGTAGCCCCCGCTCAACGCAACTAGAGAAAGCCTGCGTGCAACCACAGAGACCTAGCACAGCCCATGTGTACATGTCAAAAAAAAGTTTTTTTTTAATCTGGGAGGAGTAGCCAAGAAGTAGAAGACGGAAGATGAGGTATTAACATGTAGAGGTGATGCCTGGGCCAAGTGCATGGCAGAGGCGATAAAATCCAAAGTCCACCAGTGCACTAGTGCGGCAATGAGGGTAAGTGATCAGCCCCTGGCGAAGGAACCCCGTCCCTGCCTGCCTGCAGCCTGGTGCAGTGGCAGCCTTTTCCCCCCAAGGACTTATGCACAGAAGGAAACTGCGATGCTCCCTGCAGCTGCGGACGGTTCTCCAGGTCTCTTTCTTACCCTGAGCACTTACCTCCTGAGACTTTACAGAACAGTGGTTTACTATCCCCTCCCTTCCCATCACCCCCTTCTCTCTGTCTTCTTCTTGCCCTCTCCTCCCTCCATTTAGCCATCACTGATGGGAAGTAAAGAAGTAAAGAATTTGACTTAGTGCTGGGAAAAAATTAATACATACATATAGTATCTTCTGGGTGGGGGGGCTTCCCTGGTGACTCAGATGGTAAAGAATCCACCGGCAATACGGGAGACCTGAGTTTGATCCCTGGGTTGGGAAGATCCCCTGGAGGAGGGCATGTCAACCCACTCCAGTATTCTTGCCTGGAGAATGCCATGGACAGAGGAGCCTGACAGGCTACAGTCCACAGGGTCGCAAAGAGTCAGACACGACTGAGCAACTAAGCACAGCACATAGTGTCCTTTTATATACATCCTATCTATTATAAATATACACTTTTTAATTGTACATGTATATACAGGTGACCTTTGAAAACATCAATTTAATCCACCTATATGCAGATTTTTTTCAATAAATATATTGGAAAACTTTTTTGGAGATTTTTGACATTTAAAAAAAACTTGCAGAACCATGTATCCTAGAAATAGAAAAAAATAAGGAAAGGGTATGCATGAATGCATAAAATATATATAGACATACATACAACATACAAAATACAAATTAACCAACTGTTTATATTATCAGTAAGACTTTTGATCTACAGTAGATCTAAGACTTCTGATCTACAGAAGTAATTAAGTTTTAAGGAAGTCAAAAGCTATGCTCAGATTTTCCACTGAGTTGTTCAAGGATCAACTGTACATAATCTGTAGCTAGTTAGCTGAACAGACGACACTCTAAATATACAAATGCACACACTATGTATATATATATAAAGAGATAGGGAGGTAGTTTGACAAAGAATACTGTGCTGTGCTTACTCTCTCAGTTGTGTCCGACTCTTTGCAACCCCATGGACTGTAGCCTGCCAGGCTCCTCTGTCCATGGAATTTTCTGAGCAAGAATACTGGAATGGGTTGCCATTTCCTACTTCAGTGGATCTTCCAGACTCAGGGATCAAACTCACATCTCTTGCATCTCCTGCATTGGCAGGCAGATTCTTTACCACTAGCACCACCTGGGAAGCTCTCTCTCTATATATATATTCCCCGGTGGCTCAGAGGGTGAAGAGTCTGCCTGCAATGTGGGAGACCTGGGTTTGATCCCTGGGTAGGGAAGATCCCCTGGAGAAGGAAATGGCAACCCTTTCCAGTATTCTTGCCTGGAGGAACCCCATGGACAGAGGAGCCTGGCGGGCTACAGTCCATGGGGTTGCAAAGAGTCAGCTGCAACTGAGCAACTTCATTTTCACTTTCATATATATAAATATATACTCTGTGTATACATAGATTTTATATTTATATAAATATAATTTAATACACCTGAGTTCACCCTCTGGGCTTGTGTTTATCATTCTTATTGTCTGGACAGCATCCCAACCTCTGACATTGTTTCTCCACGGATACTGAATGTTTAGTTCATTTTCAGAATTGGATTCACTCACTCTGAGCACTGACCAGCCTGCCACACACAGTCTGGAGGGGACGATCAGAGAGCAAGTGACCAGGCAAAGGGGCCTATGCTGAGACTGGGGTGCAAGGTGTTCAGGATGGGTGTCCTGTAGTGTCGTGGGTGGTCTCTATACAGCTAGAGCCAGGCTACAGAAGCTGCAGGCAGAGACTAAGTGGCCGTCAGAGCCCCCCGGGGCCTGGATCCCACTAGCACCTGTCCCCAGGACCCCTGTGAGACCCCCACCTTCAGTGCTGCCGCTTAGCTCCCAGATGGCCTCCAAGACCCTAGAGAATCAATGGAGGTGAGACAACTGTCCTGGGAGCTCCAGGGTGACATCAGATGATGGAGCTTGGGGCACAGGGCTGACAGAGTTTGCATCC